GGGTGTTTACGCTTACGCTTACGCATTTCGCCTGAGAATAATGCATGAAAGAGGCCTGAGTTTGGTGAAGAGAGAAAGTGAGATTTCTTCTCTTGCACACTCATAATATCTACTATCACTGAAGAGAAAGCCTATGTGATACTGACTTCCTGAACCTCTACTGAGTTGCAGTTGGAGTTGACCCGGTGAGACAGGTTTCCTCTGCCGATAAAATGCTTTTCATTCGCAGTCAACATGCAAGCATGATCAGTGGTTTACATAGTCGACTTCCTATATATGCATCAGTTGCAAGGTAAAAAGCCATAAACTTCACGTGTTTACTTTTGTTTCCTTTGAAGTTTCATAACCCCATAACTTGTCTGCTATCTTAAGGCTTGCAAAACGATGGTTTCCTGCGCATCTGTTTTCTTGTTGCCTGGCAGAAGAGGCCATTGAACTTTTGGTTGCTTATGTCTTCCTAACGCCTCTCCCACTTGGTGTTCCTTGCTCCCCGTATCGACGGATTTTTAAGGTTTCTTTCCGCCTCCATACTTTTGATTTTACAAAAACCAATCAAGTAATATGGTGGTTCCAACAATTAAAACGTTTCATTTTTCTTCACTGGACTGTGTAACAGGTTCTTTCGATTACTAGCAGACTATGACTGGTTGTTCTATCCGTTGATTGTTGACATAGACAACGAATGAATTTGGCAGAAATAAAGAGAAGGAGATCAATGTGATGTGTTATAATGCTTCTAATGATGAGCAACATTTGTTAGGACTGCCATATGTAAATGCTTTATGGTTTTATAGGATAACTTCATGTCAAGTAGAAAGGGATACGAAGAGGACAGACAAAACATAAGTTCAGCCACGTTCTTGGCTGCTCCTTATGACAAGGCATCAGAAGCATGGACAACAACTTCACCAAATTTTATCGGTCAGTAGTTAGAGTAAGCTTTTGAAAGTTCATTCAGCACCGCTCTGTAATTTTCTTCTTGTTTTAACTTAAGTTTACTATATACTTTGTTAAAGGAACAAAAAAGGTTGGTGGCTTATGCTCGAAGCAGCGCAAACGTGTTAAGCAAGCTGGTATTGCAAAGAACATTAATTATTTCGTTCAATGGGAGGTGAGTGAGATGCATTGAAAAAAATTTTGCTTTAAGCTAGTATTGAAAGAACATAATTAATACAATGTTGACTAATGTAAAGTGCATACATATACATGTTGCAGTGCCTTTTCAGGATACCCTTGAACAACTATGATGCAGTTATTCTTCTCCATAGAGACTAATTACTTTACCCACGTCGTCTTTTGTTTCCGTCAGAACTTAAGAAAGCTCCTAGACATGGCTCTCTGTCTCTAGTTCTGATGTTTCTATGTGAATTCCATAAATTATAGCACACTCCCAATGATTTGAGCAGGGAAACATGTAGCACGTGGAAAGGCGAGTACAGCATTTAATCCCTTTTTGTTGCCTGGAGATTTGAAGAGAAGCCCTGAGGAGCTTAAGAATTTAATGGTGGACTTGGAGCCAACCAAGTGCTTCATGAGTGGGTTGCAGGCAAGTTTTCTAATCAAAACCAAAACATTAAAAGTTATTCAATTTGTTGTCAAAGAAAGAAAGCTTTCTCGGGATTCTTAGCTTATGTGGTCGTGTGCAGGATGAGTTTGGGACGTTGAAGCCGTGGTATGATCATATAGGAGGCGACACGGTTGGTTTAGCTTGGACTAAACACAATTCAAAGGTAAAAATGCAAAACTTCTGAAAACTTTCTTTAAACCAAAAAAAAAAAAAAAAAAAAAAGAGACAAATCGAAGCAAATGTGTGTAATGTTTGATTGCAGAAACGAGAACGAGATGAAGAGGAAGTGGAAACTAATCCAATAGGAGATGTTAAAGGCGGTAGGCGAAATGGGTAAAGGGTTGGTGAGAGATATCTACTTGCTCAAGCCTCCACGCTTTCTTCTGTAAGATGATGACATTGTAATGTATTTTTACTCGGGCATCTTCCGCGAAAGTATGTTTTTATTGTTTTTGTTTCAACTTGTCCGAAACTTGACATAATGTTTTCTTTATTTTTACGTAATGGATAGAATCTGTTTGATTAGAACTCAAAAATGTTCATCATTTTGGACGAGTATAATTCAAAGATAACCTCTTTTAAGGAAGGTTATCTCTCTATTAAAAGAATGATTTTTCTTTGGAGGCTCATTGTTTCAGGCATTGTGAGCACTACTTTGTAACCTCCTAGCTTCCCCGACAAACGCCAAACCAATCCCGGTGTTACCAGATGTTGGCTCAATCAGTGTTTTCTGAAGTATATCACCAAAAGACTTGGACTTTTAGTCTGATTTTAGTTCCGAAAAAAGTCAAACAAGGTCGTATGATTCAACTGTTGTACCTTTACGGGAGTAAATCAACCCCTTGTCTTCTGCATCTTTAATCATACTATAAGCAATTCCTTTCAAGCGGAAGATCATATTCAAACAAAGAAAACCAACAGCTTTCTAGCTCAGGATTACAAAAAGCATTTGGAAATCGTGTCCATGGCTGTGTCGGCTGATACTTGAATATTTTCTTCTTCGAAAACAAGAGTATTCGTGTAAGCCTAGAGCAAAACGTAAATCTGAGAAACAACCAATCTGTGAAATAAAAACGACGGGTCAAACACACAGAGAAAAGAAAAAGAAAAAAAAAAAAAGGCAAAACGACAACTCATAACAAACAAAACGCAAACGATATAAAGTGATGTTAATAATATAGGCCTCACGCGCGCAACGCGCACCAAGTGCGAGTGGGATATGTTTTTTCGCCAGATTAAGCTGGGATAGGCAAAACGCCAGCGTTTCGGGTCATTTTGGAGGCCAAAACGTCAGCGTTTCTTTAAAAGACTTGTTTTCGGATAGATTACGGTTCTCTCTCTGCAAATTTTTCTTTTTTATTTGTCTACAATTCCGAGTCCGTCGTGGGCATATTGTCAATGTGAAAAATTCGAGCTTTGTAAATTCATAGGTTACTTGAGAGCTAGCTCCAGTTTCGCGTGAGTTTCAATTTGTAAGAAGCCATTCGTAGCATGGCAAAGCCGGATGCTTCTGTTGATCTTCTTCTCCACTTGCCTAAGGTTGGTTCTATATACAGTATTGCTCATTTCTAGATATTTTCGAGTCGATGTTGTGGGATATGTAACTATACAAGGGTTCTTGCTTGCAGGAATGTCTCTATGACAAGGATTACATGAATCATCGATGTCTATATCTTTGTGTGATTAGAAAACATTTCTTGTGAATGGGTATGCAGCTATGAAGACTTTATCAGTTTCCTGGACTTTCCATAAGAATAATCACTGTCTGATGTTGCAAAGTTGAGTATGAGCAGAAACAACGTCCATTCTGTAACTGCAGGAGGTAATGCGGTTTGTTTCAAGAATGTTGTAGTCAACTTAATAAATATATTGAGACATTCAATTTATTGATAATTCTGATTTGTCTTGATGATAAAGATGGTGTCCCTCCGCCATGTTGGTGACCTTAAGTTACATTCTTTCTTATTGTTGATGATGTTCAGTTTCATTTTTTCTTCAAAACTTCACAAATTTATAGACTTATGTGAGCACTCTACAGTCTACAGAGGTAACTGCGTATCTCTGGGATTGTTCTCTGCACCAGTTGGTTCGTCCTGCATTTAATCGGGAATGAACAAACATATATAAAAAAAAAACAGTTCATCCATACTTTATAGCATAATGTCTCTAATGTCTAAGACTCTAAGGCTTAAAAGATGTTCTTCTATGATTCTGCATATATTACCAATGGGACCATATCGCAATTACAAAGACCCCTCTGAACATAAGTTGAACCTTAGATCTGATCCTTCGTAATGCCATAGAGATCTGATCCTTGGTAAAACATTTGTAACAAAAACGTTTATGTTTATAATGATCATTGTGTTAGCATCACCATCCTTCTACAGCTGCCTCTGCTTAAGTGCTTTTTCATAACAACATCTAAAACTGAATCTCGAATTGCATTTAGTGTGTTTTATTAGTTTAACTATATTTTACTAAAATACTAATAATAATAATGTTTTAGAGACTTTTTGGACCGTTGTGGTCCGCCACAAAGTAGACGTGTGTATGAGCTTTCGACAAAATGCAAAGAGATACCATTAAAGTTCTATTTTATTAATGCGAGCACATGAAATGAAATCTTGCGAGGCAGAAGAAGCACGCTTTGCATCCAAAGCTTTAATGAAAATTTGCATTGAAGAAGCAAAGAAAAGTGAGGAAACGTAAACTTTTATCAAATGCCTCCAAATAATTTGAAGTTGAAGATATTTTAGCTAAGCTAATCATGTTAAAAAAAATTCAGATTTGGAATCAGAAGAACCTGAGTCAATATTAAGAAATATGTTCACTGTTAATTAGTTTTGAATTGCAGATTTATGAAAACTAACATGGTATTAATTTTTGAATTGCAGCCTGAGTCGAACCGGGAGTACTGGATGATAAATATTATTTACCGCCGGTTTAATTCACATAAACCGCAACAGAAATAACGGAATAAGAAAATTATTAGATTTTCCGAAGAAAACCAAAAAAAAAAAAAAAGGAAGAGGCAAAATCCGAAATTCCTCAAATACAAATTAACAACTTCGTCTCCTTCCTCTCTGACCTGTTCCTCTTAATTCTCTGCTTTTTTTTTTTCTTCTGATTCCTAATCTCTGGAGCTGGAGGGTCAACCCCTCCTTCTTCCAACCTAAAACCCCTTTTTCTCTTTCTCTCTCTTATATGCTAACTACGTCTTAACCACCGTCTCCGCCGCCATGTCCCATCTCCGACTCATCTTCCTCGCCGTGTTCTTTCTCATCTCTTCCTCTCTCTCACAGCCCTCTCCTCCCTCAGGTACCATCTCTCTCATTCTCCTCCTTGTTCCATTGCGTATTCGTATCTGTAATCTCCTCCCAATCCACGTCTCCTGATTTTTCCTGATTTCTGAATTTAGCGATTCTAATCGATTGCGGCGCCTCCTCCTCATCTGTAATCGACGGCCGGAGATGGCAACCCGACGAGAATTTCGTCTCCAGCGGAACACCCAGGAACGTCTCCGATCAAGTGCTCGACGAAATCTTATTTACCGTCAGATCCTTCCCGCTTAACCTCGACGGAACTCGTCGCAAGTTTTGCTACGTGATTAGCGTTTCCCGTGGCTGGAAGTACATGATCAGGACGACTTATTACTACGGTGGGGTTAACGGAAAAGGCACTCCGCCGCCGGTATTCGACCAGATTGTCGACGGGACCTTCTGGGGAGTCGTCAATACCACCGCCGATTACGCCGACGGTCTCGCCTCTTATTACGAAGGGGTTTTTCTGGCTCAGGGAAAATCCATTAGCGTCTGCATTGCTTCCAATTCTTATACCACTTCCGATCCATTTATCTCCGCCTTGGAGGTCGTCAGGCTTGATGGCACTCTTTACAATTCCACTGACTTTGGAAATTTCGGGCTAAGTCTTGTTGCAAGGCATGCTTTTGGATACAGCGGACCAATCATCAGGTTAGCTTCGCTTGTGGTTGATAAAACTCTGATACATTGACTTCACTCTGATATATGTTGCTTTCAGGTTTCCAGATGATGAGTTTGATAGGTTTTGGGAGCCTTATTCGCTAAACTCGACGGTACCAAACAATCGGAAACTACAAGTTTCTGGTTTCTGGAACCTTCCGCCTTCGAGGATATTCAACACAGATCTCAGAGCTACTCAGGTTCAGCCTTTGGAGTTCACATGGCCTCCAATGCCCTTAACAAAATCCACTTACTATATTGCGCTATACTTTGCCCACGATTCTGATTCCTTGGGAGATGGATCCAGAGTCTTCGATGTTTCTGTAAATGGTATAACATATTACAAAGAGCTGTCTGTCACTCCAGCTGGTGCGGTTATCTTTGCAAGCAGGTGGCCTCTTGAAGGTCTCACGACGTTAACTCTAAGTCCTAGAAGTGGTTCAAACCTTCCCCCTCTTATCAATGGTGGTGAAATGTTTGAGCTGATTTCTCTTGGAGGGAGAACTCTTGTTCGAGATGGTAGGACTGTTAACTACGCTGAATGGTTGATTTTATTTCATATTTTATTGTAGTTTGCTGCTAACGTGCTGACTTGTGTTTCTTCCTTCTGTAGTAACTGCTCTGAATGCTATTAAAAGCAGCTTCAAGAACGCACCAGTTGATTGGAATGGGGATCCTTGTATGCCTAAAAATTACACATGGTCTGGAGTTACCTGCTCTGAAGGCCCCCGAATCCGCATAGTAGCTTTGTGAGTTGGGACTTTGACAAATTGTGTCGTCTGTGTTATTTGATGAATCAGTTTGAGATTTACTGACACTTTTCCAATCCATTGTTGCTCCCAGGAACTTGACTAGTATGGGCCTTTCAGGTTCGCTAGCAACTGAAGTTGGCAAATTAACAGGGTTGTCCTCCATGTAAGTACCTTGACCAGTGAACAGTTAGTTTATATGCCTGATTATCAAAAACATCAATTGATTTTCGTGTGTTTTGAACAGCTGGCTGGGAAACAATTCTCTCTCGGGAAGTATACCTGACCTCAGTTCACTCAAATTGCTGGAATCAGTGTAAGCAGATAATTATTATATTTCCCTACTTGTGCTGCACATTTGGTCCTGTAAATGACAATAGGCGGGTAAGTGAACAAAGACTCATAAGCTAATCTCATCCCTTTTCCCTTTAGGCATTTGGAAGATAATCGTTTCAGTGGAACTATTCCTCCATTTTTCGGTGGAGTGCCACACTTGCGAGAGCTGTAAGTTTCCATTCTCATATACGCTCCTTTGATTATTGGTTTAAATGCTTTTCTAGAATAAGTTGCATAATGTCTGCTTATTCTGTCAAGATTCTTGCCTTGTGGATGGAAATGGCATAATAAGTTAGCCCTTTCTTTTTGGCTTCCGCCCTTTTGTCTTTTAACTTTACTTTTTAAGATTCAAAGGCCATATTATTAACGGCGCACTATACCACCATAACTATAGTGATGTTTCCTCTATATACTCAGTTTCATAGTTCTGATTCGCCAACCTAAACCACAACTTAAGAAATTTTGAACCTGTATGTCTCCATTTTGTTGCTAAGGGCATGAATTTCTGACTTAGTTATGTATGTTTTGTGGATAATTAGGTACTTGCAAAACAATAACCTAACTGGCCAAATTCCTAGTAATCTTCTGCAGAAGCCAGGACTTGAGCTAAGGTGAGCTACTAATTTCCGAGAGTAGTTTTCACCATACAAATCTGACTATGTCTCATCTCGAATTGGCTAATACAAATTCTCAATGATTCTTTATACTTCAGGACTTCTGGTAATCCCTTTTTGACTCAACCTCCACGTTGATTCGGGCCTTTTAAGAAGAAGACGACAATGATTTGAGTATGTGTTATAGTTTTGTAGAGCTTGTGTGTAAATTAGAAGCCTCACATGTACAATCTACTTAACAGATCTTAATGTTTCATTCTTTTAACACTGTGGGGATACGGGAATATACTGATTGCATATGTTGTGTAATGAAAAATACGTCATTGTTTTATTATGAATCTTGTGATTGTGTTTTCCTCTAATTAAAAGTTGGTTCTATTGAGATCCAATTCTTATGGTCATTGAGGTATATTCACCTGGAATCAGAGTTTAAGATATTTCTTGATCAAATATCTATCAATATGCCAGATATGATGTAACAAAAGCACAAGAAAAATGTGAAGAACGAGAGCTGTAGTCTATTAAGGTGGAGCCCAGTTCCAAAATGGTGAAGCAAAATCGATTGGTGCAGAGAAAAGTAAATTTTAGAAAACATCTGAATCTTGCATGTGCCCATCAGTCTTTCATCACTCACTTTCTCATCATTAACTAACAAACAGATTACTCTGCTATTTCTATCTGCTGTCTCATCATTTTGTTTTTGACATTTACCTCTTTGTCTCGCACATTTCACATCTCACATGCAACAAATCTAAATCACGTCTTTGTCTTTTGATAATCAAAATACTTTTTTGAATCCAGAAAGAACGAAAAGAAATGGAGATGAAGAACAGAGGCACGGATCTTACTCGAATTTCTTGACACTTAGCACTGTTACACATTAGATCTCAACCCATAAAGATTAACAAAAATACATCTGATACAACGCTTAATCAAATGCATTAGAGTTACAGACCACATCAAAAGACACTCGAGATTCTGAACAAATCAACCAATAATTGTGTCAATCGAAAGATAGATTCGAACTTTTCAAGTGCGTCTCTCCACTCTGTTTTTCTTTAGCGCAAGCGGAAACAGAGGAGGCAAAGGAACAGAGGATTTAGAAGGAGTGCAAATAGGAACATGAATCATCGGCCGAATCCTCATACTCGCCGATCTCGTCCTCTCTAATCCTTTCTTACCTCTCTTCCCTTCTTTCTCTCTCTCCTCTCTCTTCGCAGCTGCATCCTCAAGTGAGCTCGATGAAGACGTGGAAGACGATGGAGACAACGACGACACGGTCCTCACCGACGAAGAAGACGAAGAATTCCTCTGTTTCTTCAACCGCAAAAGCTCTTTCCAAAGCACTGTGCATTTCGGAGGACGAGGAGATGGATCTTCGTCTATAAACCAACTCACTCTGTTATTATTATTATTATTATTATTCTCCTGATCTTTGTTCTTCATCGTCACTTCCACTTTACGATTCTCTTCTTCTACTTCTTCTTCGTTCGTCTTCAAGTTAACGTTTTTAAGCTTCTCTGAGTGCTTTACTTGCCAGAAAGGAAGCAACTTTCCTTCGGAGAAGAGTTCGTCCGCGGTGAGCATTCTTTGTGGACTCACATTTTCCGACAAGAACTCAAAGTCGGCGACTTTCACTGACCCTTTGACCACGTCTTTCTCTAACTCTTTACACATTGCGGGGGTGATGCAGATGAAGTCTCCACCGTCGGATAAATCAGCTGAGAAAGAAATACGAGGTCCAATCAACGGTGGTGATTCCGTCTGTGATATCGCCTCTGAAACCATATCTTCTACTTTCTCTCTCTCTCGATGAAGATTTAATAAGTGATAGATCTCTACTTATAATCTTCGGTGGAAGTCAGATTTGTGAGCAAATCGTGCTATAGACGTGTGGCTGATTGGTTTGTGTCTGTAAGTTTAAGAGAAGAGTTCGAGCTCGTGGTGGACTTTGTGAGAGTAATGGATGATGGAGATAAATAAAATAAACGAAATAGAAAGAGAAAGAGAGGTCTGAAATTGGAGAAGCAGCGTGAGTTAATGAATACAATGAAATTAAGTTAATTGAGTTTAGAATAGTACTAATGAGGAAGACGACCACATGGACACGTTAGGGGGAGACACAAGCAGACAAATTACAGACATGTAATTAGAGTTGTGGTTTTATGACTATTAAAGATTAAGAATAGAGATGAGCCATGCAACTGTGCAATTATATAATTATAATCTTGCAACGTTCGAGATTGAATATAAAAGGAAAAAAAAAACATTTTTCTGATAGATGAAAAGGATGGATCAGTCAATGGGAGTTGGGAATTAACGAGAGAGTGCATGAAGAAGGGTAATGAACAGTTAACACATGTCGGCACATGACCCTTGCGTTGTGATTTATTACACACATATCGTTTTTTGTATTTGTTAAATATTACATACATTTAATTGTAGCTTTTTTTTGGAAAGAAATGTAGTTTTTTTGTTTATACTACTGTTTTCTTTAATCTTGTGAATTCTATACATGACGTCAAACAAAAAGAATTTGGAATAAATATTACATTAGAAAATAAAACACATATTAACATTTTAGACCCAAAAAAAAAGAAAAGAAAACATATATGCTATAAACGAATAAATGCATGAGAAATTACTTAATTAATGTAAAAAGAAGGGGAAAGCAAATGATGTCGTCGGCTCATCTCGCTATGAAAATTCATATATGAACAAAAACGTTAAATATGATAGCAACTTATACTTATATCATTATCAATGCAAATGAAAGCATATGATCCTGTCCGAGAAAGTGATAGTGAAATAATTATGATTTCAGGTTCAATACAAAAAATAATAAAAACCAAATAACAATGGAAGAAATTTTTGCAACAAAATATATGATAATAAAACTATGGAAAAACCTGTAAAAAAAAACACTATGGAAGAACCGATACATATTTCTCTATAAGATACTCATCTTCAAAATCACAAGCGTTTGAAATTTGAATGATGTAATTTTTGTGAGGGTATAGTTTTTTATTTTTTTATTGACCAAGAAAAAACAAAATACACTATGGAAGAACCTGTAAAAAAAAACACTATGGAAGAACCGATACATATTTCTCTATAAGATACTCATCTTCAAAATCACAAGCGTTTGAAATTTGAATGATGTAATTTTTGTGAGGGTATAGTTTTTTATTTTTTTATTGACCAAGAAAAAACAAGTTTTTTTTCTTTTGTTTTTCTTTTAGGTTAGAATTTCCATTGAAGTGATAGATATATGAAACCAAAAAAAAAAAAACTCTAGTAACTAATGCGTGATATCTCCATTTATACGATGTGAAATTGTGGTTGACGTTGTTATTGCTGATTCTGGTTAATACAATCGAAACTAAATTCGAAGATAGGTCTCCAAATATAATTTTCATTAAATATTGTACGTATCTTTTTCACATGTTTGTCTCCACAATGCATGCCTGCATGACTTTTGTCTCTAGCTTATGATGATTTCCCATATATTGAGCTTTGGCCCGATACAATCTTACAAGTAGCAATAACTATATCTCGATTTGAAAAAAAAATCATATTACATGCTTTAAATCCCAATTAAGAAGATATACGAATTTCAGTCTTTTTGTTAAAAATAAATAAAATAATTTGCAATTTTTGAAAAATCTATCATTTAAAACCATAGTCCAAAAAATACCAGCAGACAATATTTAAACTTAATAATATTCCTTAAAAAGTATCAGCGTTTTTCTTATGGATGAAAAACAAATTCCGAAAAGTATATCAATATACACAACCACTAATTAACAAGCAAACTATTGTGTATGGAGAGACAAACAGACAATAATAATCTAAAGGATGGGGTATATATTGAAATAGTATGATATAATAAATAAATAAACACAAGAAAATACTTGGAAGCACGTCGAGCTGCGGGTTTCTTGGTGTTGGACCACTCGTTTTGTTTCTATCTTCTTCTTTTTTTTTTCTTTGTCAACGTTTTGGCTCTGATGATTTTATCGTTAATATCGAAAGGCTTTTTTTTAGGTTTGCGCTCTCCGAAGAATATTATGAATTAGATCTGTTCGCTTCATATTTTTTTTTCATTTTTCTGTTACACTGAATATGATATTAAACGGTATCGTCTAACAAAGAGATATGGAATATTTAGGTGTAAACACAGTTCATGCAAAATGAAAATGAATTGTTGGGGAGTACCTTTTTAATTTTGGATAGGGTAGAGACAACGTAGTCACCTCACCTGTATACAAAAATCTGTTAGCTATATATTACACGTTTAGTTTATTAATGGATTCACTCGGTCTTAAAATAATAATTTACTTTGACACTAACCTTATTTTACAAAGCTCATATTTTATTACATTCACTCATTAATTCTCGCACAAATATTTTTACACTAAACTCTCGTGTGTCAGACGTTCATTAACCTTTTGTTCTCTTGAGAAATTGTCTGTAACTACAAAAAAAAATCTATCCGTTTATTCTCACTTGTTTCTTCCATACTTAGAAAAAGTTCCAAAGACATAATTATAAACGATTTGCTTAATCGTTTGGTATGTTAATTTATAATAACTACTGTTATTTTAAAACTAGAAAATTGGGACGAAATACTTTTATAAAGTTAAAGGCTTCAACAACCCCATATTTAATTAAACGTAATTTATTTTTGAATTCTCTCATATATTTGCCTTTGCTTCTCTCTTGCTTAATCTTTTCATCAAGCCTGGTCTTCCAATCTTCTTCTTAGGTTTGTGTCCAGCCCATTTTCTAATTTTGGGGGCTAGGACTTTTCTTAGCTTTAATTTCAAAACTTCCTGTAAACAATTGGTGTAACTATGTTGTCCTATTTCCACATTCTCCTTCATTGATATTCACACGATACAATGTTATATGTCATTTATATCTCGATTATCTCTGTAGATGAACAAAAACAGTATTTCTATACACAAAATCCAAAAGATTATGCTTCTACAGTATAATAATGTCCGAGATAAAGTGGCCCTTTAAAAATCCATTACTATCTCAGCTCAACGATGGGCAGCAAGGAACGTAAAGTATAATAAATCTGCGATTCCCTTCAACGGTAACACCTTCATTCAAAATATATAAGTTACCAGTTAGTAAAATATATATATATATATATATATATATATATATAAGATGAAATTTTTGTAAATAGATATCTGAGAACATTTATCTATTATTTAGTTAAGGGCAAACGAAAAGAAAACAGAAATTAGAAAGATTGCTTTTGTTTTCTCAAATCGGTTTAATGGGTTATAGTGGTTAGAAGTTATAACCTACATAACTAATGAATTGTTTTGACAGACAGAAGCCACAAGATAGATAAAAATATCCATTGGTAAACTATTCTTCGTTAAGAAAAAATCCGCAAACCAAACCACTTTTTTTTATCTATTATGAAAAATATGCAAATTGTCTGCTCCTACAGATTATTCTGTCATAGACTAATATTTTCACCAATTAAATAAAAACATCTGTTAATACTTTGAACATTAACTAAAAAAAACTCTTTTGGATCTATAAGCTATGGATTCAATAAAAGCAAGAAATCTTCAAAAAACAGAGTCAAATACAGGTCGTATGTTTGAAAGGAATAGAAATTCAGCTAAAGAATAAAATCTGCCTAATTAATTTAGTTTGACTTTTAACAATAACATTTGATCAAATAACAACAAGAGCAACAAAAAACCTCCGCCTAATTACTGCCACAAAATAAATACAGATTGTAATCAGTTATCACAGCTCAAGGCATTCTTCTTCTTAAATTTATCCAGCATTCTAAGAATCTCTGTAAGAGAAATAGCCTATAAGCTCTAAAAACCCTAACACATTCTACATATAAAAACCTATCCACATATACAATAATACTATATAATCATGACCAAGCGACGCATTTGCTACATAGTTTCCGGAATCATTTCCATCCTCTTCATCATCTTCATCATCACTTTGATCCTTGCGCAAACCGTGTTCAAACCAAAACATCCCATATTGCAAACCGTGTCTTCGACTGTCGAAGGCGTATCCACAAATGTAGCACCGCCGTTTGAGGTCCAGCTAAATTTCACTCTTACACTCCAGATGCTGCTCAAGAACCCTAACCTCGCCGATTTCGAATACAAGACGGTAGAAAACTTGGTTTATTACAGGGATAATCTAGTGGGTAACCTCACTCTTCCTTCGAGCACACTCCCTGCCAAAGGCTCAGCGCTTTTGCCTTGCCCTCTTGTTCTTCAGATCGATAAATTTGTTGCGGATTTAGGTGATATTTTGCAAGATGTATTGCACGGGAAAATTGTGATAGAGACCAAGGCAAAAATGCCAGGGAAAATTACAGTGTTGGGAATCTTTAAGGCACATTTGAATACATTATCGCATTGCAAACTCGTTCTTGGCTTTCCTACAATGGAAGTGGAGGATCAAGTTTGTGAGCTTGACACTAAGCTGTAAAATGTTGATGTCTTTCTCAAGTAAACATAGGCTTAATAGGGCAGATTAATTCTAGTTTCCTGTAATCATCAAGATTTTACGTTTTATTGTTCTCTTTTTTTTTTTTCTTTTTCTTTTCAGTTCCATTTGAACTTTGAATCTTGATGTTTGGTTAAGTTGTATCCACAATCCACATGAATTCCAAGTGATGATTATGATTAAATTTTTTTTTTTTTGTCGGCTTTTGTTTTGTCGGCAATTAGTTAAACCAAATCAAATGATCGAATGAAACTAGCAAAATGAAATATATCACGAAACTATATAATATACTATATTATACAACTAAACAAAATAGACTAGCTAGTTACATAGCAAAATGATCGAATGATCAAATAGCCATCACTCATCAGCGAGATACAGCCGGTTAATGATGTTTTCCGACCGATGAAGCAAACAAGATTTGAGACATGACGAACAGTTTGACCCACAAAACATGGTAACAGTTCTATAGACATTATTACGTTCATGACTGATAATTTTATTTGGAATACACGAGACTTTGAGAAATCCGCTATATACTAGGCATGCATGGACTACTAATTCCAAAAAAAGTAGACCAATAGATTTCTATACGTTGATTGAAACTTTGGATGGTTAATATCATCCTGATCGAATATTCAAAACAGCTGATTATAAGATTAGATGTTTGTTATCAGAATCTTCAAAGTGATACTACATAGGATTAGAAATGTTACAAATGGATTATAGTATTATACTGGTTACTCAAATTAGTATTCCAGTGTTATTTCCCTTTATTATATGTTTTTTGCAATTACATGTAAAAGAGTTTGTAAGATTCACGAAATCAACGGATAGCGACATCGGCAGAGTTTAGAAAAGCGTGCCCCTTATCATAGTCATAATCTTCGGATCATTCTTCTCTCTTCAGATTCCGAATCGGAAAAATGGATTCTTCCTCCGCCGCACGCCGCCGCATAAACGCTATCCACTCCCATCTCGTCACATCTTCTCGCTCTTCCCCTCTCCTCCGCTCCAATCCCACCGCCGGCGAGTTCTGTCTTGGTCGGTGCTCATCTCATCTCTCTATCTCTGATGTAGTAGTAGTAGCTTCCGTTTTTTTGATTCCTTGGTTTTTTGTTTTCCGATCATAATCAGATAACGGCTATAGTGTTGTGCTTCCGGAGAAATTGAGTACTGGCAATTGGAATGTCTACAGGTTCTCTAGCCTCCGCTTCTCTGTTTCTCTTCCTTCCGTTTAACCTTCCTCTCTCTCTCTCTCTCTCTCTCAATATTTGATCTGTTCGATTTCAATTGTTAGATCTGCTCGATCTCCGTTCAAGCTCGTTAGTAGATTCCCGGATCATCCTGACATCGCCACTCTCCATGACAACTTTGAGTATGAAACCTCATTATTATTACTCTCCATCTTCTATATCAATTTCAGTAAACTCTCTGATTACTACGGTTCTCTGATTATGTAGGCATGCTGTTCATGATTTTCGGGACTACAAGTATCTAGGAACTCGGGTTCGCGTCGACGGAACTGTTGGAGAGTGAGCTGCTAACTTAATGATTTATCCAATTTCTTTGAAGCTCTTCTTACGTTTACTATGGTTTACTCTTCTAGCTACAAGTGGATGACATATGGAGAAGCTGGTACAGCAAGAACTGCTCTTGGTTCTGGTTTAGTTCATCACGGAATCCCCACGGTAAAATGATTTGATTCTGACTCTCTTGCCAGCTTCAAGTTTCAGCTGACGCAAGTCTCTATTTTTCTTCTTCCAGGGATCTTCTGTTGGAATTTACTTTATCAACCGCCCAGAGTGGCTCATTGTTGATCACGCCTGTTCTTCTTATTCTTATGTCTCTGTTCCTTTGTATGATACTCTTGGTAAGTATCTCGTTATTTCTGTTGCATGTTTTTAAGGAGGTTCTATTTATGTTTTTCCTTCTTTTTTTTGTGCTGAAGGTCCTGATGCTGTAAAATTTATTGTCAATCATGCAACTGTGCAAGCCATATTTTGTGTGCCAGAGACGTTAAATTCCGTAAGTTCATCAATTTCCTTCTCTATTCAAAAGCTCACCTGCACGTTTCGTTAGATAAAAAAAAAAACACCTTTTCACCCCTTGCTCAAATGTTTTGTGTATGTTGCTGAATTGTCGTTTATTGCTGACGTCTCTTTCCTTGCTTTCCTGTTTGGGTTATGTTGGAGCTTGCAGTTACTTAGCTGCTTGTCTGAAATGCCAACTGTACGCCTGGTGGTGGTATGAAGAAACCTCAAATTTTGATTACGGTTTTAAGTATTATGGAAACAGTTTTCAAATAATTTTTCTCTCTCCCTGTTTATGTTACTTCTCATATGCCGAGTAGGTTGTTGGAGGGTTGAATGAATCTTTGCCTTCTCTTCCACCGTCAGCTGGAGTGAAAGTTGTATCATATTCGGTGTTACTGAATCAGGTACTGTACATAATTCTCTGTATTCTGCTGTGGAACTTTTAATGTAATATCAGTTCTCTAGAGATAAGCAGGATTAAAGACATTCTATAAATTAAGAGTTTACAAATTCTTACCAGTGCTATCATGACTCCTGTTCTGATTGTTAACAACACGTGTTCCATCAACTTATATACAACACTGACACCTGATTGTCATAAATGCTCAAGTGTATATCGACATCATTATACTTTTACCTACAACTTGAATTCATTTTATATCAGGTCTATGCGTACACATTTCCCATATATCTTCATTATAATTTTCTCATTGAAATATTGTAGTTACTCCCTATCTTTCTCAGTTATAGCATCACTTGTCCTGCAGTTGTGGTACATGTTGGTTTCATAGTCTTCTGACCACACAAATTTGTTTCAGGGTCGCAGTAACCCTCAGCCATTTTCCCCCCCAAAACCTGATGATGTTGCAACCATATGCTATACAAGCGGAACTACTGGGACCCCTAAGGTTTTGCTTACTTGATATTTTTATTGGTATTCAAATCTGGGATAGTGCTGTTATTTATTTCATATTTATGCAGTCTATAGCATCTAAATCACTCTTTATGTTGTCCTGTATGTCTCATTCCTCCCTTGCCTGCTCTTCTTCTGGATGAAATATGTTAAAGGGAGTCGTATTAACTCATGCAAACTTGATTGCAAATGTTGCTGGCTCCAGTTATAGTGTGAAATTTTTCTCTTCAGATGTGTAAGTGGTTGATTCTTTCTACTATTAGTAAAGAATTTTTGATGTTCTCCTTTGTATATATTACTGCCGATCTCTTTTCTTGAAATCCCCATTCTGAAGTGGTCTTTGTTTCAGTGAAATTATTGGTATAACTGATTTTGCATAATCTCTTTTACTTCCAGTTACATTTCGTATCTTCCGCTGGCACACATTTACGAACGAGCAAATCAGATCCTATCAGTGTACTTTGGAGTTGCTGTTGGATTCTACCAAGGGGTTGGAAACTGAACTTTCTTCTTTTAGCCAATTATTTGGCATAAGTTGGTTTCTAAACGTGAAGGCAGAACGTCTGGAAACTTTACTTCTAGCTCCATCGTATATGTTTTTGATAACCATCCACTCGCTTGCATTATGAAACTTGTGTACCTGTGATTTGATCTTTGCTTATAGTCCTCCCCATCTCCCCCCACCCTCAAGTCCTTTTCTGTTGATTTGATTTGATGAACCACTTGTTAAAATTTCTGCAGGACAATTTGAAACTACTGGATGATTTGGCTGCTCTGAGACCTACTGTATTCAGCAGCGTCCCTCGATTATACAATAGAATATATGCGGGGTAATAATGGCTTCGGTTTCTTAATATGCACTTTCTGCTGCTTTTGGTGATTCACCGAACTAATGGTAAAATTGTTGTTGCCAGTATCACTAATGCAGTAAAAACCTCTGGTGGGCTGAAAGAGAGGCTCTTCAATGCTGCCTATAATGCAAAGAAGCAGGCTCTCTTGAATGGTAGGTCTTGTCATGCACATTAACTCTATTTGCACATATAAGGCTTATTTCCATCAAAAAAAATATCTAAGTGCTTCTGTAGCTTTATGTTGTAATTTCTGACACAGCTCGGGATTTCGATTACAATTGGGTTACAAGAGTTAATAAAAAAAATTTGTTTATACAGTTATGGGCTTGATTTTCTTTGTACGGTATTGTTGGTACAGGAAAAAATGCGTCTCCCATATGGGACAGATTGGTATTTAATAAGATAAAGGACAGACTTGGAGGACGGGTTCGTTTTATGACGTCTGGGGCTTCACCTCTGTCTCCTGAAGTGATGGATTTTTTGAAAATGTAAGTTTATCGCTTGTAGATGATTGTGTTCGATCATATTATACAATAGACTTCATCCTCAAGAGGGAACAATTTTCAGTCCCTAACAATCTCTCTCTTTCCCTAGCTCATGCATAGTTATACAGGCTTTGGTTTCCTTTAGCTTTATTTTCTTACATTAGCTTGTAATGTTTCTTTTACGTTTTGATTTAATATTTTGATATGACTACTCCAGATGCTTTGGAGGAAGAGTAGCAGAGGGATATGGAATGACTGAAACATCTTGTGTTATAACTGGAATGGACGAAGGTGATAACCTCACTGGACATGTTGGCTCTCCTAACCCAGCTTGTGGTGAGTTTATTTACTGACTCTGCGATAAGATAAGTAGAGTAATTTGGAACTAATATAAAAGCTGATATCGCTATGAGATTTAATATGCATTCCTTTCTCAGAAGTAAAGCTTGTGGATGTCCCGGAAATGAACTATACATCAGCGGATGAGCCTCATCCCCGCGGCGAAATATGTGTTAGAGGTCCTATCATTTTCAGTGGCTATTACAAAGATGAAGTTCAAACGTATGAACACCTATCGCATTGCAAATTCCTTTTTTTTTCCCCAAATCAAAGTGTACCAAAAGTATTAATCCTTTCAGTAAAATGTATTATTTTCAGGAGAGAGGTGATTGATGAAGATGGATGGCTTCACACTGGAGATATAGGTCTGTGGTTGCCGGGAGGACGTCTAAAAATTATTGACAGGTTTTCCGAAATCACTTGATTGTTATCCAGTAAAGTCAAATACGTTGGCTCACAAAGAATAAGCCTATAGTCTTGAAAGATGGGTTGTTATTCTGGGGACTTGTTGGTATCTTGTGAACCGAGAATCATCTTAGTAAACTTTCCTCATTCTTTGATTAGGAAGAAGAACATCTTCAAATTGGCGCAAGGGGAATATATAGCTCCAGAGAAAATTGAAAACGTCTATGCCAAATGCAAATTTGTGGGCCAATGCTTCATATATGGTAGAGAAAACACAAATTTTGTAAATTGTTTTGTTTAGTATTTGATTTATTCTTCCTCCATCTCACATGTTTCCATTTTTTTCAGGTGACAGCTTTAATTCATCATTGGTCGCTGTTGTATCGGTTGATCCAGATGTGCTTAAAAGCTGGGCTGCTTCAGAAGGCATTAAGGTGGTGATATAACTTTCTTCAACAAATACTCTCAATGTAAAACTAGAAACATAACTTTATTATACCTCTACGCTAAATGCAGCATGGAGATCTGAGAGAACTGTGCAATAACCCGAGAGTGAAAGCAGCAGTGCTATCTGACATGGACAGTGTTGGAAGAGAAGCTCAGGCAATGCATCTTAGAAACATTCTTTTACTTACTTATTTCATCTGATTTAGTTTTCTCAAAGACGCAATCACTGACTAATTTTTTTTAAAAAACATCTGATGCAGTTGAGAGGCTTTGAGTTTGCAAAGGCTGTGACGTTGGTGCTGGAGCCATTTACGCTGGAAAATGGTCTGCTAACTCCGACATTCAAGGTAAATTCTCTGCCAGACCCATTTGAGGCACTGAATAAGTTCTTATGAGATTTCTTCATTCAAACTAGGTAGAACTCCTATATATGGTGTGAGTTAAGGGACATTTAAAAAAAAAAAATCGTTAAACGTCTTTGGATTCGATGTGAGATAACTGGGAAACCAATTGTGAAAATGAATTGAGGCAGAAGAATTTTTTTATTTTTAATTTTGCAGATTAAGAGACCACAAGCAAAGGAATATTTCGCAGAAGCAATAACAAACATGTACAAGGAGCTTGCTGCTTCTGATCCCACCGCTAATAAAGCTTTGTGATTCGTGTTATCGAGTGATTAATAAAAAAAGCCCCACGCAAAAGCTTTTTAAATGTTCATCCCCAATTGTATTCTTTTCTGTTGTTTCTTGCTAAATATTTATTGAATGCTAGTAAAGGTAATAAAGGTGCTACATTATATACTAAATGTTGTCCCTGTATAATAAAGAAAGGCAAAACATTCTCAGTTTGTTTGTTTTATTGCAGATTCTCTTTACTACCACAAAACGATGATTTTATTCACGGTTTGCTGTTTTTGGGGGCTTTTCCATTCCTTCTAACCGGTTTGTGGGGAAAAACATTCTCATCAAAAGACCATTAAAAATCTTAAATTTTTAACAAAAACCTTAAACTTAAAATATGATTGTGATGTTTTTGTTAATTGCTTCGTTGTCTGTTCACTGACACTTGAGTATATAGAAAGAAACATATTGTCTATAAATAGGATTTATCTGTAACGCGTACGATCTTTTTTAAGTTACAGTGATAGCAAAATAGCCACCCTAAATGATAATCTCTCTATCTATAATCATATCCAGATAAACATATCTATTTACATCTGTGACTGTGAGTGATATGTAATCTTATCAACTTAAGCTGAAAACAACACATCCAAATTGATTGCGATTTGGAGATTAAGCCATATACACACGCAATCAATAGTCCCCTAATCTATTGGTACAGGAAGATTTGACTGTGTAATCTAAAAATAATGGGAAAGAGAAAAAACAAGATTAGATATGATCCTAAGTAAGAGATTACGGGCCATACAAAAACCGTAGATCTCGCCACTGTTATTTCTAAACACGATCCCATTTTTAGACAAGTCTGGATCTCAGTTTAGTGTGTGACTCTATCGTCTCTTATAAATATAACATCTCCTTCATCTTCTATCCAACAGGGTCTGTCATTTCAAGCAGGGTCTCTGTCTCCTTCTTCAGCTTCCTTCATGTTTCATCTTTAGCTTACACAGACACACATATACAAACACTTACATATATATATATATATATATATATATATATCTCCGTCTTTCTCTCTCTCTCTCTCTCTATATATATATATACTGAGTTTAAGTGTTGGTGTCTGATCGAGACTAGTTAAACATGGCTGTTGTTGTAACATCTAATGGGAATGCTCCGGCTTTCGAAGCCAAGATGACTGTTTATGTCTTCGTCTGCGTTATGATTGCTGCTTTCGGCGGTTTGATCTTCGGTTACGACATCGGAATTTCCGGTTTATTCTCTTTCTCTGTACAAGAGCTTTCAATACTTGCATTTCAAGCAAACTAAAAAAAAAGAAAAAAAAAACCTAATTTGTGTCTCAAGTAACTTAGTTTTCTATTAGCTAATTATTGACCTGTGTGATACAAAAAGGTGGAGTGACGGCGATGGACGATTTCTTGAAGGAATTTTTCCCGGCGGTGTGGGAGAAGAAGAAGCACGTTCACGAGAACAATTACTGCAAATACGATAACCAGTTCTTGCAACTATTTACATCGTCTCTTTACCTAGCCGCCCTCGTGGCCAGCTTCTTCGCTTCCGCCACCTGTTCCAAACTCGGAAGAAAGCCCACCATGCAGTTCGCTTCCATCTTCTTCCTCATCGGTGTCGGCCTAACCGCAGGAGCCGTTAACCTCGTCATGCTTATCATTGGAAGAATCTTGCTTGGCTTCGGCGTCGGCTTTGGCAATCAGGTAGATACATTATACACACATAATGAATCTAACCTTTTTCTTGTGTGACAAGTCTCTAGAAATGACCTAACCCTATATTGCATGCATTTTTCAGGCAGTGCCACTTTTCCTATCGGAGATTGCTCCGGCACACCTCAGGGGAGGTCTCAACATTATATTCCAACTCATGGTTACAATTGGAATCCTAATAGCCAACATTGTCAATTACTTCACCGCCACGGTTCACCCTTACGGATGGCGAATTGCTCTCGGTGGAGCCGGAATTCCCGCCGTTATCCTCCTCTTCGGTTCACTGATCATCATCGAGACTCCCACGAGCCTCATCGAGCGTAACAAGAACGAAGAAGGCAAAGAAGCCCTAAGGAAGATCAGAGGAGTTGAAAATATTAATGACGAGTATGAAACCATAGTCCATGCCTGCGACATAGCCAGTCAAGTCAAGGACCCTTACAGGAAGCTCTTGAAACCCGCGAGTCGACCACCGTTCATCATCGGAATGCTTCTCCAGCTTTTCCAGCAATTTACCGGTATCAATGCCATTATGTTCTACGCGCCGGTCTTGTTCCAGACCGTTGGGTTCGGAAGCGACGCAGCTCTTCTCTCTGCGGTTGTGACCGGAACGATCAACGTTCTCAGCACGTTCGTCGGGATTTACCTCGTCGATAAAACTGGCCGGAGATTCCTTCTTCTCCAATCTTCCGTTCACATGCTCATTTGCCAGGTCCTTATCTTTCTATCTTGTTTCACAAGTAACATGAAGTAATTAACCTTTCTTGTTTCACAAGTAATCGTCCAAAACTAACACAATTTCTTCTTCTCAAACAGTTGATCATTGGAATCATCCTAGCCAAGGACCTTGGCACAACGGGAACACTGGGGAAGCCGCAAGCCCTAGTAGTGGTGATATTTGTGTGCGTTTACGTGATGGGATTCGCCTGGTCGTGGGGACCTTTAGGATGGCTAATACCTAGCGAGACGTTTCCTCTAGAGACTCGTAGCGCAGGATTCGCTGTTGCGGTCTCGTGCAACATGTTCTTCACGTTCGTGATAGCGCAGGCTTTCTTGTCGATGCTTTGCGGGATGAGATCGGGAATATTCTTCTTCTTCAGCGCTTGGATCATTGTGATGGGACTGTTTGCTATGTTCTTCATACCGGAGACGAAAGGAGTCGCCATTGATGACATGAGAGAGAGAGTGTGGAAGCCACATTGGTTCTGGAAAAGGTACATGCTTGCCGAGGATGATCATCATGACTTGGAGAAGAGAACTGATTGAAATCACTAGTCTTTCTGTTTCATCTCCTAATTTTTTTTTTTTATTATGTTCTTTAGTTCTTTCGTTACTTATTTTGTTTCGTGGGAACAATTAGTGTAATAAGACCAACTTGTTGATTCAAGTTAGGTGTTATCAATGAAATTCCACGGAAATTTCCTCACAAATCTAATTTTATAGTTCAATATTTCTTCATCATAATTTAAAGGTCTTGAATCTTAATTGTTTGACATGCAAATGTTAAAATATTGAGAATTTCTATTCGAAAAGAGTATATATACTTTAATTTTCCTTAGAAGAATCATTGGGTCTCCTCTTTGTGTCTTGTACTCTTGTGGTTCATATAGTTTCACGACCGAAAATAAAAGGAAACAAAAAAAAAGATGATCTGTTTTGAATCGCTGAACCAAACAAGCCATCCGGTTTAGTCGTCAATAAACAGTGAATCGTCGTAAACCAAAGCTATTATCAACGTCTTTCAATGCCTTTCTTTCAAAAGATAACAAAATATTCAACACTCACTCCCCTCAAGATCTTTTCTCGCCTAGTCAAAATGCAAAATCATAAGATACTGAAGGGAGTGTCAAGTTCAACAAACATTTCAAACTAAAATAGCCAGAAAAAAAAAAAAAAAGAGAGAGAGAGAGATTATGTTGATGAGAGCAATATTTCTAGTCGGGAAGTATTTGCTCATTGTCTGCATCTCCTTCAGTCTCAATGGTAGGCTTTGAAGGTCCAGCTCCAGGAGCTTGCTTCTTCTTGATACCACTCACTATATCATCAATCCTCAGAAGCATACACGCCGCTTCAATCGCTGTCTTGAACGTTTGCGCCTTCACATTGTAAGCATCCCATATCTAATCATAACGTTCAAAGTGTCAACAAAAGGTCTCAAGAAACCATAGATTCACCAAAAAGCAAAGCTTTTTATTCTTACCTTGCTCTCTTTCATGTCCGCTATTGCACCAGTGTTTCCATTGATTCCAGTCCAGGCATTCTCACCATTTGCGTGCTAAACAGTACCAAAGACTCAATCAATAGGAGAAAGATTTGGTATCAGAAACTGTCAGATATGAAAAAAAATTGTCGACGAATTATACCTTTCCTTGCAATGCTGTCATAGTTCTGATCACGTTAACTCCACAGTTCTGAGCTAGAGTACGCGGGATAGCCTCAAAAGCTATGGCAGCTGCTTCATAAGGCCACTGTTTCAATGACAATCAGAATTAGAGGCCCCATTCGACTTTGAAAAGATGTAAATATAGCTAAAAGGGTTATAACCATAGCCAACCTTTTCGATTCCTTCAATTGTTGCACTCTTCTGTTTTAAGGTAGCAGAAACGGTTAATTCTGTGGCCCCACCGCCAGGAACAAGCTTTGGGTTCTTGATGATGTTTCTTGAAACAGACATGGCATCCTGTAGGAAGAATGTATCAGGAACTTATGATAATGACTTGACTGAAGATAATTACTAAATATCATTCACGCACCTGAAGATTTCTTTCCACTTCGTTGAGAAGATCTTTACTTGGTCCTCTTAAGAGTACAGTACATGCTTTGGGTTCTTTGCATTCAACAATGAAAGCAAAGAAATCGTCTCCTATTTTCTTGACCTCAAACAAGCCAGCGCCGGTACCAACATCAGACTCTTGAAGCTCGTCGGGCCTGTTCACAATCACAGCTCCACATGCCTTAGCGATTCTGTTGTTGTCCGTCTTTCTCAACCTTCTGATTGCACTAACCCCGGCTTTACTGAAATAGTGACAGGCCAAGTCGCTAAGTCCCTTCTCTGTAATTACCAAATCGGGTTTGAACTTCAGTATTTGCACGCAGATGTTCTCGATGTACTCCTCTTCCAGTTTCAGCAGAACTTCCCAATCCTCTTCTCTAACCAACTCAGCATTGGTTTGGTTTTCACCTTTCTTGTACTCAAGGGGGCAGTCAAGAAGAATAATCCGTGGGTTGACAATCTTTCTCTTCATTTTACCAGGAGCAACTACGTCTTTGTTAAACATGACTCCTTTGAGAACCTTGGAGTCTTCCAACTGGCCACCAGGAACCTTCTCAACCTTAATGTATTTTTTAATATCCACCTCCCTCAATCCTTGTCCAAGATCAACACCAATAGTAGTGGTGGCGTCAATAGCCAAATCCTAAAAAAGCGACATAAAGTCGTGTAAGAACTTGAGCAAAGTACTTTGTGACAATCCATTCACTTAGACGGGAAAACAGGCTAAATAATGTGTCGCTTGTAAGAACTTAAACTATGTAGCTTCTAGATGTGCAGATGAGAAAATGTGTTTGTGTCTTATAAGTTTAGAGTGGCTTATCATGTAGTCTAGAAAAAAACACATATGGTAAAAGCCAGCCATGTGACTTAAAAGGAAAGATCTTCAGTAATGAAAGAACTCACAGCAATTAGATCTCCAAACTGGCTAGTGAATTTTGTTCCTATGCAGCTCTTGACTAATCCTAGTACTGTTGCACCTGCAATATAAAACAGTAAACATGAGGAAATTATCCCAAGACCAGGAAAGAAAAGTCCTCTACCCTGAAAAAAAATATCAAAAAAAAAGTATTCTTACGGTCATTGATATCGATTGACATGGCAATCTTGTCAAGAATAGCGAGTGCATCCTCGAGAGCCTTATTGTAAGCTGCAGAGAAGAAAACGTAGTTCAATAGAAAACAAGTAAAAAGACTATAACACTATGGAATGGTAACAAATAATAAGCAAGTACCTCGGCATATCACTGTGGGATGGTAACTCTTTTCAATAAATGCTTCGGCAACATGTAACATTTCACCAGCTGTTGAAAAAGAAGGACGAAATCAGTGAGAGTAAAAATAGCAGTTGCTTTCAGAACACACGCATAACACTGAAGTGCCAAATTCAGAACAAAACATCACAGCAGTGCCTATTACACTCTTCAAAGCAAACCAAGTGGCAAAGAATAATTTCAACAGAGACCATCAGATATAATGTACATACCAAGAACAATAACAGATGTAGTCCCATCACCGACTTCTTCGTCCTGTGTGCGGCTCAACTCAATCATCGACTGAAATCAACAAAGAGAGAAGAAAATCTATCAGAAAAGAAAAAGAGCAATGAGAAGACAACAAGAACGTTCAAGACAGGGAAAAAGTAAAACTTTAGCTGCAGGGTGAGCAACATCAAGTTCACGCAAAATAGCATTTCCATCATTGGTAACAACAATTCCTGTAAAGAGCCACAAAAAAAAGAGTTTAGCAGACAAAAAAAAAAACATAACCATAGAAGAAGAGAAAGAATCTAAACCCACAATTATATAAGGTTTATGTATAGCTAACTCAGAAAGCGAGGAACAATAGATTTGACAAAGAGAGTACACTGAATTACAAATCTGTGAACACTGGATCTTTCAAAAGGCATAAACCCTAGCCTAATTTTCGTCGACTTAGAAGATGTAGAGCGAAGAAAAAACACTAAGTAAGAAGATGCGAAGCGAAGGAGAAAACTACCTCCCCCAGCATCAAGAAGCATCTTTAACATAGAGCGAGGACCCAATGTCGTGCGGATGATATCAGCTACAGCCTGGAAAATTGAACCAGAACCATGGTGAAACCATGATTCGTAGCAGAGAAAGCAAAAAGAGAGAGAAGCAAATATTACAACTCTCTTACCTTGGAAGCCTGAATATTACCATGGTGAACCTTTGTTCCAGATTCACGCTTCAACGAATCCTCTGAACATATCACGAAGCAGTAGCCATTAACAATTTAGAACTCGGAAGTAAGAGTGCAAAAAAAAAACAATACAGATTCAAAGAGAGGAGATCTGTAGAAGAGGAGGGTACTCACTGAGAACGAGAACTGGGGCGTTCATATCTGCGATCTAAGCGTAGACGGCGAAACGGCGGAGAGGTTTAGCGACGGCGACGGAGCAAATTCGAAAAGAGGAAACTCAATAAAAAAAAAAGTGAAGGATTAGTCGATGCTATTGCTTCGCGGATCTCAGTCTCCTCAATTTTTATTTTCCAGATTAGTAAAAGCCCGGCAACTAAATATTAAAGCCCATAAGCCCACGTTCATGGTTTCGAGTTTTCTAGTTGATTAACAAAACAAACGTTTTTAGTACATGTCTACATGACACTTTTTGCCTCTTCTTAGCTCATGAGACTCTTCTTACCACGTCACCTCCGGTATGTATCACTTGACCAGGAGTAGTTCATAGAGTTAATTACCTCGATAATATTATGCTTTGCGATGTATGTAAAACATAGTAGTGTAGAGCCACATGTTAATCAAAATAAAACATAGATATCATTTTTTCGGTAAAACATATCGAATGTTAAGTTATAAGGTAATCATTAAAAATATCAATGCGTTGATCTCGTTTTACAGCAGCCTCCTTGGGAAAGGAGAGCAAAATGAATGGTGATGATCCCGTGGATCATTCAATGCAATGGAATTTCTCCAAAAATAAAATATAATAATAATAATATGTGAGATAATTAGTGAAAGTGTTACCACCATCTCACGAGCTCAATCCCGAAATTATTATTGACAACTTGCAATGCACGTGATTTTTGTATTTTCAAATAAATATTCACATATTGGTGATTTAATAAGAATGACCAAATTGTAGTGGTTAGGGCACTTGATTAAGTGGCTCTGCACTAATATGTTTATCTTCCAACTTACCAAGAATCTTTTGGTCACTCTCCTCATGATGTATACGTAGCCATCACTTCCATTTCATGTATTTTGAACTTATTGATCAGGTTTAAAAAACGAAGATTGAAGTTTCAAATTTCAAGATGTCGTGTAATCCAATAGTTAGTATTATAAACATTCAGACCATTCTTGACTTGTAAGAAATATGGATAGAGCACTCAGACAAAACTTAGCAATATGTCAAACATTTACCCCTCTCGATCGCCTCCTATTTTGAAAACCCATTCTGTGAATGTCATCAGCATCATGTCAGGCATCGATGAGCTACTAACATACGATCCATTTATATCTATCACAGTACTGAATATTCAAACTTTATTAAAAAAGTTCCTTAAATGATCAAAATCTTGAACATTAAAGTTCTTGCTACTCTTCAGAATTCTCTTTTTTTTCTTAAATAGACCTCTAGTTGAAAGAAAAAAAAAACTATAAAGCTATTGGTCGTCCCAATACCAAATACTATAATTTATCTTTCTCGAAGAATGAAATCTCGTCATATTTCCGAGAAAAGCTTCCTATGTTTTTTTTAGTATATAAATGTTATTAATTCTACTTGACTTTACTTACAAATTTTCACGCAAAATTAATTTATACTTTACTTTAAAAAGTTTCACTAACGTATTAAGTTTTATTTCATCTTATTCTTGTTTTAGAACTTCCATATACTTCTAATATCAACTTTTAATTATTATCTTTTTATTTTGGCTTTTATTTCAAATATTTGTTTTTTAATCATAAGTGTAGTTTTGCAAAGAGAAATACAGCACATCGAAACGTTACTATCTACAAGAATGGATACCATGTTAATTTCTTTAAACGCATATGTAACTTTTATACCTACCATCCGAAGGCATTTGCATCTTCTCACTTAACTCATTTAAGTTATTTACAATGATAAAGTTTGCCTAAGATTATTTTCCAAATTAAAATTTTCGTACGACTCTTAGTTTCAGAGCCGTACCTGAACACAAGCTAATGAAGCATATGTATCAGAACCGGTGAGAATAAATAAAATTTAGGGACCAAACATTTCCAAAACCGAGTTAGTGCTGCTGGTATTGAATGCATATGTTTCCTTCAACAAGTATGCGAATTCGAGTCTTCAAGGCGTCAATTATTCATCCTTTTTTAAAAAACTAGGTCTTATTTGTCCCACATCCACAAAACTAAAATAATATAGGAAAAGAACTGCGCTATAAATAAAAGAATCGTTTAAAATTAGTTTTTTTGTTACAGCATTTTTGATAAAGGGTTTAAGGGGGCCAAAAAAATTTCTCTTGCTTGTAATCTCAGAATTCTCAGGCATGGCTCTGCTTAGTTTAGTCAAATACGTATGTACACATTATCAACAAAAAAAAAAAAAAAACCAATGACCTATCGTACTATATATAGCGCATCATTCTTGTGCAATATCTCGCAAATCCTTACCACAAAGCTAGAGAGAAAATAAATATATAGCAAATACAAAAAAATAAAAAATGGAAGGGTTTCTTCGCTTCCTTGTGGCAAAAGTCATCCTATTGGCTTTAGCATCTTCATTTGTATCTTGTTACGACCCAAGTCCTCTGCAAGACTTTTGTGTTGCCGTTGATGACGTTAATGGCGGTAACTTATCGAACCATAATGTTATATCTCTCTATATTTAGTAATAAAAATTTTATATGAACTAGGATACTTTGTCTTGCTGGTCGAGTTACTGATCAATTTTCACTATTCTACTGTTTTTTATCATTAACAACATCAAAACTTTCCAACGATGATCGTAGATACCAAAATTGATAGAATAAAAAAAAAGTAAGATATGTTTTAACAAAACAAAACAAAACACACAGTAAAAAGAAAGTAAGATATGTTTACAGTTTCATATAAATTAGTCAGAACAGCAACAAAACACACATATATAAAATTATTAATAACCAACGTATACATAACATCAACTATCACTATGCGACAATTAATATATTACGTTTTTTCATCTTTTTATTTTCAGTTTTCGTGAACGGGAAGTTCTGCAAAGACCCAAAATACGTGAAGGCCGAGGATTTTTTTACTTCCGGACTAAACATCGCCGGAGTAACCATGAACCGCGTCGGCTCCAACGTAACAAACGTTAACGTCGACAAAATCCCAGGACTCAACACCCTCGGTGTCTCTCTTGTCCGAATTGACTTTGCTCCGGGGGGTCAAAACCCGCCACACACGCACCCACGAGCCACCGAGATCCTCGTCCTTGTTGAAGGAACGCTCTTAGTCGGGTTCGTGTCATCGAACCAAGACAACAACAGATTGTTCTCAAAGGTTCTTTACCCCGGAGACGTCTTCGTGTTTCCCATCGGAATGATACATTTTCAAGTGAACGTTGGGAGGACGAACGCGGTTGCGTTTGCTGGTCTTGGAAGCCAAAACCCCGGTACGATCACAATCGCAGACGCTGTTTTTGGTTCGAAGCCTTTGATTATGCCGGAGATCTTGGCTAAAGCGTTTCAGCTGGATGTGAACGTGGTTAGGTTTCTCGAAGCAAGGTTTTCTTCTAAATTCTAACTATGATCGCCTCATTATTAATAAGTTCACAAGGAATGACAAGAAAATGTATCAAAATATGAATAAATGGTCTGATGTGGTTCAAATATGTAAATATAGTGTGTGGAATCTAAAATACAATAATTAAGACGATAAAGATGTATTATTATACATGCAGCTTGATACTCAAAAGGTCTCAAAGCATAAAACCCAATCTATGTATAGAAAATAAAAGTTTATTTGTTTCTCATTCTTTGAGAGTACACAACATGGATACATTAGTTTAAGGCAAGTCTACTTTCTCAACTAGTCGCTAAACTAACCAATAAGTAAAAGGCTAATTACATGTGACTAAATACATGAATACTCTAATAAGTAAACGGCTACTAAAACATGTGACCAAGGAAGAAGAAGCAGAGTGGCTGAAGGAAAAATTCCTGACAAATAAAGGATTGAAGAAAAGCTCATCGAGAAACAAAACTATGCAAGATGTTGTCTTCTTCATCGTAGATTTTGAAGTCTTAACCTGGTAAAGTGTTGGAACTCCGATCGCCGACGCCTTTTTGGCGGTGATCACCGGAGATACTGTTTGAGAAATTGCAAACTATGCTTCTCTGTTTCCCCTATCTTCCAAGTTCCAAGTGGATATTGGATAATCTTATTGGGCGTTTTCCGACCCAGGCCCATTATTTTTTTTTTTTTATGTTTTTCTAAGCTGGTGCAAATCGCCGAGGAAGTCAAAAGTAACTCAAGTTCGAATATTTTACCATTTACTTTTTTGATCAAATTTTTATCATCTACTTAAAGCCTTAAACTGAACTAACTGTCGAAAATATGTGAACTGATTTGTTCGTTCGGTAAAAATAAATCAGCTGATGACTAGTATAGTATATGATGATTAAGTAAACCTTACATTAATATCAGTCATAGTTAATTTGTAACGGCGACACGGAACTAAAGGAATAAAGAATCATTGAATTGGGTAAACTTGCGGTGGAAGGGAATAAGATTATTCCCAAATAATTTTCTTAACGAAAAACAAATAGATTAATTCTAGGGTTTGAAGTTCCCAGGCTGTATTGTTTGGACCTTGAATGGTTTCCACCTCTTTGCTGATTTTTGGATAATAATAATCAAAGATTAAAATATTCCCCTAATCTCCGCATTTTCTTCTTCTTCTCGACTCTGCTTGTTTAATCCACTAAGAATTTTGAATTTCTTACCTTCCCAAGTTTTCTCTCTCCGATAGGAAGATCAGCGAAAGCGTTAAACCCCGATTAGAAATTCCGGCAAAGTATACCTGTCCAGGGTTTTCCCCGATTTCAGTTTGATCTGTGCCCGGAATCCCTGTGTTTCGCTTTCTCATTGCGCATACGATTCTTCTTTCGCCTTGAAGGTACGCTCTTGTTGATTGCGTTTGAATCACTCTCATATCGATCCCGAATTTCCCAGGTCGCCCTTTTACTCACTGCTTCGATTCAAGGTTTAGATGCTTTTGAATCGTTAAATTGGTCTCGGATTTTGGGTTTTCTCTCCTGTTGTTTCTGCTCCGCTTTAAGCATCATTTCGTTCTCCACCAGCCTCACCTCCTGGGGCAATCAATTAGCTATTTTCCAGATCTTTCTTTGCTATTGTACAGGTTTTTGCCCTTAGCTCCTTTTGCCCTTAGCTCCTTTTGCATTTGGCCATAACCAAGAGTTTGACGAGTGTGTTCAGAACGTACTTACAAAGTGTCTCTTTTTTGCAGAATGGCGGATTTGCTACCCATTTACCTCATTATCGTGGCTTTTCTATGCACTGTCGGAGCCATTGCTTTGGCCTTATTCCATATCTACAAGCACCTCTTGAATTATACTGAACCCATTTATCAGAGATATATTGTGCGCATAGTCTTCATGGTCCCGGTCAGTATATTAGCCGCTCCAAGAGCTTTCTATCTTCATCTGTAAATTCCATTTCATGTTGAATTCTCTCCGGCTAACATGTTAAAGATTATTTTTCGTACAACAGGTCTATGCGTTGATGTCATTCTTGTCTCTCGTCTTGCCCAAAAGCTCCATTTACTTTAACTCTATCCGAGAAGTGTGAGTAATTCTGAATTTTCAGTTTTTTTTGCTAGTTTACCATGAAATGTGCTTCCTCGAGTTACGATACCAAGTTCTCATTGACTCTTGAAAATAGATGACAAACCTTACGAACTCAGTTTTATCTTTTGCTTTCAGCAAATGCAGACCTGATTGTTTATATTTCTAAGGCTTTGTGATATTTTTCCTGTCTCAGTTATGAAGCGTGGGTGATTTATAATTTTCTATCGCTGTGTTTAGCATGGGTTGGAGGCCCAGGTTCGGTAGTTATAAGTTTAACTGGCCGCTCTCTGAAGCCATCATGGCATCTCATGACATGTTGCTTTCCACCACTACCATTAGACGGGTTAGTTTGCAAAATGAACCTACATTCTCTTTTTTTTTTTTAATATTGGTGGGGGCTAATTTCTTTGTTTTTTAACTATATCAATTTCATGCAATATCTGTAGACTCGTTAAATTCTTGATAAAACCATGCTGAGGATCTTATGGATGGGTAGGGTGTTGTCAATCATTTGGTTGTGTGAACTTTGTGGTTTACTAGAATAATTAGATTTTTTAGTCCACATATATCATATCATGATGATGATTTTATGTTTGAATCTTGATTCTGAGTTCTTTGACGACTGTCTTAGCTGTATTAGCTCATACCCGATTATCCTTTGATGAAGGCGTTTTATTCGGCGGTGCAAGCAAGGTTGTCTACAATTTGTAATTCTAAAGCCAATCCTAGTTGCTGTCACACTTGTGCTTTATGCAAAAGGGAAATACAAGGATGGAAATTTTAGCCCTGATCAATCCTATCTCTATCTTACCATCATCTATACAATATCATACACTGTGGCTTTGTACGCGCTGGTCCTTTTTTATGTGGCTTGCAGAGATCTGCTTCAGCCATTCAATCCAGTCCCAAAGTTTGTGATTATAAAGTCTGTTGTCTTTCTAACCTATTGGCAGGTAATGTCTCTTATTCTCTCGCTATCACTAAACCTGGTTTTGGCATTAACTTCTGCCTTTTACTATTCTCCACAAAATTTCCAACACATTTCTTTTGGCTGTCGAACCTTTTTTGTGTTACAGGGTGTTCTGGTTTTCCTTTTTGCTAAATCTGGATTTATAAAGGGTGAAGAAGAAGCAGCTCTCTTTCAAAATTTTATAATCTGTGTGGAGATGCTTATTGCTGCAGCTGCCCATTTCTATGCTTTTCCATACAAGGAATATGCAGGTGCTAATGTCGGAGGAGCTCACAGTTTCTCAGGAAGTCTGGCACATGCTGTTCAACTAAATGATTTCTACCATGATACTGTTCACCAGGTAACTGATTCGTTGGAAAAACACATAGTATATTGAAATGATTAAATCTGTGTCCCTTTGGTGCGATGATGAGTTTGATTTTCTTATAGTTTGCCCCTGCGTATCACGATTATGTGCTCTATAATCATAATGACGGTGGTGAGGAAGGGGCAAGGAAGTACCGAGTGCGAACATTTGTGCCAACTGGTCAGGAAATGGATGCTGTTAGAAAGAACAAACACATGTTTGGAAACAAGATAGATGGTGTTTCACCCTCCAGTCACTCGTCCTCGGGAACAAGCACACCGAAAACTTCCGGTGTAACTACTGATCCAGCACGCCGTGAGACTATGAAATCATCCTTGTTGGTGGATGCCTCGGACTCGGCTTCCACAATGTATGACATGTCGCTCATTGACATCGATATATCGAGCTACCCAAGTAAAGTACCTTCTGCAAATGTAAATGCAGGAGGATCTAGATAGTGAGGACGATCAGGGCCGTGCCCATGTTATGAGAAAAGAAACACTCACGGCCTTTGTGAATATAATTTTTTTTATATATATATTTTGGAATTGAAAATTAGTTATACTGATAAACTTATTCTAAACTATTAGACCAATCTAATTCAACATATATTTTTTTTTTCTCGTGGTTCACTATCTTTGGTTTGTAGATAGAAAATAATTTTGGAATTTTGGTTATACAATCTCAAGAGTTGTAAATCATTTGGTGTGAAGTTAGAAAGAGTTAGATAAAGTTTGGAGCAATTTGTATTCCCTTTAGTTTTCTATGGAGTTTGGAGTTGTTAGGCCATATCTGATTATGTTCCTTTCAGACCGCGAACAAAATATATCAACTTTTTTGTTTGTGTGATATTTATGCTAACATTTTATTAAATGGAGTTTTGACCTAAATTTTGTTTTTTATCACGCTTATTTACAAACAATGTAATAAATTCAAAATATCGATACACCTAAGACCCCAGCAACTAAGCATGCGATAACCAAAAGACATTCTTCGTTTAAAAAATGTCAATATCATGATGTCATTCCACAGTCTTTCTTTTATCAATCAACTAATTGTACAAGATCAGAAATCAGATTATATTGCTAGTCCACTATTTTAAAATTAACACAAAATCCGTCATATGTAAATAGTTTAATGAATCTACATATTTTATATAACTTTTTACCCTAATAGCAGAACGTGACTTTAATTTTTTTTTTTTAATTGAATTTTTACTAGTTGGGAAGTTAGATTAAAGTCCCAGCTACATATAGTGTATTTGATTTGACGAGAAAACTTTTTATTTTAGTAACAAAAAAAAAAGAGATAGACGCCATTAAAAGCAGAGTAGTAGTACGTCAGAGCAAAGCCAACAATATTTAAAGCAACAACGTGAAGCACTTCAAACAAGATTGAGGTGTATTCAACGAAACCCTATTTCTTGTCGGCGTTTTGCGACGGCGGTTTTGGCGGCGGCTGAGTGTTTCAGTGTTTACAAGTTAACCAAATTAGCCGACATCGGAATCTGCTGCAAGAAATCTCAAACGACCCTTTCTTTAATTCCATTCTCTACACACACACACACAAAAAACATAAAATCCCATTTCCTCTTGTCAAAGATTCCGATGAACAGAAACAGCAGCGGCGGCGTTTGGCAGAGCAATAACGGTTACTATGGCTATGGCTACGGAGGAGGAGGATACGTGGAAAAGAGACAGCTGTTCCTTAAGAGCTACCAATTCTCGAGGAAACAGAGCTTAACGGAGAAGATTAAGAGATCTGTTAGGAGAGTGGTGAAGAAAGTTGTTTGGCTGAGGTTGAAATCCGCTCGGAGACTAAAACGCGTCGTTTGCTCGCGTCTCAAAACGGCGTTCTTCTACCGCCGCAGACGCTTTTTTCGTCTACTTCACCCAAATAAACCCTCCTCCTACTGCTTCTACTAATTAAAGCTCTCTTTCTCTTCTCTCTCTGTTCCTACTTCGTCTGTGTGTGCATTGTTCGAAGCTTGCTTAAATTCAAGCTTCAATCTTCTTTGATTATGTTGTTATTACTAAATGATCGTGTTATGGATACTGAATAGGATTATATTTACTTGATTGTAATCGAAATTGTCGATATTATTCAGAGATTTTGGAAAAGATCTAGTTATATCAGGATTTTGTTTTTTAAGATTTGAAAGAGACTTTAGGATACGAAAGATCATGCAGGAAGCGTGAATTCAGCGTCGATTCAGTTCAAGCTCACGTAATTGTTAGTAACTTAGTATTAATTTATTTATAAGTCATTAGTCACATAACGCAATAACGTAAGCGAGTTAGGTTCCTCTTTTCTCGTGTCTCTTTGCCCAACAAGTCAGTGTGATACGTTATCGTAAGCGAGTCATTGTCTTACCAATTAAGTCCCATTTTCTTTTTAAAATAAAATATTATTTGGGCCTCTTATGGGCCTAATTGTGGGTCCATATAACATTCAGTGGTTCTGCGACATTCGCTCTGCCATACACGAACTGAGAAGTCTACGCGCATTGGAAGCACGTGTCACCTACGCGCTTGGTCTTCTATAGATTCCAAGCGAAATTCGTCTTGAACCACCTATCCGGAAAATGAGCTCCACATTGAATTGCATTGTTTTGTTTCGACAAAGTGAACCAATTAAATTGAGTTGCAAACCAAGAAAAAAAAAGGTATCTTGAATTTTTTAGTTAAAAAAAACGAAAATAAGACTCGGGTAGAGAAGTAGTAATCCCATGTTATTATTATGTTTTCGTTGGGAAACCCATAAATTGAAAGTTGAACCAAAGTCGGACCGTTGATAACAAACTGAAACAGGTTAGATGAACCGGAGACATAGTTCGGTTGAAATATCGTAGAGATAAATAATAGGGGATAAATAGACTAGCAACCAACTTATTCCTCGTCACCAATCCAATCATTGTCGATTAAGTGTATACAAAAAGATTTGGACAAAAAAAAAAGATTTGGACCTCTTTCTCTTTCTTACTATTATTCTTCTCTCTCTCGCTGTTAATGTCACATTTGTCAGGGGCTGCCCACAATAAACTATAGATTTTCGAAGAGCTACTCTTTCTCAACTACCTCTAATTTTGTAATATTCCATGTATTATAGAGACTTCCCCTTCCAAATTCCAATCATTAGACATATCTTCCCTTATATTCCCTTGATTTTCCCTTTTGGCTAACGTAAAAGCATTAAAAATCTTTACAGTCTGTTTTATTATGATTCCAATCCCAAAATCCTGCCCTATATCGGCATATATTTTTTAGATTGAGACAAACATTTAAATCTCATTTACAGACGAAACCGCAAGTCTCGCTGTTCCACATAACAAAACTTGCATAATTAATGTACAAAAAAAACTCAGTTCAACAAAAGAAAAACCAAACTCATATAAATCAGTTTCTTAATGTTTTTTTTTTTATCAAACATATAAATGTTTTTATTTTGTTAACGAATATATCAAAATGTTAGCATTATAAAATTCAGCAAAATTTTAAATACTATAAAAGATCTTATCTGAAATGGGGACAAACGACAAATTCTTGTCGGATTCTATTTTCTTTCCCATTTCCGCAAAAAATCCATCTGTAACTAATTTCACATATCACACCAAGAAAGGGTTTTGTCTTCTTTTTGCAGCATCATAGTCACACCCCTTAACCGGGTAGGTCCATATACAGAGCATATGCTTATGTGGTTAAACAAGAGCTGCCCATTTCTGCAGAAATGGAGATATTTTTGGGTTTTAAATGAAAATAGAGAATAAATCCATGTGATTTAAGAATCTTTCTCACTCTCTATGCCCTTTTAAAACCACATGCATTAAGCTACTTCTCTTCATCAGTTCACCGTCATCATTACAATGTTTCCTTATCTCTATATCCTTTGAAGCCAAGAAAAGCACTTCAATTACTATTCATGCTCTGTTTTTATTATCCTTCTTTCATTCTCTCTGTTTTGCTCTTAACCTTCATTGGACACTAACTCTGTATTGCTCTTAAGACATCATCAAAACCCATTTTTAACCGAACCAGAGATGCTGCAGACTGTAAGCAAGTATCGATGGAGACAGTCGTGTCGTTACAAGAAGCTAGCTGATCATCATGAGGAATTGACAACAACAACAACAAGGTCGGTTAAAAGGCAGAACTTGGGGAAGAAGAACGAGATTCGAGCAAAAGGGTTTAGACTAAACCGACCAAGGAAGCTGGTTCTTAAGGCATTAGCTTTGCCTAGAAGGATCTTTAACATTTATATGCGCATCACAAATAAGATGAACAGAGAAGGTTTATATCCTAATCTTGTTTTTTCTTCTCATTGGGGTTTCCCTGTTCTGCTGAATTCAAGAGGTGGGTTCCGTTAGAGAGAAGAAATCTGCTTCTGAGTAATCAAAAAGGAATGAAACATAGAAACGTAAAGCCTGTGTTTACATTACATACATTATACATACTATGATCTTGTGAATTACAATGTTGTTGATTTGGAGGATAAAAAAAGAAAAGAGTTTAATATTTGTTCGCTTTCATAGTTCAGAGCAAATGGTAAACTGATTCCATTAAAATCATCATCACATTGGTGAAGACGAGTAAAGTTTGTTTTATTTTTTGGTCGAGTAAAGTTGGTATATAGGACAGATACCTTGCCATCAACTCCTGTGAACACAAGGAGATCTACAGGATCCTCCATGACTTTTAAAACTTGTATCCTCTTTATATGCTTTTATTTATTTTTCATTTACTCCTAGATGAGAAAACTTGCTCGTAGATAGTCAGTCTCTTAAAGATTTTCTTGAGAAATCTCAGCCATGACTTGTTGTAAGTAAGACTTTCAGTTAGCAAACAGAATGTGATGATTTGTGATAACTCTTTCTTTTCCTTTTCTAAGAAAACATAAATAAATGGATAAAGTAAAAGAACAAGACTTGCAGTAAGGGTATGCTCTAAGAACTGATCTACAGCATTGGTTTTGCATGATTTGTTCCTGAAAATGTTCAAAGCACTATTGGCTCCAGAGATTGGTTACGAGAAGCCTACTTGTTGAAAAACTGGTCTCATTGTAATCAGTGAACCAAAAATAATTAAAGAGTATCTACAAGAAGAAGAAGAAAAAAAAAAGAAGAAAAAAGTTACGAGCTTCTTTTTTGCTTTTGTAGTTTACAATTTTTTTTTCATGTTTCATTATTTGTATATCATTTTTGAATTAAATGGGTATGGTGTGAAACCTATATGTTCATTTCTTGGGTGGGAATTTGGCCTTAACCTTCTGAATCTCCTGTGGTCCAACCTGGAACGCCTTGGCAAGCAAGTCATCAGGAATCGGCGGGTTAGCACCAAACAGAGATGGCCCAACAACTTGAGTCCCGGGAAGCTGACTATCGAAAGCAGCGATCACGGAAGCAGGAGCTTTGTGAGGGTTCTGCTGGAAATGGAGGAGAGCTCTGGGGAATACAAAGACATCTCCTTTGTTGACATGTTTTGATATGAGTTTTCCTGCGCTGGTCAAGAAGCCGACGAAGAGACGTCCTTCGAGGACGAATATGGCTTCAGAAGCTCGCGGGTGGAGATGCGGCGGGTTGAGTCCTCCTGGTGCGTAGTCGATCCGGGAGATGGAGACACCCATAGTGTTGAGGCCAGGGATTTTCTCAACGTTTGCTCCTGTAACGGCTGAGCCCATTGAGCTGTTGCTGGTAGCTGCAGCATTGGCTAAGCCTATGAAGTAGAAGTCCTCTGGTGTTACTTGTGCCGGGTCTTTGCAAGCATATCCGTTGACTTTCGCACCTATTATAAAAGCATGATCAAACTCAACGTCAAGAATATTGATACATATATATCTCTAAAATGAGACATAATAAGAACACGAATTTTGTGTCATCTCCTGTTGTAGATGTATAGTTTTCCTTTTCAGTATTCAGAGATGTGGATATTATATCAAAAGAGATAGAGATGTGATACCCTTGAGATCAGCAACACAAAAATCTTGAAGCATATTTGTTTCGGCGAAGGCCGTGTGGGCGGCCAAAATCAAGATGGTAACAAAAAGATGGGTCATGGAAGTTGCCATTGTTGGTTGTTGTTGAGAAAATGTTTTTTGATGAATTTGAGAAAATCCTTTGACCTTGTTTCTTAATTTATATGTCTATGTAAAGAAGATCTAACCGATGAAGAAACCAATGGAGAAGAGATAAATATGGAAGGGGCATAGGCTTGTTAATTTTAATTTTTTGCCATTATTAGGTTTAGGTGTTTTGATCGTTGGTTAATATTTGGTGATTAAAAGGGGATTTGTTTGTTGGGAACATAGGATGACACTTAGCATACAAGAAAAATACACCTTGAAAACTATAAGAATCACCAATCTTGAAATGATTAAAAGAAGGGACGATGATTTTGGTTGTTTATTAGTCTGAACAACTCATGTGGTGGTTTATTTGATTCAACTGAATCCAAACAAGCCCTTCTGAGTTGATAACCAAACCGGAAAGGTATGGTTCAATTTCTACTCAAATAAAACCAAAACCATAAACCGTTAGAGGTATCAAAATCGAATTTCTATCTATCCATACATTTGCTGCTTTGCATGATCATAAAATATATAATACACAAATGATTTGGGGTCAAGTAAGTACAAAATAAAATAGAATATGGGACTCACTATATTCATAAATTTGCAGGATTAAAAAAATCCCCTCTTCAATAATGTCCCAAATAGAGTCCATAAGATGATAGCAGAATACCAACTAAGCAAATTCCCAAAAAACTCTATTTAATTATCTAGAATAGGTATAAACATGCATCTAAGCACGTAGATACCGTAATCTCTTTGAATATTTAATTATACCAATGCTGATCAAAGACAACCTCAACTGCTTCAACATTATTCCAATCTGTCATCTCTTGTCTTCACATGTTTCTAAATAACTTCTTCTCTTCTTTCTCCATCGCCCAAAATTCCACTAATTCATTTCTCTTTCTTTGCTAATCCAATCATGACTGTTAAGGTAAACATTCTAAGTACTAGTTTTCTCAAACATCATATGATTCCATTTTTTATTATTCCTTCTATATGGTTTTGAGCAGAAAGTTGAGATCAAGGTGGATATAAACTGTGGGAAATGCAATAGCGCAATCATGGAAGCAGTCACAGAGATAGAAGGTACTGAGAATATTTTTTAAAAAAACAATCTCTGGTCTAACATATTCTAATAAACATGAGATATTTGATGCAGGTGTGAATCATATTTCATTAGATGAGGAGAAAAGCATACTTACCGTGGTGGGCACAATGGATCCGGTCTGCGTTGCAAAACGGCTGAAGAAGATTAAACAGAAACCTGTAATCATCAGCGTTGGACCACCACCAAAACCTCCTGAGCCGCCAAAGCCTCCACAAGCGCCTGAACCAGCAAAGCCTCTACCAGCACCTGAACCACCAAAGCCTGTATGTAATTGCAAGCCTATGCCTCCTCACTGTGCGAGTTGCGATGTTGTGTCTGTTACTACCTATGAAAGTGGAAGCGGCTGCACCATTCTTTGAGTCATGTGTTTCTTACCTTAATTAGTCACCACTCTTTTTACCAAAGCCTTTCATATCAAGTCCTGCAACCTATATATTAGCCAAGACTAATTTCTTATTTTACTTATGCCTTCTTCTCGGATGTTGTTGTTCAATCCCCTGTTTTGAATGAGTAGCTCCGTTGATGCTAGTTTGACGGGGTTCCTGCTAACAAGAGGAAAACACCAATTTTTTGGTGAATTTAAGCATGTGAAGTAAAACTGCAGAGGTTAGTCATGTGACTTGGACGTGCTATATAATTAATTTCCAGCAAAAAATAAGATTTCCATATCGTGTATAAACGTTTTCTGGTCAGATTGAATTAGAGAAACCATGGAAGACTTGTTTTGTTTATGAATGTTCATTGCCACAAGCTGTAAAACAGATGATGCATGATAATGTGAAGCTCTTTTAAAAAAATATATGAAATGAAACCCATAAGGTGAGAGGTGAAACCATAATGTGCTACAGACTTATTTGAGTCGTAGACGCTTGATAAAGCCATCACGCAGGCCCATTAACTTTGTTGAGCCCATTACTAAACTTTTGAGCAAATCCGCAACATTGAAAAAAGATTGGGGGGTTCTTATGGAAAACAAATAGTAGAGTGAGGGACCATAATACAATAAGTAGAAACAAAAGCAAGTGGACGACCACGGCGGAAGATCAACATGTGGTGATGTGCATGAGACCAAGCCCGTGTTTTCTCGTTCTCCGGCGCACATTTGTTTTTTTTCCCCGTATTTTTGTTGCCTTTCTTCAACTAGACTCTCTATTTATTTATTACGATAGTATAAACTAATTTTTAGGTCTGTGTTTTATTAGGTAAAAAATTATTATTCAACTAGATCTATCTTTTCGAAAGCGACATAATTTTTATTTTAAAATTATTTGATTCTTTCTGAAATATATCCATGTTTTATATTTAAGCTGAAACTTTAATGGAATCCATCTACATGAACTACATAGCCAACAATGAAGATGGAACTACTTAAATTTGTTTTTTTTCTTTCAAAAAACTACTTAAATTACTGAAACCTTTTTTAAAAAAAAAACTACTTTCAATCTAGGCTAGGATATTTGTGTAATAAATAAAAACAATTACAGATTGTCGTGTTCCCTTAAATTAATCCAAGCATATATATATATATATATATATATAGTGTCGTAGACCTTACATTACATAACATGACAGCGATCATCACTCGAAAAATCAGTGTGTTTTTGCATCTCTCGTAGGGTAGGTTTATGATGGCTTTCCCCAACTTCCCATTATATCATCACCACTTGTTTCTTTCACACATGCTTCTGCCCAAAGTGGAAAGCTGAGTTGGGAGAGATCATAATTCATAAGAGTTCGTTATGCAAGTCATTACTACGTCAACGTCAGTTCAAAGGAAGATGATTCGATTTTTACTTTTTTTAACCAAGAAGAGAGAGGATGATTCTCTCTTGGCAAGAGTGACTTATTTTTGAGGAGTATAATTATCAAAACCACATAGTATTATATTTTCGTATAATCCCTAACCAAATTCCTATAACAAAGAATATAGATATAGGGGTTTTTATTATAAGAAAATTGTTTATGCCGGTGTCATCAATTTCCATATACGTAGTTCATTCAGAAAAAGTTAAATCAAGATATTTTTTCTGTATTTCAAGTTTCTAACAAAACTGAACGAAATAATTTAGTAGCTAAAGAAACGTGTAGAAGGTACACCTACTGCCAAGAATTGTTTTCTAGAAACCAATTATTTCAAGAAATTAAGTTGAATTGCTATAACGAGAAATCTAGAGATAGATATATCTTCTCCACCAAAAAAAACAAAAAAAAAATCAGGCTAAGAGCCAATAGAGATCACATACTATGGACCCATTTTCTCCATGTGCTAGTAAGCAGAACATCAAACTAATTAGTAATTATATCTGCTTTTGTCGCTGTTGCCTCTCCTTTAGGGATGCTGAGCGTTTTAAGTGTGAACGAAGATCTAGGAAACATAAAAGATGGTCTCTGTCTTTGTCATATAATAAGAGCAGCGAGTGAATTAATTTAATTTTTAAAATTAAAATCAAAATTAAAACTCCAACCGTGAATCCAGCCATGAAACTCTTTTCGATTTTTCTTTTGTTTTTTTTGTTGGTCACTTTACAAAGAATTCCTTCTACACTAGTCTCATTTGTCTTCGTTTTTTTCTCCTCTTTCCTTGTTTTTTTTTTTTTTTTTGTTTCTTTCTTGAACTCAGACAAGCACAAAGATCGAATTTTTTTATATATTACACTACGTGTTTGGCTTTAAAGTTTGTTCCTCTTCCCTATCTCTCACTCCAAGAGATCTGTTTTCTTTTTTGCTTTCTCTCTTCTCTTCCAGTGAGAGAGTGAGATAAAATGAAGAAACTTTTGTTGGTAGGGATAATTGTGGCAGGGCTGACTCTGGTAACTCAAGCAAACGAGTATCTAGATTTCAATGTGACAGAAATAGATCGCATTGAGGAATTAGAGTTTGGATTCTCCAAATATAGCTCCAATTTGAACCCTTTATTAGTTGGTCTCACCCTTATCAGAGGAGCTGATTCTGGAGCTGGTACTCTCTCTCTCCATGTCTCTCATTTTTTACTTTGTCGAGTTTTTTTCAGATGTCAAAAACAAAAAAAAAGGGGTACAAATGGTTGCTTTAATTTTTTGGGTTGTTTCTTCATTTATTCACTTCAGCTAACATTCTTCTCAGCTGGTTTTATCTGTTGTCCCCTTCCATATTTAACTTGTTTTTTACGTTTATTGTTATGTATTCTTCACGATTCCTTTCATTTTCCCTGTTTTATTGATTAAAAATGTAAATATCAACAAAATTCATGTAATTTATATGATCTGTTTTTAATTTACAGTAAATTGTGCTCAGATGAACAGGGTTAGAAGCAGTGTATCTTATCTTGTGATGTGTCATTAGGAAAAAAAAAAAACAAGAAGAGTGTTTTTTAGATCTGTTTGTGACTTTACAAGTTTGTTTGTGTATTTCGTTCACAGTTTGTTTGGATGGAACATTGCCTGGATATCACTTGCACCGTGGACATGGATCTGGAGCTAATAGCTGGCTCATTCAGTTGGAGGTTTAGTGAATGATTTGTTTTCTATAAAATCTACTTTGTATAAGTCTTCATTCTTTAAAGTTTAATGTTTTGCAACTGAAAAATGTGAAACAGGGAGGAGGATGGTGCAACAACGTCAGGACCTGTGTATACCGGAAGAAGACTCGACGTGGATCCTCTAACTATATGGAGAAACAGCTTCAGTTTACAGGAATATTGAGTGATAAAGCTCAAGAGAATCCCGGTATCGTTTCAATCCTTGTTTAAGTTTTGTTCAAGCCAGTAATATAATGTAATTCTGAGAATCATTGATCCTCATTGTCAAGTGTTTGTGTTTTGAAGACTTCTTCAACTGGAATAGAGTGAAGCTTCGTTACTGTGATGGCGCTTCTTTCAGTGGAGATGGTCAGAATAAGGTTCGAATCTATACACTATTGAGCTAATAGAGTTCTTGAGCGACCCATTGATGTGCTTCAGAACAACTTGCTAGTTTCTAGGCTTTTGGAACTCTGTAATTTCTAATCGTCTACACTATTATTAGCCATGGACAACGCTTGATATGATCTTAGTTATGTAGTTTTGAGCAGGTTTTAGCTGTGTAACTAATGCAAATTTACCTTAAACTTTTTTCAGGCTGCACAGCTTCAGTTTAGAGGAGAGCGTATCTGGAGAGCCGCCATAGATGACTTGAAGGCGAAAGGAATGAGATATGCCAACCAGGTTTGACACTCTTAACCTTATCTTAGTCTACACCTCAGGATAAAAGGCAAGAGTGATGTTAACTGTTTCTATTATGTCAGGCACTTTTGTCTGGATGCTCTGCTGGTGGTTTAGCAGCAATTCTACGATGCGATGAGTTTAGGAACTTATTCCCTAGATCCACCAAAGTCAAGTGCTTAAGTGATGCAGGCTTGTTCTTGGACACGTTAGTTTATTTTTCCCAACTCAAAGTCTGTGTAAAAGCAGGCCATTTTCCTTTTCCCTTGATTTAGTAACTGTGATTGACTGGTTTGTTTCTGTTAATTATAGAGCTGATGTTTCTGGTGGCCGCACAATCAGGAACTTGTACAATGGTGTAGTAGAATTTCAGGTGGGATTCCTCTTTCAAGCCCACAGCTTCGTTCCTTTATATTTGAAGAGCACTAAGATACTTTTAGAAATCTTCTTGACCATATCTGGGATTTTACCATTTACAGAGTGTAAAGAACAACCTGCCTCGTATCTGCACAAACCATCTCGATCCAACCTCGGTAAACCTTTTTTTTTTTTCTCACACTGATGTTGTTGCAGACTGAAGAATGACCATTCGAAGTCTTGTATTTGATGATAACTCATCGTTTCTGTGCAGTGTTTCTTCCCACAAAATCTGATAGGTCAGATGAAAACTCCACTCTTTATTGTCAACGCAGCATATGATACATGGCAGGTAATGTTCTTTTTTCTCTACGAAAACTCGAGATTGCTTCTAATAATAAGAAGAAGCTATTGTGCGTTGATGGTTAGGCTCACGCAACTTGTCTTTATAATGGCTTCTAATCAGATTCAAAGCAGTATAGCTCCAACATCAGCGGATCCTAGTGGATTTTGGCATGACTGTAGACTAAACCATGAAAAATGTACCCCTGCACAAATGCGCTTCTTGCAAGGTTGTTCTATACATCACAAAGCTTTTGGACTTGACATTTTAAAGCGTTGCATTGCTATAATTGTTTAATTTTTTTTTTCCGAGAACAGGATTCAGGGATCAGATGCTGAGTGTAGTGAGGGGATTCTCAATGTCTAGACAGAATGGATTATTCATCAATTCCTGTTTCGCTCACTGCCAAACCGAGAGGCAAGATACTTGGTTCGCCGATGATTCTCCTGTCATCAAGAAAAAGGTAACAGCTCAAACCTTTCCAAAACAAGAAAAGGCTGTTTTTGGATCTTGGACTCCTGACTAAAAATCAATTCTTGACATTGTGTATATGTAATGCAGGCGGTAGCAATAGCCGTGGGAGATTGGTATTTCGACAGAGCGGAAGTGAAGTTAGTTGATTGCCCATACCCTTGTGACAAGAGCTGTCACAACTTGGTGTTTAGATGATTGATTGACTGCTGTTCTTTATTCTTATATACCTTAGAAAAGAAGCTTCTTTCAAATGGAGAGGCCTACATGCATTCTTGATATTACCAATGCCTCATTTGATAAATGTATGATTGATTTTGCTGCTCTGGAAAACCATTAATAAAACCCAAAACAAAGTTTGCTCATAAGAGTTTAAATGTGATCACAGAGAAATGATCCTTCTTTTGTTTTTTTTCTCTCTTCAGACTGCAAGTAGTTGATCTATATACTGGAAATGTCAACATTGGTCCCACAAAGAATTCAGGATAACTGTTTTATTTATTTCACAAATGTCTAACAAATGCAGATAATGGCTAAGAATAAACAATAAAATAGTAAGGATAAAGAAAGTGAAAAGAGTAGAGAATATACAGAGTGTGTTGACACTTGACACCCTGGTTTTAGGGTGAGAGACAGCTATCCAGTGTTCCCCACTTTATGTGTGTAAGTGGTTTTTTCGGCCTATCATTTCCTTTTTAAGTTCTCTCAGTCAAACTAATTTCTTCAACAACTCTGCCAATAAATAATCTGAGAGTTTTGAAGTTGAACCCTGTCCATTACTTTTTTTTCTTCTAGTTCCTTCTGAATCTTCTTTCATGGCTTCTGATTCTCAGACCGCAACTGCAGCTACTTCTGAAAAGGTAAGCTTGCTCAGATATTCTTCCTCTGTTTCAGAGAATCTTATTACATATGTTTATACGCATCTAATTCTGTATGTATCTATATGTACCTTCTGTGTGATGCTTTTAAGGTTGATAGATAGATTTCTGCATCCTGTTTTGATTCTCGTTAAGATCCATATGCTTTCACTGAGGCATAGTCGAATATACTAGTATGTGTTAACACACACATATATGCTCTCCCAGTATATGTATGTTATGCGTATGCACATACATATACACGTAGTATCAAAAGTCTAGAGATACCTGCAATTTTTAACGTTAGCATAAAGTTAAGAAGATAAGATTTGGCTTCTATATTCCACTTTTTTGAAATGCTTAACCTGGTTTTTAACCCTAGTATTCTGTATGAATGTGGAGAATTCTGGAGCAATCATTAGAAGGGGAAAAATGGTCTTTTTTAGAAAGTTGTAGATTATAGCACATGGATGAAAAAGAAACTATCTTTGTCCATCATTTTCTAGAAAACTTTCTTACGTTTCTAAGTATGATTACTGTTCGACAATAAATAAAGCCATACTTTGTGAGTTTTCTATTTAATAGAGAATTATAAAGAGGGTTTCCTTTTACCTGATGCAGCCATTGGAGAACAAGGTGAACGAGGAAGCTAAGTTGATGGAGAAAGATATTGTTTTGTCGGAAACTGCGGATGTGGTGAAAGATACACCGATTTCAGATTCAAACCTGACGGTTGCGAAGGAGAAAATTGATCAAAATCCTGCTGGTGAACCGGAGAAAGAATCACCTGCAGTTGTGGAGGAGGTTGCAGCAGTTGTGAAAGCAGAGGAATCTACAGAGAAAGGAAAAGATGAAAATGGTGAGAAGGTAGCTAAAGAAGAGGAGATTAAAGAACCAAGCCTTGTGAAAGAGGATGTTGAAGAGGTTAATGTTGAAGCTGTTGGTGAGGAGAAAGCAGAAGAAAAAGGGGAAGATAAAAATGTTGAGAAGAAGATAGCTGAACAAGTTGAAATAAAAGAACCAGCCCTTGTGAAAGAGGGTGCTAAAGAAGTTGATGTTGAAGCTGTTGTTACAGAGAAAGCGGAAGAGAAGCGAACCGTGGAGAGTGTTGTTGAAGAAGACAACAAGGATAAGGAGGAGACGAAGGTGGTCGATGTTTCTGAATCAACGGATGAAACTGGAGGCAAACAGGTGGAACCAGATGATGTTCAACCTGTTAAAGATGTCTCTGCAGAGAATGCCGAAGAAAAAATCAAAGACGTTGAGGTTCTTGAAGTCGAGCCAAAGCCAGAGGCTTCTGAAAAATTTGAGACTCAGCCTGAGAAAGCAAAGGAATTGGCACCAGAAGTTGAAGTAGTAAAGGCAGAAGAAACATCTGAAACAACAGAACAAGCTAAGGTTGAGGTTGAGCTTGAAGGAAAGTTGGAGGAGAAAATTGCTGAGACCGAAGATTCGGGCATCAACTCCAAGGATGAAAAAACTTCTGAATCTGGTTCTGTTTTGTGCCCTGAGGAAATCAAACCGACAAACCAAGATTCAGACACTGGCGCCAAAAAGGAGATTGAAGGATATGCTTCTTCTCCTGCTGATGTCATTGATAAGGCCATTACTGAGGAGAAACATGTAGTGGAAGAACCATCAAAGGATGAAAAAACTTCTGAATCCGTTTCAGATTTGTGCCTTGAGAAAGTTGTACCGACAAACCAAGATTCAGACACAAACTCGATAACGGAAACTGAAGCTGCTGAGGTCATTGAGAAGGCCATTACTGAAGAGAAGCATGTAAAGGAAGAACCATCTAAAGATGAAAAAGAGAATGTGAGTGAAGCCATAGATGTCGTAACTAAAGTACCTACAGAAGAGGAGAACATCAAGAAAGATACTGAAACACCAGCTGCAGATGACAAGGGCGAAGATACATTGAAAAAAACTGAGACAGAATCAAGAGAGAAGGAAACTGAAGCAAACAAACAAAAGGAATCAGTGACAGAGAAAATAGCAGAGGTTGTAGAAAATACACCTGTTGTTAAAGAGAAGGACGAGCCGAAACAAGAACCAGAAGTCACAACCAAAGAAGTTGCTGTGAAGCAAAAACAATCAAACAGCATAATGTCAAAGGTGAAGCAATCTCTTGTTAAGGCTAAGAAAGCAATCATTGGAAAATCTCCAAGCTCTAAGACTATCTCAACTGAAGAAGCCAAAGAAGAAACTAAAGTCAAGTGATAAAGAGTCATGGGTTCATTGAAAGTATTTCAGGTATTTTGATTTATTTTGTTGGTTTTGCTTCGTGTGGGAAAAAAACAAAAACAGAACATTCTTTTTCTTTGTTTTTTTTTTGGCTTTGTGAGGTTGTAACTTATATCTGTAAACCTACAAAGATTTGGCTTTGTGTTATGGATGTGTGTTGAGAAATTTCCTGTCATGAACGTAGTTCATCATTCATTAGCATGTCATTCCATGAATAAGCCACCATATCATATGAAAACTGAAAATATACCATTAATAAGCGTGTCCTTTAGGAGTTTTCTCTATGGAATTTCGTCGAACAACTTATCCGCACAATACATCTTTATTGATCCCATGCTTACAATTGAAACGGAGGAAATCATTGACGCCAATTTTGCGACTGAGGAGGAAAGCAGCAAACTTTTATTGAATGAGGAAGATCGAGAAAAAAAAAACGACTCGGGTATGGATCTTTAGCAACATAAGTAAGGTTTCGGGTCAACAGGGAAAAGGCTGATGAAGTTTCCAGAGGCGAGAAATGACATCTATGGCGGCTGAATTGAAGATGTTTCCATGAGGTTTTTTTTTGGAGGGAAAATCTGCTTCGTCTCAGATTCTCAGATTCACGTTCCGTAAATATCGTAGAAAAGCTATAATCCCGTTTAAGCGATCTTTTGTAAATGGGCCCGTAATGGGCTTAGATTGAGTCCCAAACAATAATTTATCGAAAAAATGTAAAGAGTGGATAAAAATGCTAAACTAAATCCTTTAAGACCAATGTCGGCAGAATCGTAATTTTGGGGATAAAAAAAGAGATTTTTTTTTCCTAACGACAAAAAAAAAAAAAAGATAAGAGATTTTTCTTTTCTTTTTTTCTTGTTGCAATGAGTTTTCTTGTCAAACCATTTTTTCTTGTCATTTTATCGAACAGCAAATTTGAACACCACGCCAAAAGTAGGAAAACAGAAATTGGGAAATTAAAGTCAAGTCAAATTTGCACAAGAGGAATCGACAAATTCAAAAGGATAAGAACAAATAGTTTTAAAGCAAGATATTACCACTTATTTTATAACAAGAAAAAAAGACATAACCACTTTGATTAGGACATCATATATACATATAAAAGTAAATCTAATCGTATTTTATTTTTGTGGTGTCAATTCGATGCCACGGTTATGCGTTGGTGTCGGCCATAATATTTATAACTAATTAAAAATTAAAATATTGAATTAATAATTGTCATATTTTTATGAAGGAGTGTTGTTGAGTCTCAAGAAAGCAACTTTAGGAAGAAAGAACATATGCTATTATACTGACAGACGAAGCCAGACTAGAATGATCCACACTAAGTCACTGAGGATTTTCTTTTACAACTTTCTTGCTTTGCTACAAAGATTATTCATGACAGCTAAGCGCTTTGCTGTCATCATTATTCATTAATATAACTAATTGTTGATTTGTTTAGTCTAAATGACTTTACAGTACTAGTTTTCTACTAGAAAAACGGAAGCTGAATTGAAGCCAAAACAAGTAAGGATACGTATGGTTGGGCAGTCCCAAACAATAAGAATAAAGCAATTAATGTAAGAAAAATGCAATACTCCTTAAAAAATACGGACCATTATATTCGAAACTTTTAGTTACCAAAAACTATGTTACGGAAAAATAAAACGACACGCAAACTAAACAAGTCCGAACGTCAACAACCACAATGTTACCATAGTTTTTAATTTTGGATAAGAATATACTTAACTACCGGTTACTGAAACGCAAACCGAGCTATAAGTTCAGATTCATAATAAGTAATAATCAATGATCTTGGCATCTTGCATATATACATATAATATATTCAGCCAGCCATGCATCTATACTGATACGTATACGAAACAGTGAATACAAACTGAGAAATGAACACACCAAAGGAGTGTAAAGTAAATCAAGCATGTCCATGGCCATGTTTATGGAGCATGGACTTGACACGTGAGAGGACGGCCGGGTAGTGCGTTGACAGACCTGAAGGCATGTGAGTGGTTCACGTGTCAATGTGTCATGATACTGTTGGTAGAAGGTGTTAGAGTTATATATATATATAGCCATAACCACGGCGGAGATTGTCCCGGCCCACATTCGTATTCCGACAACGATATATATGGTTTGAGTAATATTATAGTTTGAATATACGTATAATGGGTTGTGCTTGTGTTACGTGTACCTTCTGTGTTAAGCCACTTAACTTCCTAACAAGTACCATGAAGTTTAGTCAAATGAAATCTAAGCTTTTCATTTGGTCCTAATCTTGAAACAAATGGTATTTGAAAAAAAAAAAAAAAATTCTTTTTTTTTCAGCAAATAAAATAATACGTAGAAACATATGAAATCACCAAGATGGATAACCTAAACGAAAGACCATATTTCAACTAGCTTTTGCTTTTCAACTGACAAGTGAATTCTCCGTTACAAAGTATTCGAACACGCTAATTAAATTTGTTATCTTTCGTGCACGCCATATCCATGGCCACTCCCATATCACCTTCAATTTAAATGATGATATAATTTTTCCTATTAATTGATTTTTTTTTGGGGGGGGGGGATTTATAGAGCAGTTTATGTTATCACATGACACAGTAGTCTCAAGTATATAATGTGACTCATTCCTAGCATTTTTTTGGACATTTTTATTTAATATTAATAGATATACCGTTTAATAGTGTAATCTAATGATTTTGATCATTTGATTTGATTCAAACATAGAGCTAAGAATATAATTAAAAAAACAGATTATTAGAAACTACAGATGTGAAGATATAATTATATTATTAATTTGAGAGTTATTATTTACTAAATGTGTTTCAATTGTTAGATACTACATCTTTACCCCAAAAGAAAGCAAGGAAAAACAAAATCAAAAACCTATTACCCTTAGAGAAAAGGGACAAAATACAGAGTAAACACCACGTGGCTTGGCTCATAAAACATTTCTAAAGTCGGGTCTATATATATATACATAGCGAGACATAATAAGAAGACTAAAGAGTCCAAAATCATCAAGAGCAGTTATACTATACAATTTAGTGTTTAAGCATAAAATTTTTCTTCAATACTCAAGCCTCAAAATGGGTACAGCCACTTTCGTTGAAATCATTCTGGCTATTATTTTGCCTCCTCTCGGCGTCTTTCTCAAATTTGGTTGCAAGGTACAATTTATCTCCAGTTTGACGACTACTGTGGTTTATTTTGTTTTAAAAAAATTACAAGTATTTTAAAATTTTCACAATTTATGTTGTTTTTTCCTTAAAAAAACATTTTCCTGATTATTTTCCTTTTTTTGCAGATCGAGTTTTGGATATGTTTGATTTTGACGCTGTTGGGTTATCTTCCCGGGATCATTTACGCTCTATATGCCATCACCAAGAATTGATTTGTTCCTCTCTCCTCTGTTCTTTCCTCTCTGTCTCCTTGTAAGCTTTCTCTATGATCTCTCTTCCTCAAAATATATATTGAATTATTGATATATAAGAAGATAATATATATAATATATATTGATATGTAGTTATATAAGCATGCATGCGTACATGTGCTGGCTATAGAACTAGATTTAGTTCAGATGAATCATCTTTGATTTAGTTGACTTAATTGAGTATATGTTAGGTGAACTACATTTTCTAAGTTATAAAGACTACCCTAACCCTGATACAAATCAGTGAGAGACTGTTTTGACTATTCATTTTTATATGTAACAATTTCGCAAAACTACCGATAATACGTTATTGCAAATATTAAAAAATAGTTAAAAGTATAGCATTACGAGATTATTTTCATTTTCGATCTGCGTTTTACTATTGTAAGGGATTTTCTGACCCAATAAAGTATTAATTTACATTTGTTGTTATTGTGTAGGAGGAACAGCTGCTTGATCATGTTCTCCCATTGGGACTGATTCATCATTTATTTTGTGTTCTGAGTAACTAATTATCATTGCTGTATTTGTATTATTTATATATGGAAAAGGAATCGTTATTTTATGTGAGGAACTTGTTTATTTCTTATTATAATAATGGTAAACTGTTTGAAAAATGGAGTAGGTTTGGATTTTGGACCACCATTCAAATTTTAAAACCAACTTTATATAACTCCATTGCCACATGTCTCTCATCTCAGCACAAACAATATTGCACCATATGCAAAACTCAGTACTCACGTGGTCCATGAGAAATACAACACAATCATCATCCCCACCGGTTGTTAGTAAATAGTAACCCTATTTGATACAATACGTGTTGTTATTAAAGTAATCGAACTGAAGCGACTGAACCGAGCATATGTGTAATAATGACTCGGATTATTGGATGCATACCGAATGAAGCGTATGGTTGATTATCAAATAAAAAACAAAAAAAAAAAACTTAATGTCGCACATTGTGCTTTGAGACTTGAGAGCGAAGTTTCCAATCGGTACATTGCAAATTTGCAACGGATGAATATTTTCTTAAATGATCAGGTAAGTCTAGCTTATAATGTCATCAATTTTCGGCAAGCTGGTGAGTTCCATCAAAAGAGTATTTTCACCATCCTTGGTTATAGGTCGTTTTCAAATTCTCCATATATTTTGTCGACTACTCCTCATTTTTCGAATATGTGGCTTCTTGGTGAATTTTCTTTCTTTCTTGCCAGTTGATACTTATTCCTTAATTTGTACTTGATGGTATTTTAACTTACATTATTGGTTAGTGTTTTCACCTTTTTTTTGTGTGCGTCACTAGGATGCAATATTTGGATTTATATATGGATAATGACCTATAAACGATAATAATAATATAAAAACTACTAAATTATATATGTTATGGTCTTCTAAATACATTTTCAACAAACGAATGTGAAGAAAATAATGGATAAGATAAGAAGTAGATGAAAATTATTTATGCGTAAATTTTCTCCGCTAAAAAACAGAGAAAATAAAACATATTAACCAAAAGAAAGAGGACAATATGTTGTCAAAAAAAAAAAAAAAGAAAGAGGACAATAAAAATGGATAGATAACCAAGCTTTTAAAGTAATTTACATTATGTAGCATGTTGCCAAAGGCCCAAAGCATGATATATAGGAAGCACACACAAATATATATATATATATATATAGATATATTATTGTATGTATCCTTATTTCATTTTGTTTAGTTAAACTTACTTCTTTTTTTCGTTACACTTTCGTGTTTTGGTCGGTACAATATTAAGTCGAATAGTTGATGTTACGTCAAGTCGTCAACGATAATGTATGTTTACAAACATGAATAACGGCATATCATTTCATTATTATTATTTTCGGTATGATAAATGTATATATTTGATTGTAAGCTGTTCAGAAAAAAGGATATATATTTGATTGTAAATTAATACAATATAATTTAATTTATATGTAAAATAGTCGGTTACACTTACACCGTTAGAGTATTATATAATTTTTCACGAGATATTTTTGATAGTTGACCCTTAGATGATAATGTCTGACAAAAGAAAAAAGATCATAATGTTGAACTTGAAATTGATTAAATACATGAACATTATTTGCCGTCGACATAAAATTAACACGGTTATTGACGCGCAAAGAAAGAGTGACGCGCAAAGCGAACTATTCTTTCGCTTTTTACACTCTTGTTACGTAGATGCTCCTAATGCTAATCAGTAATCACGAAATAATAGGAAACTGTATATCTTGCCAAATCCCTTTCGCCTCGGTAGATAAAAATAAAGATAAATACTCATTTAGCTTCAAGGAAAAGGAAAACAAATAAAATAAAAAAGGTAAGCACTACGTGGCTCATAAATATCTCAAAAGTTGGTCTATATAATGTGAGATACATGAAGCCCGAAGGAGAGAGTAAAGAAGAAACACAAACTTTTGAAACTTTTTAATAATTTTTCTCAGAAACTTCAAAGAGCTTAAAAATGGGAACAGCTACTTTCATCGATATTCTTCTCGCTATCCTCTTGCCTCCTCTTGGGGTCTTTCTCAGATTTGGTTGCGGGGTAATTTTCTTTGATCTTCTCACTGATACCACGAATTTATAATTTAATTTTTGTATCTATTCATTATAGAGTTTATTTGTTTGTTCACATACATCCACAAAGATAAAAATTGGAATTTGAATAATAATTTGTTTGCAGGTTGAGTTTTGGATATGTTTGGTTTTGACGCTGTTTGGGTATCTTCCTGGGATCCTCTACGCCCTTTATGTCCTCACCAAATGATTTACCACCTATCCTCTCCTCTTTTCTCTTTATCTCCTTGTAAGCCTTCTCTCTCCTTATGTTGTACATACTGACATACATGTGTTTATGCCATGGAATGAGATTTAAGAAAATCATCTTTTGATTGAGTTTTGTATTACTAGTAAGATATTTCATTGGGAAGTTTAAGTACATATTAGGTAAACCTACGTACATTATACTGTAGTATAGACCCTCTTAATTCGGATAATCTGTTTAAAACAAATAATTATATTTTTCTTCCAAGAAAACAAATAATTATCCTGTAACACAAAAAATAACTAACCAAAATAACAAAATTATGTCATGAATATTACCATTGCAAATTAGTAATACTACCCTGTTGAATAAATCATTAGTCTAATTCAACAAAGTAAAGATAGTGTTAATAGGATTCACTTCATAGTATATATTTCGTTGAAAAAAAAACTTAAATAGTATTTCGAAAAACGACTAGATAATAACAACATATACAGCACTGATATAGATAAATATCTATCTTTTTTATCAGATAAATATCTAGCTTTAAATAATGGATTCTTAAGAGTTTTTCATTTTTTATCTTTCTCAGTTGCATATACGTGTCTAATAGGACAAGATTTTGCTGACAAAATCCTAAATTTGTATTTGTTGTTATTATGTAGGAACAGCTGTTTCGACGTGCTCTCCTCCCTTTGTGTGACTGATTCATCGTTTCTTTCGTCAGGGTTTTATGATTCCAGTAATTTGTCATCATTGTTATGTTTCCGTTGTTATAAAATTTCTGTTGATATAAAGAAGAGATCATTTGGTTTTGTGTGACGAGCTTGCTTATTCGATTATTATTATTTTTTATTTGCTAGTTACTAGTAGAAATTGGAAATTGTGTTGCCTTGGATCATAGGTACCACCATTAAATCTAAACCTTACGTTATACAAAGCCCATTGTCACACGCATCATTTCATCACCAATAAATTGGCCCCATTACTTGGCACCATTTGCGATAGCCACGAGGAATAACAACTCATTCACCCACCGGTTGTTATAGTATAGTCCAATATTGATCTACTACTTTCAAATATAGTATATAATTTGTTTTTCTGTTTTTTCCGTTTTAATAAACAAATGCAAAGCTAAAAAAGAATCAAGCAAATATTATTGACAAACTCAAAGCCATGTGATACAAAGAATGCCAACTACAGAACGAATATGGAAATTGATATTATTAAACAACATCATCATGAATTGCTTGATCTCTGAATTTTTCCAACCACACTCCTAAAGTTGTCTCTTCCGTTTGAGCAATGATCAACACTATTGGTCCAATGACCAATGATCAACACTATTGGTCCAATGACAACTCTTTTAAGAGATCATTCCAAAGCATCCAGTTTTGCTTAATTACTCCTTGAACTGCCATTCTCTTCGACACATGGGGCAATGAGCTTGGCTCGTCTGCGAATTCACCCATTTCAATATACAGTGCAGATGAAACGCGTGGTTGCAAGCTCCCCATACTGCCCTAACACCAAAATCAAAACGGTCTAAGACATGCAGTTTTGTCTATTTATTACAACAAGCAAACTAACCAGCTTAGCAATGCTTCAGCCATCACGAGAAAGAGTAAACATATATAAAGTGAAGACATGAAAGCAGAGAACTTTACTTAGAGGGCAATCATCCCCAGGAAGTTTGCAATCAGGACAACAACCATCGAAAGCCATCCGACAAATCCCACATGTTTCGTCTTGAGCATCCCATGTCCATGAAGCAACTGCATGCCATCTGTTCCCACAAAAAAACAATACGGTAAAACAAATGCCAGTCCACATTGTAAGAGCACATGTGTTGGAGCTAAGATTGTATAAAAGAGAGAAAGATAATACATAAGCTAAAGGGGCAAGGAGCTTACTCTGTGTATTTTTTTGGGTATGCAGGACATAAGTAGCAAAGGAAAGTTAAGAGCAACAGTTTATTTTTCTATTTTCACTTGTGCAACCAAATCTAAAACTGCAGGCATTTTGAACAAATCTAGTCTAATCCATAAGCATTAGTTACGCCGATCAACCACAAACGAAAAAATCCAATAGAAAATGTAAAACTTGATCTAATTTGGTAACCTTGGATGTTTATATATCATAAAAACTATTATCAATAGATGATCTGACTTATCACCAGCGCTCAAGCTTAGTGCTGAGCAGCCCATTATTAACTTTTTGATCCACAGAAAACTGAGAACATGAAGCAAAATAGAAAAAAGGATACGCAAGATCTTGACTTTCATGACTTCCTCCTGAATAAACAAAAGGTTTTCACTCAGTTTCACAAACCCTGTTCTGTTTGTTATACACACAAATTGAGTAAAAATGAAGTAGTTCCTAAAAAACAAACTTAAAACCACTATAGTGAATTTTCTCCATTGTATCTGCCTTCCACTAATGAAAAACTGGATTTTTGCATCTAAACAGGCTCACAAAATACTTCGCTATGTTGACATTGGAGGCCACTATTTATGAAATTTTGAACTGACAGAAATCTGCAGATTCCATAGCAAAGCTTTAAATCTGCAGAATCCATTCTCTCGAAAGTTGATCTTACCAAAGCTTCAAGTCGCAGCGATTCGCGTCTAATTTGATCGCGGCTGCTCTTCTCTCGATGATCTTCTGATTCAATTCAACAGCGAACCGTTTCTGCAACTTAACCCATCTCATGGTTAACTTAACCCATCTCATGGTTTATTATTCATTTGGTTCAATTAGTTTCCCCTTAGATTTTTCTTGGGTATTAACTAAAAGTACTAGGCCTTAGTTGGGTTTGCAGAATGTAAAAGAAAAATATTTTCTTAATAGCCAAAAAAATTTGGTTTCGATGGTATGCAGTTATTTTTGAAAATATATGATATCACGTAACTTTTACGATGGTTATATGATATATCATGTAACTTTTACAATGGTTAAAATGATGCATAATCGGTCTAGCCCTATAATGCTAGAACACCCTGAAGTCCTGAACAAATGCATTTGATTTAGCTAATTAGTATATCTGTTACCACAAAACAAATACATTATATAAATGAAATCTTAACAAAATCAAAATAGAAAACCTTTTCCTTTTTCTTTCAGGGTAATGAGGTATCAAACATAAAATACATCCTAGCTCATTCTTGAATATCATAGTAAACTATTTTTGTTTTTATATGATGCTTATTCGATATACTGTATACGTTTAGCCACTTAAAATTTTTGAGATGGTTTTAGATCTTTATTTATTTAGAAAAAAAATCCTTCCTTTCAAAATGAGATTATTAATTTTTTTATATACAAATTATAGTTGTATTTTATTTTAAGATATGCATATCAAAAGTAAATCTAAAAAGGAAATATATTTTGAAAAGATTTACTCATTATCAATTATTCAAAGATAATAAATGTCTTAACAACCTGTCATACATGCATATTATCTAAAATACATTACCATATACAAAATATTTTTTTTCCCAAAAAATACATCACTATATTTCGAAAAATAAATTTTGTTCTTATCAAATATAAATCTTATCATAGAAAAATAAAGAATAAAATCTTACTATATTATCTCCTAACACAAATATGCTTGAAAATGCTAAAGTTAAAAAGAAATAGAAAAATACTTGAAAAAAATACTTGAAAATATTTACACATTTTCAATTCATCAACAATAACTGATTTTAATATTAAAACTTTACATAAAAGAAACATTAGTTTATTAATGATAAATTTAGAAAACTAATTGAACTATGTAATAGATTTTAGATAAATTTATATTCAAAATCAAAAGTATAACAAAATTGATAAATTTTTTTTTAAAGAAACTAATTATATAGTTGGATTATTAATGAACCGTGGGAGTTTCGAATCTTTGTTCTATAGAAACAAAATTTCTAACTTAAGTATAATATATTCTCAAATTTATTACCAAGTATGATCTTATGATCTTACAATAACAACACAAGCTGACCACAAATTAGTTTTTTTCCAATTTATTTACATTTTGCCCACTCTAAACTAAATTTTTTAAGAAAATATCAAATATTTTTTTATGTTTTAGGCTCTTATTAATATTAAACGAAGAAAAATTATATTTTATAATGAGTATTGTATGTTTCTAACCTAGGTATACTGTATAGATACAAAAGGACGAGAAATGTAAACTATGATTTTCAAGAATTTATTACTTTATAAATCAAAATAATTCATATTCAACATCTTTAATAATGAAAAATAATCACAGAAATGTATTAAAAATAAATTTTGACCAATTTATTAAACTAAATCTTAAAAAATATTTCAAATATTCATAATTCTTTTTTTAATAATTATAACATTTTTACTAATGAGATCATGTTAATATAAGTGAATAAAATATAAAAATAATAATTAAATAGATTCACGACTTTATTGTCTGTTATGAATATTTATATTTTTTTACGAACTATAAATAAAATATTAATGTCTCAAATTAAAAGAGAAAATTCTGTATACGCTCCATCCCTATATAAGACAATTCATCCACAAATATTATATGCAATACACACACAAAAACAAATAAACAAAAAAAGAGAGAAAGTGAAAAAAAAAAAAAAAAAAAAAAATCAATCATGACGAGGAAAAAGGTGAAACTTGCTTTCATTGCAAATGAATCGTCGAGGAAAGCAACTTTTAAGAAAAGAAAAAAAGGTTTGATAAAAAAAGTGAATGAACTATCGACTCTCTGTGGTATCACTGCATGTGCTATCATCTACAGTCCATACGACTCCAATCCTGAGGTGTGGCCATCCAATTCTGGTGTGCAAAGGGTAATTTCAGATTTGCGGATGTTGCCACAGATGGACCAACACAAGAAAATGGTGGATCAAGAGAGTTTTCTCAAACAAAGGATCGCCAAAGCGTCCGAGCATTTGAAGAGACAAAATAAGGATAATAGGGAGATGGAGATGACTGAAGTCATGTTCCAATGTTTGGTCGGAAAAATGGGGATGTTTGATCTCAATATTATGGATCTTAATGATTTAGGTTATTTGATTGAACAAAATCTTAAAGAGATTAATCGCAGGATTGAAATTTTGGGCAATGCTGGTGTGGAGATAGGTGAATCTTCCAATGCTGCTGCGGCTATGGCTCCTTCTTCTAAAGGGATTGGATCATTGGCCCTTACGATGACAACAACCGCTCCAACCACTACGATTCATAGGGTGGGTTTTTCATTCTCATCCACCGATGCAGCGACTTTTTTTAATTCTCAGCAGCAGCATCAGCAACAGTTTCGTCATCCGGTTCGTCCACATGGTGGATTTTATGAGCGAATTCAGAATCTGAATCTGAATCAAAATAATAACCAGAATCAGAACCAACAAAAATGGTTAATGGAAATAATGAATCATCCTGAGCAGATGTGTTATGCGGCTGAGAATATGGGTTTTTCATTCATAGATGATAATCACAACTGCAATCACCACCAACAACAAATTTCCGGCGATTATTATACTGCTCTGACCATAGTCAACTCAAGCAGTAGCATCCCTGTTTCAAATTCAAATCCTACCAATAATATATGATTCCGCTAGATTTTCAATAACGAGTGTTCACATTCTAAAAAACAAAATAAAAATCTCAAATGCATTTTGTTTTTGTTGTCGTTATAAATTTGTATTGCAATTTATTTTCTTGTTAGTGTTTTTATTATGCTTATGGTTTTATTATATTATCAGAATGAATATAAGTTTTAATGTTTTGGATTTGTGATATTTTCGTTTTTATTGTATGTCATTTGTTCATTTGATATGTGTTTTCCCTCCTTGATATGCGGTTATCTTTTTAATTCAATTAAATTAAGTTTCTCTAGTTAATAAACTTCTTTTTATATTATATTAAAATACTTCTGCCTGGTTGTATATAAAGGGTTGTTTAAATTTTGATTATAGAAAATGACCTTTGGGATTTTAAAATATTTGTTGCAGGTTACATAAATCTTTAGTTTACACTATTTATCATTATTTTCTAACTATTTTTCTCTTTCTAATTCTAATCAAAATTATAATTTATCTATCATTCAAAAATATTAAGATTTTTTTTTAACTCAAGTCATCACCATTTAAATTGTACATAATATCTTGAATATAAAATATTTTATATTTTAAAAATTTATTATTTTGTATTTAAATAATATTTTTTTGGAAGATTTAAAAAAATTAGAGAATATTGGTTAGTTGAACCTGCTCGATAGGAACCATATTTTTATCGAGTTTGAGTTGCATTGAAACAATGATCCATATAGTACTAAATCAAAAACATTGTACAAGTGACCAATTTGAAAATTTGGATATATATTCAATGCACCAAAATCAAAAAATGATAATGTCTTTAAATCATTATCATTAACGATGCGGCAAACAAAATTCAGACACATCCATCATTTTAGAACGTAAAATTACATTCTCACATTATGGAAGAACCATAACGATAGAATATTTTTAAATTGGCTATTCAAACAAAAAATGACATATTGGGAGTTTGTAGGGATTAAAACCACACGAAATCCTCAAAAGTTCTACATCATATATATTTTTTTTAGAGGGACATTTACGCATATATTAATTGCAAAGTGGCGCTTTCACAGATAAGGTGAAGATAATAAACTTCATAAATAACAAATTCAAACAAAAAAATCACCAATAACACTTGTCCTCTCACACATTTTTAATAGTTATCATGTACCACGGCTGCATGAATTAGCACTAGCTATATAACTAATTCAATATTTACATTAATTTAATGTTTAACACATCTAGCTAAATTAGCCAGCAAAGCGACAACACATCATGTGGACACCTTCGCCACTATATAAATTGTGTTTATGTTAAACAAAACATAATACACATAAACTATATAAAACAAAAATCATTTATTGTAGTCATGGCGAGGAAGAAATTAAACCTAGCATACATTTTCGATGACACGGTGAGGAAAAAAACATTCAAGCATAGGAAGAGAGGACTTATGAAGAAACTCGATGAGCTCAAGATTCTCTGAGATGTTGATGCGTGTGCGGTCATCTACAATCCATTTAACTCAAATCCAGAGGCATGGCCATCAAATTCGGGGGTGTATAACGTTATGCAGAAGTTCGAGATGTTGTCAGAGACTGAGAAGACATGTAGATCGGTTAACCACAAAAAATTTCTAGATCAGGCCATCCTAAGAGTCGAAAAGCAGAATAAAATTTTGATTGAAGATAACAAGGAGAAATTCATGAAGGAACTCATGCATGTTCGCTTGCCTTGGTGGGAAGATGGGAGATTTGAATATGAACAATAATACTCGTCGTAACTTTGTGAATTTATTGATCAATATTTCAAGAATCTTCTTCATCATAAAAACGTAACCCTAAACAATCGCATTTCGAAATTGGTGAATCCTCCTCAATTAATGGCTATGGCTTTAGACATGGCACCGACCGCTTTGGCTGCGGTCGTGGCACCGACCACTATGGCTGATACGGGTTCCTCCGAGTGTTCCAATCTTCTTCAACTCTCCTCAACTAACCAACGATTTCCAGTCCATAACCTCTTCGAACCATGGATCAGAGCATGTTGATTCTCTTGCAAGTAATCTCCTCCCCCTTAGCGACCAAGAAGTTGATACCGTAGTTATGAATCAGGTTTGTGTTGATGATCAACATCCATGTATCTTAAGTCATATGTAATCAATACCAACTGCTATAATGTTGTAAATAAAGTTTCAGGATGAATTTTATGAGCCAAATCAAAACCAGAATCAGCAAGATTGGTTTGTTTAGGGGATGATGAAACATTCTGATCAGACATGTTTTCCTTGGATGGAAGACAACAACCATTATAACAATCACCACCAGTTCTAAAGCAACTAAATCGACGCGGTCGACGCCATGCTAGCAATGTTATGTTATCCTTTGACAAATGTTTTCAGGGACAAATCTTGTTTTTGATATGTCTTATCTTTTTAGTTCGTTAAGTTTGAGTTTTCTAATTATTAATTAATAATTATTGTCATCTCTGTCATGTCGGAGAAGTCAGTGGTAAATTATGAGTGTTGAGCGAGACTCTAGAGTCAACCGAAGAGCACCACAGTTTCGCAAATTCTTCACATATATTTGGATTGCGAATTAATATAAGGAAAAATATATTTGTATGAATTTTATTAAGAATAAAATTTGAGCCTTATGGATTTTCGCGAGTTATATTTAAATTAATCAACCCTAAAATTTCTTAAGTTTACCACTATTGCTAGCTTGAGCAAATAACTAGGCATTGATATCGTGAATTCAGAGATTCAGAGTTTTAGTATTATGTTGAAAAAAAAAATTGTTTTTTAATTTGTTTTTTTATAATCACCATTCATTAAAAAAAACTGAAAGAATTATGTTTTAGTATCATTATTCAATTTGTTTTTGCTAAATTAGTATATCCCTTTAATTAATTAATCAGAACTAAAGATAGTGTGTATAAAAATAAGTAATACGACTACGGAAACAAGTGTCAAGGAATTGTGGGAGGGGCTCAAATATAAATCATTAAAATTACTCTTTTTTGTTAAAGAAAATCATTAAAATTACTCTCTTTTTTTTTGTTAAAGAAAATCGATAAAATTACTCTTTTACATAATGACAAAAATGATACAATCAAATTAAGTTGTGAGCTTATATCCAAATTATATTATACCTTGTACTTCAATTTTCTTTTATCTTTATGGGTGACGTAATCATTGTGATCCATTAATATTTTCGGAGTTTTTACAAGGTCGATTCTATCGTGTGTAAGCTAACTTTAATTTGGACTATTGTGAGACGTATGTGAGATGCACCCTGACGGTTTTATACTCTGATATATATAATGGGATTTTGTTTGGATATTTCTACTCTATTGCTTTCGGCTTTATACTATATCATTCTGGTTCAGGGATTTCGTCTCTTTGCATGGGAGGTTGTTTCTACCTCTTCATAAATTTATTTTTACACGTGTGTGTTTGTAACTACTCTTTAGTCTTTATGAGTTCGTTTCATTCTAAAGTTTGTATCTACCTTTCTGAAGGTCTGTATATACATTTATGGATATGATGAGTAGGACATTTCCTATCTTTTGGTACAATTGTTTTTTATAATTAATTAAAGGAGTTACTAACAAAAAGAAACTTTGTCAACTATAAATTTCATCTCAAATTTTAAGGTTTTGAATAACGAAATTTTAAATTTGAGATTTTACTATCCAAAACCGCAAAAAAAAAATTTTCTTTTCTTTTTATTATTTGTAATTTTATATATCTTACAAATAAGTTTATTAATATATTTTTATTTTTTATTTTAGTCCATGTTATTAAAAATTTCAATTATATAGTTATAAACTGATTATATCATATAAATAGACTAAATTAAAATAAAATAATTAATATAGAAAAATATTATACAACACTTAAAATTTATTTTACATAAAAATAACATTGAATTGAGAAAATTAACACACATTTAAAGTCACATTACAATAACAAATATTTTACATGAAAATAAAATTACATGAAGACATAAATTCACAAATTAAATAAATATTTCATCTAATATTTTATTTAAAAATATGTTTAGTATATATTTATGAAAGTTTATAATCATAATCAATTTATTATTTATATTTAGAACAGTAATGCAATTTATAAATTTTTTTAAAGGTGGATTTGAGGTTTTACCATTGGAGTAATGCAATCTCAAATCTTTATCATCCTTAAAATGAGGTTTTGGGTTAGAGATGTTCTTAACGTAGATATGATTCTATGTACGAAGAACCAAATACCATTTTAATGATAAAAAACCAAATTTTTTAAAACAAGAAAACTCTTGACAAGCTGTAATTTAACTGAATACCTAAAAAACATGTTCTTTCACATCTAAAATAGATTAATTAAGGTAGATATGAAAATGAGGTTTTGGGTTGAAGATGCTTTTAACGTAGATATGATTCTATGTACGAAGAACCAAATACCTTTTTAATGATCAAAAACCAAATTGTTTTAAACAAAAAAAACTCTTGACAAGCTGTAATTTGACTAAATACCTAAAAAACATGTTCTTTCACATCCGAAATAGATTAATTTAGATAAATACAAAAATTAGGTTTTGGGTTGGAGATGCTTTTAACGTAGATATGATTCTATGTACGAAGAACCAAATACCATTTTAATGATTAAAAACCAAATTGTTTTAAACAAGAAAACTCTTGACAAGCTGTAATTTAATTGAATACTTAAAAAACATGTTCTTTCACATCCGAAATAGATTAATTCAGGTAGATACGAAAATGAGGTTTTGGTTTGGAGATACTTTTAACGTAGATATGATTCTATGTACAAAGAATTAAATACCATTTTAATGATCAAAAACTAAATTGTTTTACACAAGAAAACTCTTGCAAGCTGTAATTTAACTTAACACCTTAAAAACATGTTCTTTCACATCCGAAATAGATTAATTCAGAACATGCAATGTATGGTAGATGTTTTCTAAAAATAATCATTTAATCCTATAATACATAATAAACATATTATTTGTTTTTCAAGCTAATTAAGATGGTGAATGTGTCTATAAATTGCACACATATTGGTATACATACTTACATTGCCAGCAATTCACCAACTAATTTCAATGTATCTTCTAGAAATAAAACAGCAATTTCTTTTTCTTGTTTTCAAATTACATATTTATAGCCATTAAGAAGGTAATATCCGAATTTCTTAAGGTGATACAACCTTAGTGATGAAAAAGTATTCCTAACCTCTCTAAATTTTCCAACAAGTTGTCGTTATTGATTATATACCACGTGGCGTATATAATTAATCATTAGTTCATAAAAATTATTAATTTTGGATTTTCATGAAATAATTAGCAATAATTCTGCCAACTAATGACATAACATCATCTGGACCACTCACAGTTCTATATAAACAAACTCCTGGAAAAAAATACAACACAAACACAAGACATAACAATACACAGTTAAACACAAACAAACACACACAAAAAAAGCATTGTTGTGGTCATCATTATGACGAGGAAGAAGCTAAACCTAGCTTACATCACCAATGATTCAATGAGGAAAGCAACATTCAATAAGAGGAAGAGAGGGTTCGTTAAAAAAATCCACGAGCTCTCCGTTCTCTGCGGTATCGAAGCATGTGCAGTTATCTACAGTCCGTTCAGCTCAGGCCCGGAGGTGTGGCCATCGAACTCGGGAGTGAAGGAGGTAGTGGAGAAGTTCGTGATGCTGCCAGAGATAGAGCAAGAAAAGAAAATGGTGGACCATGAAGGTTTTCTCAGACAAAGCATCAACAAAACCATGGAGAATAACGACAAGAAGACGAAAGAAAACAAGGAGAGGATGATGAAGGAGGTCATGTTCGAGTTTCTTGGTGGGCAAGGTGACATGCTTTCGCTGACTGATAAAACTCGTGAGGATTTGTGCAAGTACATTGATCAGTATCTGAAGGAGCTCTATCACCATAGGAATCAGACCCTGACTCAGTCGCAGCTTGAGTATGGAGAATCTTCTTCAGCTGCTGATGTCATGGCACCAGCAGCTATAGCTGAAGTGGGCCCCTCGGCTTTTCCAAATCCAGATGTTTTCAACCCTCCTCAGCTACTACCGAATGAGTTATGGGCTTTGAGGCCCATTATCCCTTCAGACCCGAAACCAGAGCCGGGTATGACTTTTGGAGATAATTTTCTGCCTGCCGCAAATGACCAACAAGTTTACTATCAAATGATGAATCCGGTAGGTGTTTGCGATCACCAGCTAAACTTACATCTTAATGACAACCAGTACCAGAATCAGTTTGGATATCCAAATGTGAGTCAAGATGGAATTTACAATCCGAATCAGCAGCAGGAAGCGTGGTTGGTTAATCAGATGATGAACAATCCTGAGCAGATGTGTCTCCCTATGATAGAGGACAACAACCGTTACTACCTCCAGCAACCCTAAATCATATCCATCGATGACGTTTGTTTCTGATGATTATTGATTATCGGCAATAAGTCTTTGGTTTGATATGTATTGTCTTTGCATTTCATGGAATTTAGAATTCCCTAGTTAATTATTATTTGTGTTTTGTTATGCTGTTTGTTTGCGGAGAGTATAATTATCTCTCCGTCTATCTCTCTTTCATAATAAGTGTTGTTTTAGGATTTAAGTTTATGAAATGTCAGTTTTGCATTGCAGTTTTTTTATATAAATTAAATTTCAGGTTTATTCATATTATATAATATTTAATTAGTAAAGAGGAAGCCTTCAAATAATTTAGGGGTAAAAAAACATGATGAGAATTCTTTGCACATATGTGAAATTTAATCCTGAAGAATTTTTCATTTTTGCGCTCGGGCTCTTGAAGTTAAAGCGACCCATGTGAGTTTGTTTTCTTCTTTTACATTAGAAATATGTATTAGTTTCTATTTTTGTTTTTGTTCCTTGTAATTTTATGAGTTTGGGGTGCGAATTGATCCTTAGGTTGAGCAAATTTGGGAGTGGAGATGCATGTTGGGTGCAAATAGATGGTACGCATTACTCAAATTAGTCAATTAATAGAGACCGATGAGTACTGGCCATTGAGGAGTCTTTCAATGATTCCACATAGTACTCCAAATGACTTTTTCATTCTGACTTTTTTTTTAATGGGTAAATTGAACTAAATAATTTCTCTTTTTAAAATTAGAGTTTGAGGGTAGTATATATTGTACAGACTTTTTATCTTATCTTTTTTTTTTTTTTTGTCTTCGTTTACTACATTCCTACAAAATTATGAACCAAAATTTTATATATTTAATTTGATGTTAAGCTGCGTTGTAAGTCTTAATTCGTTTTCTTTGTAATGTGAGTGATTTTTTCTTTTACTTTGTGGAGATCGAATCTTGTACCACTACGAAATCACTAGACTTGCAACTATCTAATAAAATTAAAGAGAATATTTTGGTTAATAATTGGCAGTAAAAAGTAAGAGTGTATGAACCAAGAAAAGGCTCAAAGCGAATGAAAAGAGAAGAGGAATCAAAGTACTCTTAAAATGTACCTTTTGTACAAAGACTGCAGCATTATGTAAGGGGAAGAACTAACAAGGACCTCCCCTCCATGCAAATAATATCAATCATATAAAGTTATTGATTCTACAACTGGCTTCAAATCTTTGTTTTTTGGTTATTATATTTTTTAATGGATCTCAAGATACGGTCGATTTTCTCTTGTTAAAAAATACTATAATTAAAAATCATATATACGTAAACCAAAACGATGTTATTTTGATTGGATTAGTTTAGTTGAAAACCTTATATGTAGCTATGTCAAAATTCATGGTTTTCCAATTTGAATGAATGACTTGGTCAAATTACTTATCTAGTAGTAGATGATGTTTTAACTTATAGTCAATGTGAAATTCATAACAAGCTACATCCTAAATTAACTTGGGTGTTTGGGAGCCTCATCAAATCTTGTTATTCCAAATGTACGAATGTTAGTATTTCTTTTGAACAAGCTTTATTACTCTAAAAGATTTGTTTTTTTTTTGTGAAAAAATTATTAATACTCTAAAAAGTTAACCAAACTTCTTGGTTTTTGTGAGAATTTAATAGTCTTTAATTATTCCCTTCTTTCTGTTCCTCTTCAAATAAATATGAAGATTGTACGAAAAACAAGAACTATACAAAGTCGAACGTTATTTGAATTGGTTTATTAACCGACAACCAAAAAACAGTCCATATGATTTAATTAAATATTGATTATTTTACTAGCTACACGATGAAAGGAAGGAAAAATGAATGAGAAGCTAGACGAAGAGAATCGTAAAGAAAGATCAATTTTTAACTACAATGAAGGCACAATCAATAAACTCTCATAAGAACACATCAAATAAAATAAAAAACAATTTACATAGAATCAAATCAGCCTTTGATCGTCATATTCATTATCATCTTCATTCATAAATCAATCGTCATCATGCCTTCTCGGATGGGTATGGAGAGAGAGTCTGGCGCTCGGACTCAGAGACACGAGTCGCATGAAATTTGGCGATAAAGGCAGAAGCTTTGCGGTCGATGCCTGGTTCAGCCACCCAATAGCGTTTGTCTTCGTCACTAGCCATTGCTTTGCGAGTGTAAACGACTTCGTCCCAAGAGGCGTCTGCTTCTACTCTGTGAGATCTTCGTGTTTTGAAGATGCCGAAGAGAGAGAACCTTTTGCTACTGTGTGATCTGTTTCCTCCCATTAGAATTTGTTCTCTTGAAATTGTCTGGTTTTGGAACAGAACAAGACGAGAACAGGAAGAGACACGGAAGAGGAGAGAGAGAGGTTTTTAATTAGAAGTTTGTTTTGCTGTGTTGGTGCCGTAAGTGGAATGTGGGTTTGCGAATGTATTTATAAGGAATATGGCTCACCAAAATATTAACCAGTGAACCGATAAAATAATAGTTTAACCGGTCTTTCAAAATTATTATTTCTTAACGTTTGTTTTTCGCATGCAGTAACACAAGTCTAGTGCTGAGGTTTCTTTTTTTCTTTTTTTCTTTTTTTCTTTTTTTCTTTTTTTCTTTTTTCTTTTTTTCCCCTAATTGTTTCAGTAATTTAGAGTATTTTTTTTCTTTTTTCCTTTTTTTTCCCCTAGTGCTGAGGAAATCAGAGTATTTTAGTTCGATATATTTCAGTTTTTTGTTTGGATGTATTTATTACAAAACATGTTATTTTTTTTTTAATTCCATTGATCTTTTATTTGGTCTGTTTCAATTTTCGTGAGTGGTATATCTTTCAAAATCATATAAAAAGTTTGATATGACAAATTAAAGTTCGGTTCGCTTTAGATTTTAGTAGCTCGAACCACATTATGCATCTCTTGCTCCAAAGTATTTCAAGAACTCAAGATTATATCACGAAATTTCAATCTATATCGATTCAAGAAACGATGTCAATTTTTCAAAATTAAAATTATTTCGTTGAATGAATAAATTCAAATATAAGTGTATTAAGCGTGGAAATCATATTAATTGGGATATTAGTGTTTGAGAATCTTAAGGGAGATCGAACGGCAGGGGATGGTGGCACATGGACTATGGTAACATAATCAGATGGTGGGTGGGATCTTGTAAAATCTCATGTAATGTGTTGGTTTCAATTGACCTCAAAAATGAAAGCATTGGTTAGGCATCCAAGTTCTATGTTTCCTTTAGTCTTTTCTCTCACGCTTTCCTCAGCCTCCTTTTTTCTGTATAGTATTCTTTTAGGAACAAATCATTTTGATTTATTATTTGTTTTTAGTTAAAATGGAATTTTCTTTATTATTAAACTCAAACATACTCTTACTTTCTTGTCCTTCTTTACTTTCCCCATCAATCTTGGCAACTCTTGCCTAACTAAGGCCACTTTCATTATTTTCAAAAACACTTTTTCATGTTAATTACTAAAGCTTCAATTAACCTATAAATTTTTTCACCGAAGTTATATGAGCGATCAATAATATTTAGAATGAGAGTACGTAGACCCGTTAGGAAGAAAATTCTAATTTGGACCCTGACGTTTAAAAGATAAATTATCCACCACCTGATTATGTTACCTCAGTCCACGTTTCAAATTTCACCAAAGACTTAAACTGTTCTAAGAGAGAAGAAAAAATCTCAACCATATCAGTTATAACTGACTCTCGTAATTTTGTTATTTTCATTGAAATGTGTAATGTGTAATTTTATACAGATATTATGATCTCGTGTATTACTGATTATTTTATTCCACAAAGGTAATTAAACTAAACCATTGTTGGTAGCCAGGTAGGTATATTGTTTTTCTGTAAATGTATTAATGACCCATGATAAGAACTACATTATATTTATCGACTTTGTATATATGATTTGATTGGCTCTATTTGTTCAATCTTAATCGGTCAATTTGGTCAAAAAGAAGAAAAAAATCTTAATCGGTCAACATTTAGCTTCAGTACGTAGATCTAGTAACTCTTGAATTCCCTATATATATATATATATATTTACGGTTGTAAGCATTTAGAGAATTGTTTGTTAACTTTTATCCAAAGTCCATAGAAACTTCTATTACGTAATACGCATGGCTTTTCTATGGTCTCGTAGAAATAAAGTTGGGATGCTTTGTACGTAATACGTTATACTATATTTAACGTGAGTGAATGAACTAATAATCGGTTTCGTATTAGCATAGGGATGACTGCATATATTACGACTAAGTATATAAAAAGTCTATAATTTGGTGGGGATGCATTGTTATATATTATTCTATAAAATTAAACAAAGATAAGAGCACACAGTCAAAAGATAAGCGAAAAAGAATATGTTGGAGAATATAAAGACTCAATATTTTCATAAATTAATAAGAGTTCTTCTTGCTTCTTGTGGAATATATCCAACAACTAAAAGCTATATGCATATATAATCGCTAATTAATATCTATTAATTAGGCGTCTTTTCATAAGAAAAATATCCTAATCTTCTTTGGTAATCTTTCACCTATAAACTGCAATTATATAGCTATAACCAGAGCTAAGTAATCCACCTCCACCAGACTTCAGCTCCCAGTTTGACCAGCAAATTAAAACGGAACTTATATATATATATATATAGGGATCACTATATATATTGAAAGTTGGTCAGGTAAACGGGTATCGAAATATGTAATAGGAATATAAGATGGGTTGTAAGTTGGAAGTAACCAGTAATCCGGAAAATTACAAAAATAAGTAGCCTTACTTGCAAAGAATGAGATCGAGGACTAAAGTTTATTTTACTTGAGCGACATGCATGGCTATATATATCTTTTGTATCTCTATATATAATGCTAATGAATCGATTGATGGCCCTTTTAAAATGGGGGTCTACTGTTGTGATTTTTCATTAAAAATAGTGACGATCACAGTTTTTTTTTTTTTTTTTTTGTATATTACCACGGTTGACAACTGACATTATATATCTAGTATATCATGATTTTGACCTTTCATTTCTTTTTGTTGTAACAATTATATACTCCCTTAAATTGGGTAAAAAAAAAACCAGAAAAACATGATGTTAGTCTCAAATTTTTTTTTGGGGAAAATTATAACTACGTACGTTTGTTTTAAAAATAGATATAGTATAACTACGTACGTTTGTTTTAAAAATAGATATAGTATAACTACGTACGTTGTTATGTAGAAATATAGCAAACGCTAGCTTTAGCTCGAACTCGAAAGAATGCCACTGGTGCTGATGATGGTAACAAGTAATAAATTAAACAAATATAATCAAAATCTCATAATTAAGAGCAAAAACACGTGAATAATTTTTAGATTCGTTTAAAAGATAAAGGTTAACAATGTTATGTTGGCCAGTAAAATTAAATTCTCCACCCAACTATTCTTTTTCATCACGTGAACCAAACAAATCATCAAAGAAGTACTCGAACGATGGCCAACAGATTGATAAAGCTCCAATTTGTTGTAGAATCATTTCTACTTATTTACTTTTTTCATTCTTCTTATTCTTGTTTTTATTGGTTCGTCGCATTAGTTTACGATTAAATATTAATATTAGCTGTAATCGATTACAATGATTATTAGTAATGTTTTGTGTTAAACGAAACGAATCCTAGCATAAATATACACCCAAACATATATAAAAGAAAAGGAATTCATATTCCATAACATATCGCTTTCTGGTCTGATTCTGGCGTTTTTCTTTTTGATGAAATTGTAAACCATTCATTTTGCGTAGCATAGGATAAGAGATATGTTACTTGGTTTTAGATGGCAGTATGGCACGATGTTTGGAATGAATCAAATGATTCTTCATGCTGTTCATGTAAGAGGCAGCCTGCAAAACGACATGTAGTTTATATTCTCAAGGAAGAAACAACAGGCTGAGCATGGATGGGTGATTTGCTGGCCGAGAAGGTCGTTAACATCTATCTACACTTGTAACAGTTTATTCAAGTACATATGTACTCGAACATCTGACGTGGCTTTACCTTAAACGAACCTGTCTTATTTTCAGCATTGGATTTGAGAAGAAAAAAACATTAAACCAATGTAGAGTTTTTTTTTTCGGGCTTCAATTAGTCCTTTATTTTTGTATTCTTTTGGTCATGCATCAGTTTTTTTTAAATTTTTTCCCTACTTCTTCATTTTTCATATTTTCTATTTTATAGCGATAAGAAAAGGAAAAACAAATATTTGCCGTAAGTTTTCCAATTTGGATAGCTCAACTACACTTAAATTATTTATAAGAAAAAAAAATAAATGCAAAAGAAGAAAAAAAAAAAAAAAAAAGTTCCCAGGGTCGTCAGGCTATTCCCTCTTCTTTCTCGTGCTACTTCCGAGAAATCGATCATAAAACTTCAATACCGGATCAGGGTTTCTTGGTTCTCCGCAATTTTGAGGTAATTCAATCGCTCATTCTTACAAGCTACAAAAAGAAAAAGCATATTGGTTCTAGGATTATCCCGATTCCCAATTTTGAAACTTTTGCCCAAATTCTGTGATACCGCTGAGCTATTCAATTGTCTCCTATTCGGATATAATGTTACTTGTTATCGTTAGTTAGGATTGCTGTCTCGGCTAGGTGGCAGATTCCACATTTGTCTAGGAACCGAGGTTAATCAATCTTTAGGGTTTACGAGAATTAGGTGTTCTGGAATTTGGATTGGACCATAAAGTTGAAAGCTTTGCCTCCTTTTCCCTGAATTTCCTCCTCTTTCAATCAAATCCGACTGTTTCTTCATTGCAATTTGGTGAAGATTGTTGTTTTCGTGAGTGTGGATTCAAGTTTCTGGTGCCAAGTGCCTTACTGGTTGAGTTAGAATCTGAAATTTTCAATCTTTTGGCTCTGAATGTGCCATCATCATTGAGATGACACTGTTTTGCATTGGTTCACCCAGCTAAATAATAGTTTCGTAGTGATTGTGTGATGTCTTCTTTTCTACAGCGCTTAAATTGCTTGCTTTCGTTATGTTTAGGTGTTACAGAGTATGATTTCTTCTTCAAAAGCTTTAGGAACCATGCAATTGGATTGGGATTGTTACAGATTTGACGGTGTGGTTTGTGGCTTGGTTTCTTGTTCTGATTGTTGCAGGGCATGTCAGGGAAACGGGTCATAGCAATATGTATGTCTGGTGGGGAGTTTCAGACAGAGAAAGGCGGAGTGCTTACTTATAAAGGCGGCGATGCTCACGCAATAGACGTGGATGAAGAGATGAAATTCAAAGACTTTATCTCAGAAATTGGGGAGATGTTTAATTGCGACGTCAGGACAGTTTGTCTCAAATACTTTCTCCCTGATAACAAGAAGACTCTCATCTCCATCTCTAACGATAAAGACTTGAAACGAATGATTAAATTTCACGAGAACTCAAACACCGCCGATGTCTATCTCATACCCGAAGAAGCTGCTCCTGACATTTCAAACATGCCGGCGAGCAGGTAAGCGAAGCCGGCTAGTAGAAGATTCATCATCATCGCCTTATCTCGGTTTTTTAAGAGTTGCTTCTTCTTTTTTATTCCAGGTCTAGCAGAACAACGTTGTCTGAAGCGATTCCTCCAGTTCCTCTGGAAGACATGATAGATGACACAACTGGAGCAGATGATCTTCCCCTCTCAGTGTCAGTGTCAGCTCCTCCTGTTGTAACTATGGAGCAAGTCGTGAACCGAGTTGAAGATGCACAGATTATTACCAATCCAACTGATATGATGTCATCGATTCTTGAAGTCCCGAATCCTAAAGGAGATATTCTCACAAAGGCAAGAACACAGCAATGGCAGAACACAATCACAGGTGTTGGACAGAGGTTTAAAAACGTAGGTGAGTTTCGTGAAGCCCTGCGGAAGTACGCCATCGCGAACCAGTTTGGATTCCGCTACAAGAAGAACGATAGCCACCGAGTGACGGTTAAATGCAAAGCGGAAGGTTGTCCATGGAGGATCCATGCATCGAGGCTATCAACCACTCAGCTGATCTGTATCAAGAAAATGAATCCGTCGCATACCTGTGAGGGTGCGGGAGGCATAAACGGTCTCCAGACGAGTAGGAGCTGGGTTGCTAGCATTATAAAGGAGAAGCTGAAAGTTTTTCCAAACTATAAACCGAAAGATATCGTCAGTGACATCAAGGAAGAGTATGGGATTCAGCTGAACTACTTTCAGGCTTGGCGTGGAAAAGAAATCGCAAGAGAACAGCTTCAAGGATCATACAAGGATGGCTACAAGCAGCTTCCGTTATTATGCGAGAAGATCATGGAAACGAATCCGGGAAGCTTGGCTACATTCACGACTAAGGAAGATTCAAGTTTTCACCGTGTCTTCGTTTCGTTCCACGCCTCGGTTTATGGCTTTCTCGAGGCATGTAGACCGCTAGTGTTTCTTGATAGTATGCCGTTGAAATCAAAGTATCAGGGGACTTTGTTAGCGGCAACTTCTGTGGATGGGGATGACGAAGTGTTTCCTCTGGCTTTCGCGGTGGTCGATGCGGAGACAGAGGATAACTGGGAATGGTTCTTGCTTCAGCTGAGATCTGCTCTCACCACACCTTCCCCGATAAACTTTGTTGACGATCAGCAAAAGGATCTGCATGAATCTTGCCCCATCACATTCGTTGCGGATCGGCAGAAGAATCTGCAAGAATCGATCCCGAAAGTGTTTGCAAACTCGTTTCACGGATATTGCTTGCGGTATCTGACAGAGGAGCTCATCAGAGACTTGAAAGGACCGTTCTCTCATGAGATAAAGCGTTTGATCGTGGATGACTTCTACTCAGCAGCTTATGCACCAAGAGCGGATTCATTCGAGAGACACGTGGAGAACATCAAAGGCCTCTCGATGGACGCTTACAATTGGATCGTGCAAAACAGCCAGCCTGATCACTGGGCCAACGCTTACTTTCCTGGTTCCCGTTACAACCACATGACTTCAAACTCAGGTGAACCGTTCTTCACATGGGCCTCAGATGCAAACGATCTACCCATAACTCAAATGGTCGATGTGATCAGAGGGAAAATCATGGGACTGATCCACGTGAGACGGATTAACGCAGCGGAGGCTAATGGAAGATTGACACCTTCCATTGAGATAAAGCTAGAGAAAGAGTGCGTGAAAGCGCAAACCCTTCACGTGGCGCCATCTCCGGATAACAATATGTTTCAAGTCCGTGGAGAGACTTACGAGGTCGTGAACATGGCGCAGTGGGACTGTAGCTGCAAGGTTTGGCAGGTAACGGGCTTACCGTGTCACCATGCAGTGGCAGTTATAAGCTGTAATGGACGTAGCCCTTACGACTTCTGTTCTAGATATTTCAGTGTTGAGAATTATAGGCTCACATACTCCATGTCGATAAATCCGGCTCCGTTGTTAGAAGGAGAGATGTGTAGAGAGAGCTCTGGGGGTTCGGCGGTGACGGTAACGCCGCCACCGACACGGCGACCACCGGGGAGGCCGCCGAAGAAGAAAACGCCGGCGGAAGAGGTTATGAAGCGGCAGCTGCAATGTAGTAGGTGCAAGGGACTTGGTCACAACAAGTCTACTTGTAAAGACTATTTTCTTGAATGCTAGTTTTTTTTTCTTTTTTTTTTTTTTTTTTAATTGCGCTCCACTTTGTTTTTTTTTATTAACTTTTTTTCTTTTCACTTTTTAACTTCCATCGACAGTTTAAAGTGTTCAATCTGTAAGAAAGGAGGATATTTTTTCTTTTTTTCTTTTCTTTTTAAAAAAAGAGGATTATTAAGTTCAACACTTCCTTGTAGGATTTTTAATCAAATCGATAAAAGTTTCTTGCTCAAGTTCTCACTCTCAAGTATAAGGATAGAGAAGAAGAAACACATAAGAATGGTTTGATATAAAAATTTGTTTTTTTGTTATCTTGAGAATCACATAACCTAAAGAGTACTCTTAACTAAATGCTTTCTCGCCTAAAACCATTGCGATATAATGGCCACAAAACCTACAGCATACATCAACATCATCTGATCTAACGGCTAATAGAAGAAAAAAACTCAGTCTTGATGCAGATGCTATTTTACTCTGTTCCTTGTTTTCCATGGCCAAAATTCGCTCATCTAATAGATGGCAAAAGGCTTGCGTTGGAGGAGATAAAAAGTCCAATTATGGTCAGAAGGACTTAAATTGAAGGGAGTTCGGAAGAAATCTTCTGAATCTCTCTTTCGAGCTTCTCCACTTCGAAGTTTTTTTATGCTCACATTTCTTCAAAGACTTTGTAATGCAATCAATGTTCTCCACTTTGAATTTCAGGCATTGAAGCTGGCAAAGTTGACTGGAAAACAAGACAACTTTGTTGAGGATAGAACACATTGTAACTAATATGCCAACTTCTTATGAAAATGAGCAGAATGTGATATGACGAGTGATAATAGTTTGCAAACAGAAAGATATCTACTCAGAGATCTCAATAGATTTAAAAGTTACTGCATTCGTACTACTCACGAGTAAACTGCACAAGTGAAGATTACTTGTACAAATTTTACAGGTTGAAATTAATTACGAAGAAGCATAATGGCAATAAGGGTCTTGCCAGAACCAGTCTCCAAGATGACAATAGTGTTGTGCTTTATAGCTTTCTCTACCTGATAACTGGTAATAGAGCAATCCATCATATGTCCAAGATGTAAGCCTTGAGATTAAGAAGAAAAAGAAAAAATATAGGATCATGGGTTTTTTCATCTCTCTCACTAGTAAATATCATCTGAGCCAAGCAAAACAGAGCCTATACGAATTTCCGAAAGTTTGGATCTTGACGGAAGGATCCATAGCCAATAGACAATGGCACAAGCGCATTTCCCTCTCTGCATAACCTCAGAAACAACTTTACACCCGTCTTCAGGCTGGTTCGAGCTATCGAAATTTCCGTGTAAGCCGGAGAAACCAATACAGTCTTTAATAGGCGAAATGAGATCCGACGAAGCGAAAAAAGAAAAGAAAAAAAAAAAAGCAAAACGGCAAGGGATAACAAGCAAAACGCATATACTGTGATATAATTGATGTTAATTTGACGGACAGTGTCATATAGGAACATGTTTCCTAATTGCTAAAAATTGATCAAAATCGAGCCCAAAACGACAGCATGATAACACGCAAAACGCAGTACACTCGCTCATTTTTGACTCAATATCGCGTGTATGCCCATAATGAACAAAATCGATAGCTTACCTTTCGATTTTGGCGACACGCGCGCAACGCGCACCTGCTGCGACTGGGATGTTTCTTGCGCGTGACTTTTTCTTTTATTTACATTCGCACGAGAACATCACGTGACCTCTCTCTTTATCAATATAAATAAAATAATTTGAAAAATGCTCATTTTATTCATCAAGTATTTCTGTCCTAATTCAAAGTTTCTGGGCAAGGATTTTGGTGCTCAAATTTTGGAGAAAAACGTTTGCGGAGAACTCCGGTGAAGATTATATAATCCGACAAGTTTTCCGTTTGTGTTGTAACGATTGACTTTTTTAATCATGAATTGTGAAAGTCAATCTCATGAGGAATTTTATTGCAATGTGAAATACTTGAGGAATAAAATGAGCATTTTGCCTATGACTTGTATAAGGTGGAATCTCTTTTCTCTTTGATAATTCTGGAAAAATTATGTCTTACTGAAGTGTTAAAAGAGAAACATCCGATTTTTGCTTCTCTTAAATTACCGACCTTAACTTATGAGAATGACAAAGAAAACACCAAACTCTCTTTAAAATGGTAAGAATCTTTGTTGACTTTTACATGATCATAACCCCTCCCACAATGATTCACTCTTTCTCTACTTATAAAACAAGCAAAGGGTTACAAAATCATCAGATTGAGATTTTTAATAATAGTAATAATACAGAGAGAAGAAGAGAGAAGAGCATGAATTTCTCAGACTGCTTGCTCTAGTTTTCGTGTTTGCAGGTAACAGCAGATAAATCACAAACCGAGCCACGGACACTGCTTCCTCGCATGTTCGGGTACTAACTTAGCCACCATCTCCACAGGCACACCTTTAAGCTCTGCTTTCACACCACATAGAAAGAAAAAACACGAGTTTAAGTCACTCTTCTTATGTTAAGCTGATTATAGCTCCAAAGTGCATAAACCAAGAAAAAAAAAAATCAAGCTTTAACTACTCAATATCTGCAATTTGACTTATTTTTTCTTTTCAGGCCAAAATTTGACAATTTGAAGATAAAAGAAGAATGTGGTTGTGTAGTACCATGAGGCTTAAAGTTGAAGAGCGGTGGAAGGAAACGTCCATTGGGTAATCGTGCATTCGGATCTCTAAGCTCGTCAAAGAAAGGGTGGACCAATGCATCGAGCTAATTGGCAAGATCACACATTTCAACAAAAAATCAGCCAAAGAGATTTTGCAGAATGCACAAAAGTAAGAGAAGTTGCAAATACTCACAGCAGCGCAACGGAGATTGGGAGAGTATTGAAGAAGCCTTGAGACCAAATCGACGGCTTCTGGAGGCATTCGCTTGTGGAAAATCTGGATTTTGATGAAAAGTCGTTTCAGTTAACAGCTTAGTTAGAGAAGACAGTGAGCTTGATGTTTTAAATCCAAATTAATTACCTTATGCCATGGATGAGCTTTAATCTGAGGAAACTTGAACTCTGTGTAATTGGGGTTCATGCATTTGATTTCTTCCCTTGTTGGTGTTCCCAAAACCTACACATGTCATAAAGTAAAGCATTATACTTTTGAGTCAGGTATAATAAAGGTACTCTTTTTAGAGTGAAATCATTACAAAGGTGGTACCTTTATAATCTCCACAAGTTGATCAACACCGCTCTCACCCGGGAACAATGGCTGGCATGAACAAAAGAACAGATTGGTCAAACTGGTTTGAAACAGAACAAAGAAGTTTTGATTTGAGATTTGACAAACCTGCCCAAGAAGAAGCTCGGCGAGAACACATCCTGCAGACCAGACATCGATGGCTGTAGTATACTCGGTTGCTCCAAAAATGAGTTCGGGTGCTCTGTAATACCTCGAACAAATGTATGAAATGTTTGGCTCTCCTTTTACCTGTTTTTCAAGAATCAGCATTGATCAATAAATTGTTGAATTTGTCTTCTTCAAAAGAGAGAGAGAGAGAGAGATTCATTAAACTCACCAATACTTTCGCACTTCCAAAATCGCATAGCTTCACTTGATGAGTGTGTGGATTTACCAACAAGTTTTGAGGTTTTATGTCGCGATGGCACACGCCGATGCAACGGTGAATGTAGGCTAAGGACCTAAAAATCTGCCAAACATATAAAAGACTCAAGAAAAAATCTCCAACAAGAGATATCAAATTACAGTGGACAATTACCGGAAAATTAATATCTACCTGATACGTGTAAAGTTTGACGTAAACGAGAGGCATTCGTTGGTTAAGTTTGTTGTAGTGTTTGATAACGCGGTGTACTGTTTCTGGAACGTATTCAAGGACCAAGTTGAGGTAAAGCTCGTCTTTTTCGGTTGTTGAGAAGAAGCAGTGTTTCAAAGACACCACATTTGGATGGTCAAGTAGCCTCATTGTTTGAAGCTCACGGTTCTTGTACCTTCGATCTTGCAAAACTTTCTTTATAGCCACAGTTTCTCCTGTTTCTAAACATTTCGCCTGAAATAATAAAAAGGAAAATTGATGTGGTGAGTGGCAAAGACACATAGTTTCATAGATAAGTGACTCGAGGAAGAACAAAAACTCAAACTCACTTGAAACACAACGCCAAAAGAGCCATGCCCAACAACTCGCTCTGCCATGTAACTGATTGTCTGCAAATAAACCATCCAAGGAAAATTAACTTGGCAATCTAAAATCCATTTGAACCAACTAATTAAGGATCGGTTTTGCGCAACACAAACCTGTTTTGGTTGGCCATTTCTTCCACCTATAGTAGTTACTATTATATGGCCAGTCTCTGTCACATTGCCATTTACGATTGTAGCTTCCATTTCCTGGTGATCATAACAAAATCAAAATCATTGAAACGAGGAAAAACACAATCTGAAACAGCACCGAAACCACAAAGAAAGGAAAAAGAGCATACTTTATCATCCTGAATTTTCATGTCATTCATCTCCTCAGGTAATCTATCAACATCAGTCGCGTTTCCAGCAGTATCTCTAACCGGGGCACTAGGCTCTATGCCCACCGAGGCCATTCCAGGATACAAAAAATTGCAGAAGAATTTGTGAAAAAAATGATTCTTCCTTGGTCACTCTTCAAATCTCGATCAGATCAAAAACTCAACCTGCAGCCAACAACCAATTGGTAAAGTGATCGTTAGGACATGATTAGTAAACCATATCTGCAATTCACAGTTGCTTAACAACTCAATCACAAAACAGAGGAGAGCATACTCAACAAAGTTAATCTCAAGACACATCTGGGAAACTATCAACATGCAAAGTTTGGATTTTATAAAAACAGTGGAAATATTAAAACAACTATATCACCTCAAAATCAGGAGATATCAAAAAACGAAAGAAAAGGTGTATAGAACCCAAATAAGGAAATAAAATCATGGAAAATGGATAACATACCAAAAAGATAGCAAATTTCAACTCAAACAACAAAATTTAAGAGATGTAATCCGTAGTCAATCGAAATCCAATTCGATTAGTATATATTTACCGATCTATTTAACATAAAAACTGGATGAAGGCATGAAGCTAAAAACTAATAACTTTTTTGGAAATTGAAAACTGGAAATTGGGAAACTATAAAGACCCAGAATTTAAGATGAGAAAACTAAGCAAATGACGAAAAAAGGAACAAAAAAAAAAGAGATTTATAAACGTACCGGGAAACCCAGAAATTTGGATCAAAGAAAACGGAGAAATTGGTGGAAGAATCAAGATATGAGTAGATCCATAGGAAGGAGGGAGATAGGTTGATGATGAATCTCTCTTCCTCTCTCTCTCTCTCTCTCTCTCTCTCTTCCTCTCTCTCTCTCTCTCTCTTCCTCTCCCTCTCTTCCTCTCTCTCTCTCTCTTCCTTTTTCAATTTTGGTCTGGTGAATAATAATTTGTAAGAATAAAAACGAAGCTCTGTGGCTGGGCTTTTTGATAAGGGGGGTATATGCTATAATGCGCTGGTGACAGTCATATATCGTAAAATGAAATCCAAAAAAATAACAAAATTAATAAGATAGTCTTCGGGGGTTAGTAAATTGGACTTTGAAACCAATTGGGTTTCGTTTTTCCGCTTTTTGAGTTTTGACCATTCAAACTTTAACCCCCTCTCCAATACCTGTGGCTGTACTATATTAATGCAACTACTAAAACGTTTATCTTCTCTACTTTTTTTGAAATTTTTTTAAAGGCGGTGACATATTAACAAAAAATAATAATCTCATGGTAATATTGGTTTTTTAAGCTAAAGGATCAAGATTTATATTTAACTAATTCTTTGTTTTTTAACTATTGTTTGTTTATATATTTAACTAATTCGTTTTGCATGTAATCAGTGGAACATACAAAGTTGATTTTATTATATACAAGTTTATAATTGGTTCTTTTAGTAGCTCCATTCTCAGAACCATTTTCATTCCTACTTTTAAAAAAGGAGTCAAACTCCTAATGTCAAAGTTGCTAGGCTAAATGGACTAAATGACACTATTTAATTTCATGTATATGTATATTTATTTATTTTCTTTTTTATGATTGATTTAAAGTATATTTTTTTACAGAGGTCCAATAATTAGCTCCTAAATGTCATACATTTGTCTGCTAAAAAATTATGAGTATCTAGTTCAACAACCAACAGCCATAAATATAATGACATTTCCAGCCAAGTATATATAGTTTTTCTAATTAGTTCTTAAATTAATCGAAGAACCGAATAATAATTATTAAAGAGGATGGGGACATTTTGAATTTGGACAAAGCTGGGATGTGGGGTCGGTGAGAAAGCGACAAAGTAAGGTTAGTTTGGGTATTTCCAGGTTATGTACATACATACATATATATGGATTTATTGGAATATTCCAAAGAGTCTACAGGCTGAACCGGGGCCACGTGTCGAACGTGTCGGAGAGGCAAGAAAAATTATGACAGCAGAAAAACAATTTCAAATTTATCCGCGACGACATTTATAGTGCGAAACATAGAAGAAAACGTTAACATGTTTGAGTTGGGCTTGGTATTCATATTGGGCCTTTAAAAAAAGGCCTGAAGAAGTATGCTTATGCCTAAACCCGTAGTCCTTCGGCTCATAAGACCCACGCTCTAGCCAGCTGAGCTACGGGGATAACCAAAATCTCCAAGACATTTGACTCTTCTCAACACTGTCCAAGGCTATCTCGTAAATGGAGATAAATGTATAATATATATGATGACTAGGTTTTCCTCAACTATCTGCAAGAGCCAAGAAACTACATTCTATACATACAAGAAAGAGAAAAGAAGAAACAAAGTCATCTCTTGGAGACTACGACTAACATCAACATCGACATTGAAACAACGATCTTGAACCCTGAATTGTCCCAGAACTTCTGTCTCTCCCAAGATTCTTCATTACGTTGTTGTTTCCCGGACATCAGATCTCTTATCTCTTTGATCTCCATGTCCCTCCTTTCCCCTTTCTGTGATCCATTCATCGCACAACAACAACAAAAAAGGAAGATTTTCATAAGAACCCTTTTAATCCAAACAAGAAGCTACACGAATGTCAAAGGATTTATACTTACCCTCTGCAGCTTTCTTGTCTGGCTTCTAGTTTCTTGAAGACAGAACTCTAGCTTCAGTACCTTCTTCTTCAAATCTTGATCCGTCCTTCTCTGTTTCTCCAGCTGTTTTTTTTTAATCAAAAGATTGAAACTTTCATTGACAATTTAAACAGCTAATTCTAAATCTTCAAAGGGTCAAAAATTCACTGCGAAATTTTACAGTTGTTTCCAAATCTTAGAAGATTGAATCTTTCACTGAGAGTCTCAAACTTAAACAAACAAACACAGAGTCAGGAAAAAGATAAATTTACCTGAGATTCAAGTTCCTTTGTCTTATGTTTCCAGTGACCTGACATTAACCTTATCTCATCTTTCAATTTTGTAATCTCTTCGTCTTTCACCTCAACTAGCCTATTCATCCTCTCGAAATTCATTGGAGAGACATCTTTTAGAAGCTTCTGGAGCGTGCAGTCTGTGCTACCTATCCCAGCCTTTGCAATGGCCTCTGTTATTTCCCGCTCAATTCTAGTAAGTTCCTCCTTTAGCTGCTTTTCTGAGCACTCTCTAAGGCCCAAATCTCTCTGCAGATTATCGAGCTGATGCCCGAGCTGAGTCACACGGTCTTCGTGTTCTTGGAGAGAACGTGTTTTATCGTCAAGTTGTTTCTTCAGCATTGAGCACTGGACCTCTGTAGATTGAACAGAACCAGCACTTGCCTCTGCGGTTTGCTTGGTTGCATTGAGCTGTGATCTGATTTCCTCCAATTCTTTGATAAACTGCTCTCTCAAAACAAGATTATAAAATCAGAAAGTATAACTATAACCAAGAGTATATCATTAAATGAATATAAATCAAACAAGTTTGTGACGAGCAATGCATTTCTACCAGAAAGTATGACTTATAAACATCAAGCTTAGATCGCTAAACCTAATGAATCACAGCTAATATAACATCTAAAGATAAGTTGTCTTCTTAGGATTTTGGAGCCACTCAAGAGATAACAAAAAGACCACACAAGAAAACTGAAACCTTGTAACTAGTAAGTAGTAACATAATGGGATCATAATAAGAGAGAGAGGCAAAAGTGGTATGTGAGTATAAACCTTTTGAGCAGCAGATGCAGAAGCTTCAAGCTGGCAATTCCTTTCTTCCAATCTCTTCTGCAATTTACACATCTCCATTTCCAGGTTCTTTCCCCTTTTCTCTGCTTCCTGAACAAACAACAAAAAGAAGCCAAATCATTTCTATCTGATTCCGTTGTTTTTTAAAACCCAGGAATCCAGCAAGCAAATAGGATTTGACCCCACCACTATAGCACCAACCAACAAAAGGAAGAGAGAAAATTAGAAGAATAAATAATTAAAAAAAAAGGACTTACTTTTCTAGATTGGGTTTCCTTAAGAAAGGATTGTTCTTGAGAAACCAAACGGCCCCTCACTTGCTTCAGCTCCGACGCCAGAGACACCACGTTCCGCCGGAAACTCTCTTTCTTCTCATCCAAATCTTTCAGAAGTGGATCCACCGTCGTTTTCTCAGAACAAGACATCTGAAATCCGATTAATTTATCATCTAATGGCTGCACCTTAATGATTTGTTCAGCTCTTGCATGCACTGAATCACAAATCTCAGAACTCTGAAAGGAAGAAGATAGAAAATTTTAGTTTTTTTGCTGCATGTGAACATGGCAGTTGACCATTATTTCAGAAATTAAATGAAGAGTCTTTATATTAATAATAAAAAAAGATCGCGACTTTACTTGAGCTGTGATAGAAAGGGGATTGTGACTTGAAGGTTAAAAAGAAACGGAGTATTCTGGGTTTTTCAAAGTCTTCGGAGAATATCAGATCTCTCTGATTTTGGCACGAATCTAAGAATTTCTCATTTTCTGATATCTACCAGAGCAGAGGAGAGAGAAAGCAAAGAGAAGGAATAAGAAATGAATTCAGAATAAATGATGTAAAGAGAGAGAGAGATTCAGAAAAGGGACTTTGAAGTTCAAAAATCAAACTTTCCCTCCAAAATCCTCGGCAAACACAAACCCACGAGCTCGCTCCTTAATCCGTAGAAGAATATAAATCAAAAGCTATTAGTATCAATTAGAGCAACGATTATCTATAGGTATCTGAATTTAATCACGATGGGTATATGAATCCAAATACTAATAGCATCTGATTTAAGTCAAGATTGGCATCACTCACAGAAAAAGTATACAGAAACAGAGCGTTACGATCGATGGACAATGTGACAAAACAGATAGTGACGAAAAACGTTTAGATTATTTTTTTTTGGAAAAAATGTTGTAAATTAATGTTTATTATTGGATTTGGCAGAGCTAAACTGTGATTATTATATGAGTGTGGATGGGGAAAGAGACAAGAGAGAAGGTGGAAGGGGAAAACTCCTTTTAGGTTCGGACTCTCATGTCGCTTTTTTTTTGGTTCGGAGTAAAAACCGAAGCCAAAATTGGGGACTCGGAGGCAAGCTAAATATATACCTTTTTATTGAATTAAAAGCATACAAATGTCAAAAATTAAGCAGAAACAAGGCAAAGAAGAATTTTCGAAAATGAAGAAGTTTGGTGTATTAATAGAAACCGTGATGCGATCAAATTAGCCGCAAACTAGTTCCAACATCCACAAAACATTTCCTTTTCTTAATACAGATCTCTCAGGATTCACAATTTTCAGATATATAAAGAACGACGCAACAAAGTTTTTTTTTTCTTTTTCAAAAACTTGTCCTTTGCAATCTGCATGTTGGCTTCTGATGATGAATGCCATCGCTTTTCTTGGAAACTCAACGATGAGACCCTCAAAATGTATTCTCCGTGCGCTTACAAGATTATCTCCATCTAGAGACACTGCGTTTCAATCGCATCCTTCTCCATTTTCGAGCTTCAGAAACAAAAACATCAACAATCCAGATTCCAATAGAATCAGCAAACCGACCAATGCTGTGCCATTTTGTACTGGCATACCAAGCTCTGTTACAGCTCAGGTTGTTTCTGAGGCAAGAAGCCTCTCTGCTTCCTCGACCTGCACAAAGGACACGACACTGGATCAGAGAATCGCCAAGAACGGCGTAAATGTGAAAATTATCGAAAGGTTAGAAGGAGATGAGAACGCTGAAAAGGTGATCAATGGAGATGACAAAAGCATAGATAGAGATGGTCTAGAGGATAATAAAAGAAACGAAATTGAGGAGGAAGCTTGGAGATTGCTGAGGCAATCAGTAGTGACATACTGCGATTCGCCAGTAGGTACGATGGCTGCTAATGATCCAACCGATACAACACCATTAAACTATGATCAGGTCTTTATTAGGGATTTTGTACCTTCGGCTCTGGCTTTTTTGATGAAAGGGGAAGGAGAAATTGTTCGAAACTTCCTTCTTCACACGTTGCAGTTGCAGGTATGAATGCTTGTTCACACGCACTGAAAGAATCCTTAAATTTTTCATTCAAATGAAAGGTCAATGTTGTGTTGTTGTGGTGTTGTATTTCCAGAGTTGGGAAAAAACGGTTGATTGTTATAGTCCAGGACAAGGATTAATGCCTGCGAGTTTCAAAGTTAGAACTTTACCGCTTGAAGAGGACAAGTTCGAAGAGGTTCTGGATCCTGATTTTGGAGAATCAGCAATAGGTCGTGTTGCCCCCGTTGATTCTGGTCAGTACTTTCTTGCCTCTTCAATCTGCATTTTCGTATCATAAATAGGTTAAGAAAGGATAATATATTGTTGATTCCCGGTAGCTAAGAATACATCACTGTTGATTCTTCCAGCAATTGAACGATTTGATTCACACATGTTGGTCTAAATAGAGAAATCTCAGGTTTGTGGTGGATAATCCTGTTGAGAGCATACGGGAAAATCACAGGGGATTACTCGCTGCAAGAGAGGGTAGATGTGCAGACAGGGATAAAGATGATTGCAAACCTGTGCTTAGCTGATGGGTTTGATATGTTTCCAACTTTATTAGTCACTGATGGCTCTTGCATGATAGACAGGCGTATGGGTATCCACGGTCACCCTCTTGAGATCCAAGTAATTTTCCAAAAATAAGTTTTCTCTTGATATTTGAATCTCAAAAAGTAACAGTTTGACTAACGAGTCTCATGTTGGTTCTGATGACACAGGCTTTGTTCTATTCCGCACTACGGTCTTCTCGTGAGATGCTTACTGTAAATGAGAGCTCTAAGAACCTGATAAGGACCATTAACAACAGGCTCAGCGCAATATCCTTCCACATAAGAGAAAATTATTGGGTTGACAAAAGCAAAATCAATGAGATCTACCGTTACAAAACAGAGGAGTACTCTACGGATGCCACCAACAAGTTCAACATCTACCCGGACCAGGTCTCTCCGTGGTTAATGGACTGGATTCCTGAAAGTCCTAGATCTGGATTTCTTGTAGGAAACCTGCAGCCTGCTCACATGGACTTCAGGTTCTTCACTCTGGGAAACCTCTGGTCAATCGTATCCTCGTTAGGAACACCAAGACAGAACCAAGCTATATTGAATTTGATTGAGGAGAAATGGAATGATCTCATAGGGCATATGCCACTTAAGATATGCTACCCGGCTTTGGAATCTTCAGAATGGCATATAATCACCGGGAGTGACCCAAAGAACACGTGAGCTCTTCTCTCTTCCAATTTTATCTATTAATTGTATACTTTTGAAAGATGGACCAGACTTCATCTATGTCATGTTCTGTAGGCCTTGGTCTTATCATAATGGAGGGTCATGGCCAACACTTCTCTGGCAAGTAAGCATGGATTCTTAGCAATTGCGTAAATCAGACGACATCTATATTTATATATTTGCTAGGAAATCTATACATAATAAGTAACATATGTGATGTGAATTGAATTTTCTCTCAGTTCACATTGGCATGCATCAAGATGGGTAGACCAGAATTAGCAGAGAAAGCAGTTACCTTGGCTGAGAAGAGGCTCCAAGCTGACAGGTGGCCTGAGTACTACGATACAAGAGACGGGAAGTTCATAGGGAAAAAGTCACGGCTTTACCAGACATGGACAATTGCTGGTTTCTTAACTTCAAAGCAGCTATTGCAGAACCCTGAAATGGCATCCTCTTTGTTCTGGGAAGAAGACCTTGAGCTTCTAGAGACTTGCGTCTGCGCTCTAACCAAATCAGGCCGGAAGAAATGCTCTAGGGCCGCAGCAAAGTCACAGATTCTTATTTAAATTGGTTTTGTCCATAAAAACGAAGACGATTAAGATATTAAAGCTCCTGTTGCAACAGATGTTACACAGGTTAACCAAATTAGTAGTACATTACAGATTTACAGCTACAGCTCATCTGTGCACATATATTTTTGAAGAAAACAATACTTTTTCCACAAATAGTAAGAATTTTCTTTTTTTGTCGTAATACCAATGACTAGACTCAAACCACTTTACAATAAGACATTGGCCTTGTTAACTGATTTGTACATTATGTAACCCCACAAAGAAAAGAGTTCACTTACCAATCTTTGCGGTTACACTGTGCAATGAACGCCTCAACCACAGGCAACGAGGAAGATAAGCAGCATGTTCCATTTGTTTCTTTTTACTCATGAAATCACACGGTTATTTCCTCGAACACAGATTCAGCCACCATTCTCACCAATCAAAATGTTCGATAAAATATATGTAAAGGATTCAGTTTTATAGATTGCTACTCATATTTCTGCTGACTCAATCTTCAACAGACAATTGAATATCATTCCAGAAAACTGATTCCCACACAGGAATTTTGTCGAATACTTTGGGAGCGTAAAAAAAATTACTCTTTCTGTCAATAGCTTACCTCTCATGATTTTAATGGTCAGATGCATTAGATTATTCATACCCAAAATATTGACTTAAAGGGCTAGGCCCATTCATAAACCCACAAAGAGAATTAATTAATTCTTGGTTTGATTTCCCACTACAACGACGCCGTACTAAGCAACCTCCTTGAGAGAAAGAAACCCAAACAGCCGGAATAATCCAGGTTTCGGCGTTTCGCTCAGGCGAGGAAAGGAAGAAAATCAGTGATGATGGCGTGGACACGATTGATTCAGAGCGCGAGAGCATCTTTTGGGACAGCGAACTCGTGTTCGGCTCTTGGCCTCCCTAGATTCTACTCCAAACCAGCCACTTATTTCGGTATGTAGCTATCATTCGCGCGGTTTGGATTTGATTCTTCTTCTTCATCCAAGGAGGCCCTATATTAGCAGGAGTATACGTTTGGATTGGTTTCATTGGTTTAATCTTAGTATTTGGTCAGATTCAGTTTCGTAGCTAGCTAAATTAGTGGTGGAATTTGCGGATCTTGGTTATTGTAACAGTGTTGTTTGTGGATTTTGATTCTTTTCTCAACGAAGACCTTGGAAGATCTTTTAATGGTCAATGCGATTGGGGATTTGGTTTGATTCTTGTGTATGGTGTGTTGCAGAGAAGGTTGGGATTCCAGAGTTTCTTGGCGGGATTGGAGGAGGAGCTGAGACTCACATTGCCAAAATTGAAACTGAGATCGGTGATCTTCATAAGCTGCTTGTGACGCGTACCCTCAGACTCAAGAAGCTTGGCATCCCTATCAAACATGTACGTACCAAAGTCTCATCTTTTATGAATATTCATTTGGCCATTGTTGGTTAAACTAATCTAAAACCATCATTGCACCAAGGTTCTTAGTGGATTAGGTAGCCCTTGTAAATTGGATTTGTTCCTTTGCATAATTTTAAGCAAATAAGTAAATGGAAAAGGGAAAAAAAAGGTGTTGGGATCCTGAAATTTTCTACGTTGGAGGAATGGCCGAAAGAAACTGATCGAGTTATATCTATGTTCTTATTTCCTGATCTTGTGAGCTGTTCTCGCCAAGTCTTGCTTATTTAATCCAAAAAGCATGAATTTATCTAGACATCTTTCCTTCACATACATTTTATGTGTTTATGGAATTACGCCATCTTGTTCTTGTACAGTAATCCAGCTCTCCTATTTTAATACCCCACGGATTTCACAGTTCTGCATTTTTGGTTTTGCAGAGGAAACTCATACTCAAGTATGGCCAGAAATACAGGCTAGGGCTATGGAAGCCTAGAGTTGATGCTATCAAGACCTGATCGAGGCACTATGTTGAACTGTGAGTCTCTCATTGCTGGGCCGTACTACTGAAATGAGTTGTAACCCTAAAGGATCATCCTCAAACTCACTTCAGTAGTGGAAAATCTAGACAGTAGTAGTAATGTTGGTTTCATTGTTTGTGGCGTTTCATTGAAATCCCTTCCATATATTTGTAGTTCATGTCACTGTTTTCTGTACTCTGTTAGAAACAAATGCCCATTTCTTGCGGGATTTATAGGTGTAGTAACTTTTTCCTCCATTTATATGGAAGTCACCTTTGAGTTTCCCATTTTTCGTGTCGAAAGTGGCTTCTTAGCCTCCTCACTATGGATATAGAAAATCAGTGAAAACTATATCACTCGTAAACACTAAAATCGCGGGTTTTGGAGGTACGACAAAGTCATAATGAATATTTGAAAAAATCTCCCCATCAAAGTGATAACTTTTAGCTGTATGTAGATATGTGACGATTGGATTCAAGAACTTGATCAGTCAACAATTTTGACTGTAGAGAAGCTGGTATATTGTCGTCGTTGAAAAACATAGACTCTAACACCCAAAAGGCAAAAGCCGTCATCGGTTTGGTCGGCTGCGTCTGGGTCCAATGTTAAGTTTAAACAAAGAGACAAATTTCATACCATGTCCACAAATTCTGATGGGTCGATATTTAAGGGTCAACGTGTATACACTGAGAATGACACTTAATTTGCCGATGCTATAAGAAAACGACCACTCCTCCATATCGCAGGGGCCATTTTTGGTATTAATATTTGATAGTTGTTTTTACAAAAGAGATTCCAAATGTGGCAACATTTCAATGATTTTGTTGAGTTTTGTAGTTACCAGTAAACCAAATTAGCCACCGGTAAATATAGTTATTTAAGGGTTAAGTCCGATGTTAGACAAAACACAGAATTAAAACCACTTTTTGCACATAGGAAAAACAAACTTATGAATATACAAACAATCGAGAATAAAAATCAACTTTTTAATCCAGTTTGAAATTTTTAGCAATCCAAGTTTCATTGGACCAGACCGAACTAAGGCCACAAATAATTTTTGGAGTTTTTTATAGGATTGAGACCGAACCTGACCCAGTTGACGACATCCCTAAGATTCACCGACAGGTATATCAACAACAGCAATATTATGCAAATGCAAATGCAAGTGTAGTTTTGTTTTTGCGTTTTCAACAGAGTTGCATGTTATCGTAGCATCTCGGATTAGAAAACTGGCTAAACTCTCTTTAGAAGGTTATGGAAGCACGAGGATAATTAATTTTTTTAAAAAAGAGAAAAAAAAAGGGGGAAGAGGAGGGGAGAAAGTGGCGTGGGTGGTCCTCGAGCCTTGAAGGAATCAAAGAAGACATCTCACACTTGACCCCAATTATTATGCCACCTTCTCTCTCACGTCTCCATCCGTTTTCGTTGTCATCTCTTTTTCTCTTCTTGAGGCTTTCCTCTTCAAACGTGTCACCTCTTTAATGGCAAAAAACCTTTCATCTTTCATTTGTTGTTTTTGTCATCCGTGATTTCTATAATCCCGGTTTGTTAGCCATTAAACCTTTTTATATAACATATTTACGATGGTTTTAACGTCAATTCTTTTCTTTAAAGATAAAAATGTATTCTAACTCGCACCAACACAACCACATCATCTTTTTCTAAATGTTGATTTAGCATCACACCTATAGTACTATTTTATTTTTATTGCCCTAATAGGCTAATACGTTGAATCGTTGTTCGAGATCTTATAATATTAGATAGTTTATATAACGCCGTATCGAAAATATTTTTGAAGAGTGTATAGAGTCGCATTTTTTAAAGGCGTTTTCAGTGGTTAACATGGAAAGAAATGGATAAGACTCGATCTCTTGCATCATGAATGATCAACCACTTGACTAATTAATTAAACTCTTGCTCTCCCACGCCCGTGTCATCAGTATTTGGATCAAGCCGATTTTCATTACTGTTGCTATATAATCGTGTAGCATTCATGATTCATATATTGGTCATATTAATTACGAAAATAAAATTATCACATTCTTGTTTTGGCATTTGGCGAAAGGTATCACATTGTCCACTATTATTACTGAGAGGACAAACACACCTTTCTAAGCCCAAACCAGGTGTTAGTCGTCTAATGATTTTATAAGTTGGTAAAGTTCGTGATTCAGTTTTGATTGCATGTACGTTTAGAAAGAAAACAATTATACACAGAAAAGGTTAAACATGAATATACTGAATTTAAACGATGTCGCAGAAAATATACACCCAAAACTAAATCTTCTTGTAAAGTGGAAGAAATAGTTGTCATTAAACAGATCTTGTCACAAAATCCACTATCATGACCAATACGATCTAATGAAAGTAGAAACGTTTTTTTTTTTTGTTACTCTTACTCAATTCGCATAATTTTGCATTTTTAATTTATCATTTTATCTACGAAAAGTATGAACCTACATTAAAAACAAAATTAGTATTACCGGTTGATAAATTATGTGGTTGTTTCACAAAACGTAAATCATGTTCTTATAAACTATCAAATCTTGTACTTAAATTTGTATAATCAAGATTGAAATAATCTTCTCCAATCAGCTGAACTAACCACGTCAGATAATAAACTGATTGGCTTTGGTGTAAATATAATTCATCATGTACAAATTTGGTGAAAAACATAAGATAATCCAGATACATATATGTGAGGACAAAGTATGATATATGCACTCATTTTGTTTCACAAAGTTGTTTAAATGTAGGACACACGAAAGTCATTTTAACTTATTATCATTTTGTATGAATTTAATTTTCCTACAAAAAAAAACTGTTCGAGAAGAAACTAAATTCAGATAAAGAGGTCTCACATGCGACGCACTTTGAAGCAAAAGAGTCGGACCGTAGGGTCTTCATGCACATGCCTTCTCGTATATATTTATAATTTTATTTTATTTTCAACTTTTTGGCATATAGCTTAGAAAATCGAATTAATTTTTCTTAAATGAATATATTGAAAAATGTTAGGTGAATGAGCCATTGATTTTAAACTCCGATCTAGAAGTCGGACAAAAGCATACGAGCCTGAAAATTTTGAAAATATTTATACATTTAATGTGGATTTTTTTACCTGGTCGAACATACATTCTTGCGGTGTTGAGTTTTCATTGTCGAATTTACAATTTACGACGGAAAGTGTTTACTTACGGAGTTACGGGGTTACATTTAACATACAAGATTGTCACTAGCTAACATTAGCAAGTATATACGTGGACTAAAAACGCTAATTTTCTTATGTTTTTATAAAGATAATCATTGAGACAAATAGTTGGATTTAAAAGTTAATTTCCGAGAATAAATTTTCTATTAATATTCTTGATCTAAGTTCATTTTAATGAAAATATTGACAGTTAAAACTTATGAAATGACACCAAAAAAAACCATTTTGTTTGCGTCCAACTCGTGATAAATTTTGACATATTTTTTCAATGGCAAACAATTCATTAAACACAAATAAGACAATTTCGGATAATAAAATCGTAAAAGAATTTAATCAAAACAAATATTACACCACCATCGGCTTATACACTCGGCTATAAAGCCGATCCGAGTTTATCGGACGGCTGAAACTCAGCCAGAATCTTTGATAGAGCCGTCATGGCTCGGACTTGCATTTCCAACGCCGCTATGTAATCCGCCGTCTCGTCCAAAAGCTCCGGTAACGCCGTTCTCCGGCAACCCGGCACCAACCCACCCAAAACCCGGACCCGGTTTCCCACCGCCGACAACTTTCTCCTCCTCCCACCACCTCTTCTAACCGCCGACGCCGGCTTTGCATTCCTATGACGGCTCAGACTCGTTCCGAGTCGACTCACCAAAATGGCTCGGCTCCACCGAGTCGTACCATGTGCAGTGGCCGCGAGCACTTTGTCGGCCGTGTCCCGGACTGTTGTGCTCCGCCGTGATCGCCGGAGAGCGTCGTAGAGCTTTAAGGAATAAACTTTCTGCGCCGCCGTGGCTCTCCATCTCCGACTATGATGGATCGCCGGAGCTTCCGAACTTCTCCGTGATCGACGGAGAGCCTCCAAAAGCTTGGGAGCGAAAACCCTTTGCCCTCTTTGCAATCTCCGGCCAAAAGGGATTGTTTCAGTCCCTTCTACCTCCGGCGACGTCGAAGGATTCGATCCATTTTCTTGTTCAGAAGACATTCAACAAGAAAAACCACTCAAGGAGAAACGTTTTTTATTTTTTGTTTTGTTTTTGTTCTCTTCGAAATTATCTTATCGAATGGTCGGAGAAACAAGTCGGGTTCTTTCGTGTTTAGATAATAACTCAGCGTAATTGGAGGGACTCTATATATAAACATTTGGGAGAGGCCATTCATAATGCAATTGTTTTCCATATTTTATTTGTTTGTTTTTCTTGTCTTTTTCGAATTAAATACCATAATTTAGATTTCTTTTCCTTCAATAATGTACGTTTAAATTCACATTGGCCAATCATAATTGACCCGGCGAATGAAAAAATCCAGTTTCCTTTTCTTTATGACGTCTTAAAATCAGTTTCCTATACCAAAGTTAATGCATTTTTAGGTTGGAAATATAATCAATGGAACAAAAAAATTTTTTTTTTTTTGTTTGACGACAAACAAAAATATCTATTTAATATCTATTTTTATTGAGTTATTAGATATTTTAATAGATATTTTACACATAGACTAATATTGAAAGTTTTTACATACCTGTTTATGATGGTGAGCGGCGTAAATTTGTGCTATGACGTGGATTTATTTGATTTGTAGGTTTTTAGTTGTAAAAAGAACAAAATTGGCGATGGAATGGAGGAGTTTGATGTAATAATGTGGAGGGCAATGATTGGTGGCAATATAACCAATAGATGGAACAAATAGCTATCAAACAAAATTTAACATAAAGAAACAAAAAACTAATGAGTTTTAAACAAAAAAGAAAAGAAAATAGTTTTCAAAGAAAGAACCAAAATATAGGAAAAGAATAGGAAAAGGAGAAGATGCATGTGATGGTGTTTCTTTCTTGACCTCCTCACCTTAGGCTTAGTATTGTGGCTATTTTTCATCCACATTTTTTCGCTCACGATTTTTCTATTTCGTAAATTGATTTTTTCAACATTTGGTGTTTTGTGAAACATATAACATGTTCTTTATACTTTTCCTCTCTTTTGGAAAATTTTAATTTGATTAAGTTGATTTTTTCGAAAAAGCATGAAATTAGGTTTTGGATTATACTTGTCAATCAGTTTATAAGTAGAGAGACAAATCGTCTATTTGCCTACTAAATAACATTATATTTTTTTCCTAAAATGTATATTATCCCATATCAAGAAGTTATTAGTAATCTATCAATCTTCTTAATATTTGGAGAGTGGGTTGGGAAACTCTCAAATTCATAAAATGTTACATTGAAACGCACTTTTCCTATCTCTCCATGTTAGTAAGAATAAAAATTTTGATTTTATTTTTCATATTAAAAAGCATAAATCATCTTGCAAAATAAGATATTTTTCAAACGGACATGTGTGATCAGTTCGATCGGGTTAGTAATCTCTTACTCGATTCGACCTATTTTTTTGGATTGCAATATTTGACAAGACTTTTGTTGTGTCATGTGTGTGTGTCTTTTCGGCGTGCAATGCAATGTACTCGCAATTCTCTGAAAGATTTTCTCACAATAAGATTGGCAACACAAAATAAAAGTGAATTGATACATGAGCATTTTTTAGGAAAACAAGAGTTCTATATATGAACTTTTTTTTGACAATTTTATTTCCGTCAAAAGAATTTTATAGTAAAAAGTCAGAATACAAAATATATGTCAACCAAATCGGTAGATAAATACAATTTGAGAACAATATGTGATTTAGAGGACCATTTCTTGCTAAAATATGAGCTGCTTCATTTGTATTCTTTTAGTATGTGTAAGGTAAATCTAATATACTACTCCACAATTTAATATCTTCTGTCAAATTAATGATCGAGATATCATCCGTAGAAGATGTTAACACATCGACCAGAATCTTATGAACAATTCTATATATTATGAACTTGTAAGGAAAAGTGGTAGTTTTAACGAACCTGGTCCGAAGATATGCTTATATTTGTGCTATATAACAAAGATGTATGTATATGTAATCTGTTAAATAAAATAATTAAGAGAGAAAAGTATTTAATTTGGGAAGAAAAACAATGCAAATGTGGGGGGTTTAGCAGTAAACGTGAGTCATGACAGAGAGATTTGCCTCCTTGCGTCAGACACGCTTTGATATCCTCTTCTTAATTTTTCCTTTTTTTTTTTGTTTATTATTCCCCAAATCAAATGATTAGTTGTTATCCTCATTGATTATTTGTTATCCCCATTCAAGACAATAATATTAATAATGATGACAATGATTTGTTTCATGACAAAAATACTGGTCCGCTCTTAATTTTTCTTCTTCTTCTTTCAACGACAAATCTTTCTAAATTTTCTGGCAAAAATATTGATAAATGTTATTTAAAAGTTTCAGAATCTTTAAAATCTAAATAAATTATAGTTTAAGCACAGCCGTGTAGTGCATCAATCGAAACAAATAACAATGATTTAAATGTATTAATAAATCACTTTGCTACTCAAATTATATAATTCTGTCAATTTAGTGTATTAATTACGTTATATATACACAAACACAACGTTGTTTAAAGTTTCCATGTTTTAGTATTTTTGTTTTTGTCAACATTATATAGATTACCAGAACACTCAATAAATCATTTTTTCTGGTGGTAGTCGACATTTAAGAGTACGAATTAAGTATATACACAAAATTTTTTGGGTTAAAAGATTTATTATATTCTAATTTGAAGATTGGTTTCTTGTATTCCAGTTTTCTATTAATCTTTTTTTGTCAAAGATTTACAAAGATTAAAAGATTAAAAGGAGGATGCTTAATTTTAGAGAGTGCTTGTTTGTTGGGCCTGATCTCTTCCTTGTCAATAGAAAGAATCTGTCTAGGTAGAGCCAGACTAGAATATATTTGCTTTGCTTTCCTGTATTGTATTAAATGTTTTTGCTGGCCCAAATCTAGCCGACGACCGGACGACACGATATGAACAATGAACATGCAAAGAAACGACGTCGTTTGAGGCACTGTATTTTCTTTCTTTTTTGGGGTTTCCCTTATTTTTGTTTCCCAATTTCCTTTTTTGAATTATTTGGAAGGGTTTATGAAGGGCTTTTGACGCCAGTGAGTCAGTATTCTTCTTCGTCTTTAGACTTCACATTCATACGGTTCCTTGCCTCTCAGGCAAAACGTAACTCTAACTTCCCGAGTTCTGCTACGTACTCAAGATCTTCCTCTCCCATCATGCTGAAGCTCCTCACTTTGAACGCTTACGGTGCCCATCACGTGATCCCGGCTATTCGGGTCGGGTCAAACCCGGTTAAAAGTCCACTGTTTAAGGCATTGACTCAGCTAACCGGGTGGAACCGGAGTTCCCACGAATTGGGTCGTCGTGCTTTCTGCTCCGATTCCAAGGCAGCTGAGTCGGTTTCCGAAGGTTCGACACGCCATCGCCATCACCGATTGTCTCAACTATCCCTAAACTTGAAGACTGTCTAACGGTTTGTAAGAAATTTCCTTAAAGTTCACTTTTTTCTGACCCACGGTGAATTGTAATGAACATGGGATTATTTTCTATCCACAATGTAGGGTTCCAGAATCGATTGAATTGCATTAAACTTGGCTGCTGCAATTTCGCTTTATATTTCCATAGCTCATAGAGAATTCAATGCAATTGGCAAAAAATTCATATGGGTTCTAGCGATTGGAAAGTTAACATTCCAGTTGTTCTAAGATGTGTGTGTTGGTAAACGATGAGCACCTAATGCTTATGGTTAGGGAGATTCATTTCGCTGTTGCTCTATTGTTGGGAAAATTCACAATATCGAAAATTTAGTGTATCTTTTGCTTTACGGAAACTGGATTGACCATTCCTAATTTCATAGTCAGGCAAAGGTAGAACCTTTTATAGCGTTACATTCCCTCGGCTTCGGTACGATTCTTTTTTCATTAAGCTTTCTGTTGTTTAACTTCAGGTTATAGCATTGCCGTTGCCAAACAAGCCTCTTTTTCCTGGGTTTTACATGCCAATCTATGTAAAGGTATGTCACTACAACCTGTTTCCGAATACCTCTTTTTGCAACCCATTAGATTTTACTGCAGATTTATCTTTTTTTTTGTCTCAGCTTGCGTTTCTCTAACCCTGTATGTGCTTTTATCTGTGTAGGATCCTAAATTACTTGCAGCTCTACAAGAGAGCAGAAAACGACAAACTCCATATGCAGGGGCTTTCCTTTTGAAGGATGACGCATCCACTGATTCATCTGATACCTCTGATTCTGAAACAGAGGATATTGTAGGGAAGTTGAAAGGCAAAGAGTTGCTTAACCGGATTCACGAAGTTGGCACACTTGCTCAGGTACTCTCTTGCCGCTCGTAAGCACTGTGTTTTTCCTTGTCTCTGACTGAAAGACTTTTAACCTTTGCCAATTTTCCAGATTTCAAGTATCCAAGGTGAGCAAGTCATCCTTATTGGTCGCAGACGACTTCGTATAACAGAGATGGTAAGTTGATGGAGCAACAAGCTTCAATATTTCTCTTTTAAAGGGGTTAAAGTAAATATTTTAAAGTTCAGAAGCTGTGTGTATACTTTCTCTCAGTGAGAAAACCATGTGCTTTGTTTTTTTGCAGGTGAGTAAAGATCCTCTATCGGTCAAAGTTGACCATCTAAAGGTGTGTTTCTGTTTTCAAGCCTTTCTATTTATGGTATAAGCAGGGGATCAAGACATGTCGTTTCTTATTTCTTTTTGTCATTTGTGTCTTTGTTGTTTCTTTTCAGGATGAGCCATATGACAAGGACGATGATGTCATTAAGGCAACATACTTTGAAGTTATGTCGACGCTTAGGGATGTCTTGAAGACAACCACTTTGTGGAGAGATCAAGTTCAGAAATATACCCAGGCATGTTCTCTTCATATTTGGCACTGCTTGCGAGTTGCAGACATGTCAGAATATCAGTATCTTAATAGGTTTACTTTAATTTGTATAGCATATAGGTGACTTCAATTATCAACATTTAGCCGACTTTGGAGCCGGGATCTCTGGCGCTAACAAACATCAAAATCAGGGAGTTCTTGAAGAACTAGATGTAAGGAGTATGACCATTAGTCTATTACTGTTATATTTTGATTCTGAGATTACCTCATACAGGATGATATTCCATTCTGATTCATCTTGTCATATTGGTTTCTTCGATCCAGGTTCATAAACGTCTGGAGTTGACTCTCGAATTGTTGAAAAAAGAAGTGGAAATTAACAAGATTCAGGTACTTAATGCCTTCACTTTTCTGCACCTTTTCAGCTGAAAAGTGCTACTAGATTTTTTATTTTTTTTTGTAAACGAATGATTTAACTAGAATGAATCCTCATCTCTTTAGAATCGTGTTTAGGCATCCATAGCAAAAATTGCTGAAGAAAAATTTAGTGGCGCGCAAAGACGTTACTTGCTAGAGGAGCAGCTCAAGGCTATAAAAAAGGTTTTCAGCTCGGCTCTCATTTTGTGGCTGCTCTTTTATGATATATACTATCAGTGGTTGATGACAATAAAATGTGCAGAAGCTTGGGGTTCAGACAGACCAGAAATCTGAATTTTCTGGTTAGTACCACTAGCTAGTCTACTACTATAGGAATATTTTCGATTCTATGTTTTTATTTTATATCATCCATAGAGATTCAAACTTTCAGATATTGCACCACTGTAAATTCATGACGCCTACTTTTTTATAGTTCAGAGAGTTGTGAGTCAATGACTGTAAGACAACTGATAAAGTCTGTTTTTTTTTTCTGCAGGAAAGTATAGGGAAAAGATTGACTCAATCAAAGACAAAATTCCAGGAAATGTATTAAAAGTCATAGAAGAAGAGATTACAAGACTGGAGTTTTTGGAAACCAGATCAGGTGAATTCGATGTGACTTGTGACCATCTTGATTGGTTGACCGTGTTGCCTTGGGGAAATTTCAGGTTTGCCATTTGCTTCATGGTTATGTCTTGAAGAGAGTTAGAACACCTATAATTGATTTTCCTTGGACTGACTGAGTCATTGAGAAGTCTCATTTATAATCATAATAATTTGGTTTTGCAGTGATGAGAATCCTGATATCTTACGGGCAGGGAAAATTCTTGACGAGGACCATCACGGATTATCTGATGTAAAAGAAAGAATACTGGAGTTTATTGCTGTGAGAAAACTTAGAGGCACTTCAAAAGGTCGTATATATATTTGCCTTTCTGATTCACTCTTGTTTGCTAAATAGATTTATATAAGTTAGTTTGTGAAACTGAAAGTTTGCATCAACAGGGAAGATCATTTGTCTCTCGGGCCCTCCTGGAGTAGGAAAAACTAGCATTGGGCGTTCTATTGCACGTGCTCTTGACCGCAAGTTTTTCAGGTTCTCTGTTGGAGGACTATCTGATGTTGCCGAGATTAAGGTGTACTACATGACAAAACCACAGTTCAAATCTGTTCAGCATAAATGTATAAAAATAATCATCTATTTCTCTTATACACTGTTTAGGGGTATCGTCGAACATATATTGGTGCCACGCCTGGAAAGTTGGTGCAATGTCTAAAGACTGTGGGGACAGAAAATCCTCTTGTTCTGATCGATGAGATTGATAAGGTAGCCTAGCATTTGAATTGGCCTTGTGGAGTTTTCTTTGTTGATAAAAACTGAATTTCTCTGCAAATGATTGCCTATTGTTCCTTTACAGCTTGGAGGAAAGGGCCACAAAGGCGACCCAGCCAGTGCGTTGTTGGAGGTTCTGGATCCAGAGCAGAATGCAAATTTTCTAGACCACTATCTTGATGTTACTATTGACTTATCCAAGGTTTTTACTCTTTTGTCATGACGGGTATTCTACTGTTTAAATTTTTCATATGCAATCTTCTCTCTTTGTGATGAAAAATTAAAATCTTGTAGGTTTGAACATAACAGGCAGTTTTATATTTCCATCCAAACCGTGTATTTATTTCATAATAGCTAGTTTTGTGTTTGGTATAAGGTCTAGTAAGCTAATTTGTTGCAGGTATTATTTGTATGCACAGCAAATGTAACAAATACGATTCCGGGTCCTCTGCTAGACAGAATGGAGGTGATTACTCTCTCAGGGTATATTACTGACGAGAAAATGCATATTGCTAGAGACCATTTGTTGAAAACCACTTCTAGAGAT